CTGAACTGCCATCGTTTCAGCCGCCTGGCTGTCAGAGCCGTCTACGGACTGAACTACTTCTTCTACTACTACAACCAGCTCCGCCGCCCGGCGTGGGGAGCTACGGGCGGCGGGTATAACACCATGCAGCCGTTCCGACCCATCACCACCACCACCACGTCCACGATGCTCCAACTCCGCCCCGAGTCTTGCCAGGAAATCATCGACATGTATAACAATATGCAGGGACTGTCACCCGATAATGGCGGCGGCGGCGGCGGAAGTAGGGCGGAGTCGGTGTCGGACTCATCATCTGACGTCATTGACATGTCATCATCCGAGCCGCAAAGAGGCCTCAACGTGGATCTTAACCTCCCTCCTCCACCAGAAAATTAATTAATATCCGCCGCCGTTATTAAATATATTAATTAATTAATATAATATTTCAATATTTGTTATTTAAAAAAAAAAAAAACAAAAAAAAAAAAACAGTGTGGTAACGGTTCAGGGTTCAGGCGAGCAGATATAGTTAAGGTATGAATGTGTGGCTGTTGTTTATTACTACTGCAATGTAATGTAATGTAATTTCCTGTTGTTTTATTACCTTTTTATTATTAATAAAATATATAAAAAGTATTATTATTATTATTATATATCTTTTTATTTTTTGTTAATATTACGGTTTAATTACTTTTTTTAATTTCATCCAAAGCGGCGGCCACGGTTTTGGCGCGTGTGGTCCATTGCCCACCCACCATTGAAACCGGCATTAATAGTATAATTAATATGCAATATAGTAAGTAATTTCATGAGAGATTATAGTAATTATTAATATTAATAAATGTAAATTTTTCATAAAAGACAAAAAGCATTAATAAATGTAATTTAAAGGTTGCATGAGAGTTAACAATGGACAATTAATGGTGGACGTGTTGTGAGAATCTAAATTAGATTTAACTAATTTGGGCTTTTTCTAATTTAATTAGGCCGAAAAAGAACGGGCTTGTGGGCCCACAACTAGAATCTAAAATACACATAACTTGAGACGGGCCTTAATTCGGGCTTTTTTGATTTTAATTAGGTCGAAAAAGAACGGGCTTTTTGGTTTCCGGCCCACAAATACAATCTAAAATAAATTAAAGTTGAGACGGGCCTTAATTTGGGCTTTTGTTTTATTTAAATAAGCCGAAAAGGAACGGGCTTGTTGGCCCACAAATAGTATCTTAAATAAAGTAAACCTGATACGGGCCTTAATTTGGGCTTTTTCTTTTTATTTAATTAGGTCGAAAAAGAAAGGGCTTGTCGGCCCACAAATAGTACACTCTACTTTACTACTATTAATGTTTAATAAATAATTTAAGAACTAATTACATAAATTATATTACTGTAAAATTAAATCTGTTGATTAATATTGTTTTTTTCAATAATTAACATTAGAAAAAGATTAATGAAACCAAATTAAGTAAAGTTAATTAAAGAAAAATTATATGTGAGATCTGTATGTATTAATCATATCCAGTCCACGTCATACATCGGGTCCCGTAACACTAGATAGTAGATAGTCTTCATCCTTATCCTCTTTCAGGATTTCCTCTATTTCCAGATCATGTTTTGCAATTACCACTATTTTTTAGATATTTCTAGAATCGAATTTACTTTTTTAATCTATTTCAAGTTATTTTCTGTGCAAGTGAATAAATATTAGAGAAAAATCTACTTACTTATTAAACAAAATTGAGAAGCAAGTAATAAATTCTATAATTTCCAATTTTCCACATTTAATTTTAAATGGAGTAAATAAATGTAATTAGGGTAAATTATGGTCATCCCTAAAGTAAGATCAAATTAAAAAAAAATATTATGTTTGAGTAATTTCAACCACTCATCAGTTATGAATCTTCTTAATTACGCATTCAGCCTTATGGTGTCAAATTCAACAGATTCTTCTACATTCCGTGGAATATTCTTTAGTTTGTACTCGTTTTGCAAAAAATGCAGTTTCTGACATATCACAATCTGATATTTACAAGCCAAAAGACACATCTTATGACCATCTTGTTTCGAATGTGGAGCTCGAATGGATTAAAACGGATACAAAAACTTGATATGCCTAATTGGGTTAACCCAATGAGCCTACAATTTCTTAACCTAATGGGTCACGAGCCAAATATTGAAGACCACTACCACCGAGGCTCAATCACCTTCAAGTAAGGTTGGGCCTCGACAATCTCAATTAAGGTATAAATAAATGTTTGAACTCATTTATTAAGGTACGTCCTATTATCTGAGCAATACTACAACATGTATTCTCTGGACCATTTCAATTATCCGCACGTCTGACTTGAGCGTCGGAGGGGTTTCCGCCGGATCAACCTCCGGCTTAGTTTACGTGGTCTATAATCGCAGGTATCTCAAGGTCATCGATCAAGCTCGTGAATCAATGATCTATTTTGCTCCTCCAGCTCATCTTACTTCAACTCTCTAAGGTGATCTAACTTTAGCATCATCAAACCTGAAGAATATTCCACGGAATCTAGAATATTGTGTTAGATGATTCATAGTTGAGTGTGCGATTGTAACTACCCAAACAATAAATTTTTCGTAATTTAACTTTACTTCAGAGGTGAAAACGTAAATTACCAATACAATTAAAAATAAAAATTCGAGTGGAATTAGAAATAAGCAACTTGGAAAGTGGTAGATATTTCATCACCAACCCTTTCTATATATACACCATCTTCTTTACTATCACTCTATATATAATTTGAAAACAAAAAAGAAAAGCAAAAAGAAAAAAGGTTGAAAAAAATGGTGCTTTTGGATCATTTGTGGGATGACGTGGTGGCCGGACCTCAGCCGGAGCGTGGCCTCAAACATCTTAAGAAGGTCTACACCCAGCCCTTGAACATCAAAGGTATACATACATACATATACGTCGTCGTTTTTGTTTTATTTTAATTTAATACTATGATTAATTCATCACGACGATGCAAAACTCAGCCAAAACACACACACACACATGTTATGGTGTGTGTTTTATTTTATATATTTATGTTAATATTTTATATATATATATAGGATTGTTGGATGTTGGAGAGGGTAGTAGCAAGTTCCAGAAGTCTCTGTCGATGCCGTCGAGCCCAGTGACGCCGGGAACGCCGACTACGCCGTCGCCTACGGCGGCGGCGCGTAAGGATAACGTGTGGCGGAGCGTGTTCCACCCCGGGAGCAACCTCGCCACCAAGACCATCGGAACTGACTACTTCGACAAACCGCAGCCCAACTCCCCCACTGTTTATGACTGGTATATATATATATATATAGACATACTAATTAATTGTACTTATCGGTTATAATTAAAATTAATTATAACTTTATTATTTATTAATTAATTTATTTTTGGCAGGCTTTACAGTGGAGATACGAGGAGCAAACATCAGTGAAGATTTGGAGTCACCGGTGCTGCATGTAAATATTGAAGTCGAGCAATATATAATATATATATATTATGTGTGTGTGTGTGTGTTTCTGTATATGTATATAGGTTGGGGTTCTGATTTCCTGCGTTAATTATGATGTGATTAGTGAAGTTGTTTTGAGCTAATCGAGTATTTAAGTTTTGTATTAACTATTAAGCAAATCAAGAGAACAACACCGTTTAGTGGTGCACTGCGTTTTTCTTACCGTGTAGATCGGACTTCTCCGATCAATTTATGTATGTGCAGTAATAAAATAAGTTTGACCTCATCAATTTTCCTTTTCTTCTTATTTATTTATTTATTTTTTTTTCCCCAGTTTTTATGCTTATCTTGCCAATTATTAAACAACTTTATAATCATTTATTAATTTTCCCCACAAAAAGAAATAATAAAAAAAAGTCACTGCACAAATGGACAACCTTTTAAACTTATCTTATACTATATAGTCCCCACCACCATCTCAATTACATATGTAGGAAAATAAAAATAAAAACATTTAAGGACAGTAAATTTCATTACAGTACAATTGGTTTTTATGTAATTTTTTAACTTCAAAAAAACCACTCAACTGGAACAAAAATATACAAGTAAATCTACTGTTGTGTAGTTTTATCAAGAAACCTCAGAAGGGATATAGCTTCTTCCTGCATATAGTTCTTCTCCCACTCAATTTCCTTCGCCTCCGTTCTCCTTTCGTCGGTATGCTAAGACCTTCGAGAAAGAAAATTCATAGTGCATTACAGTACGAAAAATGAAAACGAAAAAAACGAGACATGTTGCTTGCATGTCGATAATTAATTAATTAATTACAGGTAATGTCGTACCAGATTTCGCTGCGTAAACTTTGTATTGATTTCGTCCAAGGTTTGATCGTCGTTCAGCAGCTGCAACTCATTATTGTGGCAAGGATTTAAGACCGAAGATCCCTTTGGACGATGATAATCTTTTATTACAAGCATCTCGATTTCACTAGCTTCAACCGATGTCTGCATTGCGATATACTGCACGAGATACGGTTTTTGTTGAAAAGAATATCTTCACAATTTTGTGTCTAGCGTTCGTTCTTAATTGACAAACGGAAGATGACGAATTATATATATATACCTGGCATAAGTGTCTAACTGATGATGTGTGGCTACAGCATAGGTAAGGCCGCTTCAAGTTCGGTATCTTCTCGTGCAACGAAACGAGCATCAGACTAATTTTAAACTGAAACGAAGAAACATAAACCCCTGTATAAGTTCCCATCGACGGCAAAAAGAAAAATAGAAATCCGGCTCTAATAATAATAATAATAATAATAATAATAATAATAATGACACCTCAGCATCTTCATGTAAAGATCGGAGATGATTGACAAACTTAGAGAGGCGATTAGGCTTGGAAAGCCTTCCATTTGCCCAGTTAAGGCCACCATGACGGGTATTGCTCCTTGCGCCACCTCTTCCCCAGCCGAGAATTTTTCTGCTGTGGACAAGTGCAGCGGATGCACCTAGTGACTCTTTGTCCTTGTCTGAATCTTCATCTTCATCATTGTTATTACAACCTTCGTCTGCATTGGCTTGTGGTGAAGGCTGTGAAGTGAGAGATACACGAGATCTTTTGTACTTTCTTAATTTGACTAGTTCGGGGGAGTGCTCTTCAGACGAAGAAGAGTCCTTGCTGTTGTCATCTTGACCGTTTGTTCCATCTTCTTCTTCTTCATCGTCATCTGATATGTGGTGTTCGACGACGCGCTGGTTTCTCCGACCTCTCAAATTACGATTGTGCCCCTGTCTTCTGTCTGATGTGGTGGCTGCTGCAGCTGCAGCTTTGGCCGATGGACGTTTTTTACCGAGTGCTTCTGCTTGTCGACGAAAGGTCTGGGCAATTGAATCTTGGATCTGTTTTAAAAACACACAAAAATTAGGCGTATGGAATTAATTTTATTTTTTCTCTAATAACACCGAACAGAAATTTCCGGGTCGGAATCGGCGGAATTCGGAAATTCCAAATATTTAGTCATCTATTATACAAAATATATAATAATATTGATAGTATAAGTGTAATTTTCGTAATATAATCGGAATTTTAGGAAATTAAAATCGGATCGGAAATCATAGTATAATATGTAAATTTCAATTCCGTTAAAAAAAACAGAAAAAATGGAATCGAAATTTTCAGACTTTTCGGAATTCGGAACGAAAAATATTGTTAAAAAATCAGAAAATTCGGTTTGAAATCGGTGGAATCTGGAATTTCCTCTCCAATTTCCACCCCTACCCCCAACCTATCGAAATTTGCCAAAAATAGCCAACTCCACTCTAACCTAACTAAAAATGGAGTTTTAACTGAAAGCAAATGAGAGCTTAGAACAAGAGAAACCAAGCACTATATATTCCACATTGAAGCCCATTTGAGGTATATAATATATACCTGCTTATTGCGAGCTTTCTCCTCTTCATGGAAAGCCGATTCCTGCAGTGACAAACGGGCATGTTTAGTAACGAAGCAGCACAAATCTTATATTAACCGATAAGAAAAAAGAAGGTATTTTCTGAACTATTATTACCTCTTCCTCGTACTTATCAATGTCTGGATACAGAGCAGAAATCAGGGCATCATAGTTTGGATCATCTCTTAACGAACGACGGCTAGCACAATGTGTACGGCAAGCAGGACATTCATTGTTTCTGCAAATCGAGATCGGCGTTTAAAATGTGATTAAATGTGAGCTATTTTTGTAATAGCCATAGTTAATGGATAAGAGGCACAGATTAGTAGTACCCTAGGCGCATGGATTTATCAATGCACTCTCTGCAGAAGCGATGTAAGCATTCCATGACTGTTCTTGTCTTTCTAATTATGCCTGTGCACGGAAAATTTGAAACAATGGTACATTACAGAACTGTCGCGATCAGAACTGCATAATATGCTTTAATAATATCTTCACTTGTAGTTTGCTAAAGTAGGAATTGGTTCAGCCAAATTATGTGTGAATGATTGAACTGGATTTAAAGAACTATATAAACTACTATTTTTGCTTACAGGCAGTCGAATAAAGGAAAGTGCTGCAGCAAGACAAACACGAGTTAGAAAGAAAAAGTACCTAAACATATTGGACATTGAACGTCCTTGCGTATTTCAGACAACTTCACGGAGATAAATCTGAAATTGAATAAACTGTTAGAGCACTGCATACAAGTGACATGTGCAAATGAGGCCAAACTATATGCACTGCCCACCTAAGCGAATGCTCAATGAACCGGGATTGCAGTTCGAAATGCAGTTAAAACACAAAAAGCAAACCTTTGAAAACTGAAACCCCGAAAAAATTTTGATTGCTCACAAAACTGAATATTCCCAAATTTTGAGCCTCCTACGAACTTCTATCACAGATTGTATCTTCTTGTTAAACCCCTATCTCCACTCCCTAAGACTACAGACACATGAACTTCTCATTCCAGATCCCTCGATCTATAATTACCAAATTGTGGCCAAACCCCACCGAGAAACTTTTTCCTTGAATGCATAATCGGCTAAGTATTCCAATCTGCTTTCCTACTTTGAATCGATCATATTCTGCCAAACTACAAGTCTATGAGGATATGCTTCCAACAATAACTTTCACTAAAAAAAACTATTGGGCAGGAATCAATAATATTTCATCAAAGATGTACGAGTACCAAAAACTACATCGAAGCCTATTTTAACTAGATGACTATGAATGTCGTATACAGTAAAGAACACCGCATACTAATTCCAACAGCATGAACATTGCAAGAAAACAACTATCTAATCATCAAATCCAATTTGCAATCCCTCGAATCTTAATCCACAGACAGAAACCATAATGCTCAGTCAACAAGGCAGCAGTACAGTTCCCGAGTAACATCCTCGAAACTCAATCAACAAATACATAGGGTATAATGCAGGGTCACCTGTAAGCAGATCACATGCATGATTTTAACATGCAAATATCAAGTAATCAAAAGTAAAACGACAAATAAATCGCTAAGATCCAAAAGCGAGGTCCATCCGCCTTAAAAAATCGATCAAACAACACTCTGAATTTTCAATCCCTAGAGGATCTAAACTTGAATAAAGCAAAATAATCAAGCCCAAATCTCCTTTCCGGTGAATCTTATGTAAACAACTTGCATCAGCTAAAACCGCCCGATTTATAAATAGAATAAATTAAAAATTCAAATGAGTATTAACACGGTCAAATCAGACATGTGTGCTTGGGTTTCATACGTGAGCGTATGCGAACATGTATCAGTATAAAACATATATGCATAAAGAGATAAGAAAATATTACTCGTCCTTTTCTCCATCGCTGGAGTAAGAGGTCTCGTCGGAATCTGAAAAATCAAACACAAAAACAAAACAACAAAATAAATTCAGAGGGAGAAAAAAAAATTGCTGACTGAAAATCGAATTCAGCGTAGCCAAGGAGAATGCATGCCCGCAGACGTGGGAATGTGTGTACATATATAAAGCAAGTACCGGAGGCGTTTTCATGCTGCTCGTGGTTACGATTATCGCCGCCTTGGAGCGAATCATCGGCTTTATCTACCTCGAGCGGCGGTGGCGGTGGCGGTGGAGAAGACGGCGGAGTGGGGGTTTCTCGGGGGCGCTTTTGGACAGGCATTAAGTGGCGGAGGTGTGAGTAGGAGCTAGGGCGTCGGTCGGTGGCAGCGGCGGTGGTGGAGGAGGTGGCGGTGGTGGAGAGAACGCAGTCAATGAAGAAATCGCGTAGAATTGTTCTGGTTTTTTTTTGTAGAAAATAGAATGTAAAGAGTATTTCTTTTGTACCTGTGTGAATTGGGGTTCATTCGTCTCCTGTTTTCTTCTCTACGGTTTTCTACAATTTCACTCAAAAGTGTTAAAAAAATTCATCACCTATAAAAAAATGAAACAGTTTTAAAAAGCCATCGTTGGCGATTTTTCAACTCATAAAATTCAATTTGTTAACGTTAATATGGTTCTATTTTTCATGCTTCACCAAACTTTCCTGTGATAAATTTATAGTAATAAATTAATTAGTTATGAAAAAAATATAGAGAAAAATTAATTATGATCCTTGCCTAGCTAAAAATAAACAAATATATCAAATTATTAAATATATTTTGTATTAATACAAGTAACAATGATAATATAAAATAAATATTTTTTAAGGGCTAATATATGGGCTTTTAGGTGGGATATGATATTAATTGGGCCTAGACTCATTAGATTCGCAATTGGGCTGAAATAGTTCCTCTTTTATTAATAAGCAGACTTTTATTAGATTGCCAATTGGGCTGAAATAAGCAGTTCAGACAATTTCTTACATTCGTTGGGAGAGAGCTACTTCATAATTGATTCACAAACACCACACAAGAGTAAAAAAATACAAGATCGAAAGAATCACTCAAGAAAACTTGGTTTTCTTGCTCAAGCAACAATCTCTCTCTCTCTCTCTCTCTCTCTCTCTCTCTCTCTCTCTCTCTCTCTCTCTCTCTGAATTAGCTAGATGAGTCATCAATATGTTAATGCTTTCGTTGGTGTGTCCACCGCCGCGGCTGGTAAAACTGTCTCACACGGGCGAGATACCACTTGCTCCATTCATCATACTCCACGTCAACACGAGTTAGTCAGAGGGACTTGTTATCTTCTACACTCTCGAGTGCACAAACGTAACTTCTTAGTTGACCAGCTTCCGCTCTTCTCTTGCCACGTGGACTAGCAGTTTCTAGGAACAAGTGTTCCTATAAATCATATCCCCTATAAAAATCTCTTATGTATGTCTTTTACCTAATTTCATTTTCTTTAGAAGAAAATACTACACAAAAAATATACAACACTCATAATATATAATTAATTTATGATTTTTTTAATTAGTTTATTATTTATGATATAATAATAATGTGAATGTGAGAACACATAGACACGCACATGCTCCCACTGGTCCATTTTAGATCTTTTGGAATTATTTGAGTGTCCTAATTATTTAAATTATTACAATAAAAAGCAGTCGACAATTTTCTGGTAAAAGTTAAAAGTAAATAGGCTTCTTTGCATGGGCTGTACCTGGAATATATTTCCTGTCTTTAAATACGTGAAACCATCATATTATCATATATATATATATATATATATTCAATTATTGAATCTTACTTTTTTTTAGTAGCCTGTAATTCATAATTAACTAATTTGGAATTTCGTTTTTAATAAGTCTTCATGCATATATGTATAATAATTACCAGTCCGCCGCCGCTACAGTACCATATAATATATTATATATTCATTACAATTTAAATTATGCAGTGGAATCATATTTTAATGAAAGAACAAGAAGTGGGATTTGCTTTAGTTAATTAGGGGGAGATACATTTATTTATATATATCTATCTGTATATCTCGCTCCAACAAAAAAGAATGTGTGTGTATTAGTGCGTGTCACTGTATAGAGATATATACATACACACTTATATACATACATACATACATACAGCAAGTTGTTTTTGGTTATTATATATACTTTCTTGAAGTTGTAAAGCTTCATATCTGTCATATGCAGCACACCTTTACTTAATTCTGTGTCCTCTTATTCCACTAAGAAATATATATATATATATGAGAGAGAGAGAGAATTATTTACATTCTCTCTCTATTTTTTCTTAAGCTTATATTCTTACTTAGCTCACACTTCCAGGCTAGTTTATATAATTAGTACATTGAACTGAAATGTTAAATGTAATTTGCACTTTACTAATAATGTTTTGACTTATAAGAATTGGATTTTGACCATTTTCTAGTTCGATTCTGGCAAAATACAAAATAGAAAAATTGTAGTCATTTATGTTAGCTTTCTAAATCATCCTGAGTCAGCAAATTTGAGTGTTGGATAACAAAGTTATACATGAATGAGTTACATTATCTTGAATAAAGATGAACTAAATTAAAACTAAAATTGTGATTAATTAATCCTATCATCGTAATTATAAACAAGTTATATATACATAACAATTATAATTTGAAAATCATGAGTGAATACATATAAAATTATTGACTTTTAACGTAATCCAACGGTCATTGATATATCACTCATCACCTTCCGTCTCATGGAGGAAGGGGGTTCCGCCTATGCTATATGGACGTACGAATTACACTTAATTAAACGCTCTATAAATTAGTACAGTCGGGACTAACCAATTATTCGATTAATTTAGCAAAATATTAATTTAACGCTCAGACGTGCAATTACGAGTCCTTTGTGTGTGAAACAAGAATTAGGAAAATAACAAGAACCCTGCAAGAAAATGTCGTCCACTGTTCATTCATGTCCACAACACCAGGTTTACAATCTCTCTCTCTCTCTCTCTCTCTCTCTCTCTCTCTCTAAATTATTAAAGTACACACACAAACACGACCCCATGCATGTTTTTTTTTTCTTCCTTATTTTGTTTCTTAGCTTTTGTCATGGGGAATCTCCCTCCCTCTCTTTCCGCGCTCTCCAAAATCATTTTTAGCCCTAAAAATTAATATCCACCATTTTTTCTTCTTCTTTCTGATCAGATCGAAGCACCACCTTATTAATTAATTAATCTATGGCTTCATCATCTTCAACGAACAACAAATCCAACGGCCAAGATCCACTCAACTGCCCACGCTGCAATTCCACCAACACCAAATTCTGCTACTACAACAACTACAGCTTATCTCAGCCGCGCCACTTCTGCAAATCCTGCAAGCGCTACTGGACCCGCGGCGGAACCCTACGTAACGTCCCCGTCGGCGGCGGATTCAGGCGGAACAAGAGGCTCCTCGTCGTCAAGAGACCTCCGCCGCCGCCGCCCTCCTCCTCCGCCGCCGTTAATCCTATGTTGTTTTACAGCCAGCTTCCATTTTCAGGGTTTAGCAGCAGCACAGCTAGGGTTTGCTCCACCGACGAACAAGATGATCGGACGGCTCAGATGAATGGATTTGGATTAGGGTTTTCATCTGGGCTACTTGTGGGCGGTGGTGATGAACAGTGTCATAATTACGAAAATAGCCCTGTGTTTTTAGGATCTTCTTCGAGCTTTGCTCCCGGTTCAACAATGGCGTCTTTGCTTGCTTCCGGTCTTCACCACCAAAACGGGTTTCCGGGTTTGATGCCTTATGAGGATATTCAAAACCCGGGTTGGAAAGAAGTGGGTACAGAAAATGAAAACGGGTCGGGTAGAAATAATAACCCGAACCCGGTTCATGATGAACAGATTAATAACGACTTCTCTAACTGGTTCGATTCTTAATTATTTTTTTTTTTTTGAAAAATCCCTAATTAAATAAAAAAAAATATGGGTTTTATATAAGTATTTTTGGGGTCTTTCATTTTCTGGGGGATAAATAAAGCTTAAAGCGTTTTTCTTAGGGTTTTTTTTTTTTCTTTTTTAAATAAAGTTGGGAAAAAAGAAAATTATTAATTCAAAAATTCAGCTTTGCTTATTGTTTTTGAATTGTAAGGCTGGACTGCATTATCCCATTTTGCGTTACGAGGAACCTCGGATCCTTCTTCGTCTCATCGGACCAGATTTTGTGAACAACAACGTTGTCCGAAAGGTAATTAAGTAGCTCAAGAATTTTGGTGATATATATATTGGTTTATACGATTTCGATGTGTATTTGTGTATGGAGTTTATATTTATATATAGATCGATGATTCATTTATTTTTATTTATTTTTTTCAAAATATTTTGAGATTTGAGTTGATGGAATAATGTTAAATGTTATATTTAACGCAAGCTTTTTTTATATGTTTGTATGAAAAAACATGAATAATAAAGTGAAATTTGCTTGTATATTAGTGAATACATTTGTCATGAACACTGTAGCAATCATATCATAATTAAAAGAAAATAATCTTAATCCAATGTGAAAATTTGGGTTGAAATTTAAACGAGGCTTATTCAGACGATCTAATATAATAGTCAAACGAGCGTAAACGGACTTTTTATTACCTATTTTGAATCAAATATATCGAGTAGTTTAATTTGATTTTCGGACAATCGTGTGTCGATTGATGACCAATTGTTATAACATAAGATTTAATTTCCTATATTGTGTTTTTAATTAGGACAAGTAACAAAAAATACATACCTTATGATCATTTGACTGAATTGACCTCTAATCATTAAAAGTCAATTTATATACTTAGATCAATAAAATCGTGTGCAAATGCTTCTTTGATTAAAAAAAAAAAAAAAACAAGAAAAACAAGAAAAACAAAAAAACAAAAAAAATAACAATCCTTCTTCATTCAATCACTAGTCATTACATATAGTTCATATATAAATATATAATTCAAACATGTAAATTGTAAATAAACATATGTTTATTACAATTTAATGGAGAATCCTTTTATTTGGAGGCAGATATCTAATTAATCATTACTATTTCTACATTACAAATAATTCTACATGAATTTTCTGCCTTTTATTTTTGTTGTAATTTATGCATGGAAAGAAAAATAATCACTGAGAAGGATTATACATATTGAACCCATGATAGTTATCAGACATTTGGTTTCGACCAATGGAAGACGCCGCCAGATCAGCGCCCTGCGCGGCTGAATAGCTGGAGGAGGCGCCGCCTGTGTTGAGTAAGCTTTGATTCCAAAAACCCAGATTCCTCTGCGGAATCAAATTCTGATTCTGAGCCATAAAATTGGCCGGCGGTTGAAACTGATGCACCGTCGCCGGCTGAGGTTTCACCGGTGGAAGATTCATCCCCTGCAGCATTGTCATATTCCCACCAAATTGGTTGCCTCCACCGCCGTAATTCGCCGGCGGCGCGGCCCCTTGATTGATTCCGGCGAAGAAAGAACCACCCGCCGGGGGAACAACCTGAGGAAAAGGCCTCGACGGCTGGCCGGCGGCAACATTTTGGCGCACCGGCGCATACCCTCGATTTCCTGCATTTCTGGGGCGCTTGTTGTTTTTGCGGCGGCCGCCGCCGACGGGGACGTTCCTTAGGGTTCCGCCGTGAGTCCAGTACCTCCGGCAAGCCTTGCAGAAGTAGCGGGGCTGGGCGAGGCTGTAGTTGTTGTAGTAGCAGAACTTGGTGTTGGACGAATCACAGCGGGGGCACTTCTGGTGGGGCGGAGGCGGAGGCGGCGGTGGTGGTGGGGGAGGGGGTTGATTCTCCGGCGCGTTCATTGCTGGAGGAGGAGGAGGCGGCGGCTGCTGCTGTTGGTCCATTTTGGTTCATTTTCTGAATGGTCCTTTCGGGGGTATTTATAGTGCTGGACAAGGGATTGTGGTTTAAAGGGATTCGAGTGTAGAAGCTTTAACTGCTTTGCGGGCGAGGTTGCGATAATTCAACGATGGAGATATATATGTAATCCGGACTTTGTTTGTCTTGATTATAAATCTGGATTATCGAAACCTGCAATTATGTCACGAAATTTAATAACTTAAATCTTTATTGCAATCTATGTCGAAAATCACGAAATCTGCACGGATTTTTAGTCCTAATAATGGTAATTCAGATAGATGTTCCAATTTAATCTCTGCACATCACTTCATCATTAAGATTTTCTTAAAATATATATATTTTTCAAACATTAAAAAGAAATACCGAGGCAATGCGAAATCATAAAAGCGCCATTCCATTTTTGAGTACTTACCACCATTACGCCTACACAAAACAGGAATACCTCCATTCTCTACGAGAGGATCGAAAAACATTATCCCTTCAACTCGGTATAGCAACTCAGTCCTAAATATTTTCGCATTCTGCCAAAATAGATTTTTAAAAATGATTAAAGTAATATAATTGGACATGTACAGAAATTAAAAAAAAATGAAAAGAAAATGTGATTAACCAAAATACCTGATTCTGATTCATGGGAATATTAACTACAATATCCGGTCGATGCTTAAAAATTTGAGAACCAGCAATTATACTTTCATTGTCCACATTTGATGCAAGTATAATAATAATTCTCCTGAATTTGACACCGAAACTCTCACTTTCATCCGAAGTGCCCTTATCAAGAATTTCGAGCAGGCTCTGATAAAGCACATCGTCAGCAAATTCAAAAAATTGGAAACCGGAATTTCTGAAATTGGAATTAAAAAACTTGTTTGAAAATTGGAAATTCCGAATCAGATAGTCAGTCACACAAAATATAAAGTACATAATTGATAGTATTAAGTATTATTTTCGGAATTTCTTTTTGGAATTTCCGGAATTATTTTCAGAAAATAAAATCGGAATCTCATATACATCACAATTTTGATTAAAAAAAAATCGGAAAAATCGGAACTCGGAATGAAAAATTTATTCCAAAATGGGACAAATTCGGATGGGAATCGACGGAAATAGAAAATTCCGTTCCAATTTACACCCCTAAACATAAGATACAAGAAAATCAACTCTATAAGCTAAATCAAATAAATGTATTGTACCTCTTCAGTTACAGGTATCAGTAGTGGGTATGTTTCAGAAAATCGGGACATCGTTGACAGGTCATTTGCGAGCATCAGATACTAAACTTCCGCCACATTCTAACAAACGTAAGCATTCACTCCGTAAGTTGAATATCCGACAAACTGCCTCCACCCTCATCCTTAAGAAGCGTATCTAAATTAAACACATCTTCGGTAGCAACTCTATTTTTTTTTTATGATATTACCAAAAAAAAAACTTAAAGATGAGAAAATGGAAACTGATGGTGTTTTCTGCAATCAGAATCATGCCTGAAGATGCAATTATTTACATCTTTCCATCTACCTTAAACTGGTATCACGACGAAATCTAACCTATGATGGATTCAATTAATTATACTATTTTTTTTTTATTTTTTTTTTTGAAGAAGATTCATCGTAAATAACTAGGAATTAAATAGAATAGACTTCTTATTTCTCTTGAAAAAGCAACAATATCTTTGCCCTCGACAACAACATTGATCTTTCACATGAAGCACAAACCAGTACAACGACGACTTACATTTAGTCCTGTTGCCTTGCGAGATAAAATATTTCTCCATAAATATCTCTTAACTGCAGCCCTGTGATTGCGGTCTCCACGACAAGAATTTTATCAACTGAATCTAACAGATCAGCACCTAAGATTTTTCCCGCCTACAAATTCCATTTAAAAAATTAATAGTTACAAGCAACCAACCATCAACTTTGTAAACCAATGGGGGCAAAAAAACATGTACATTATGGTGTTTTAGGAAATTATGTATGTACAGTTTGTCGTAAGATCAATCGAATTAGAGCACGTCACAAGCCTTGTCAATTTTATCGAGTAGAATAACTGAATAAGGACGTTTTTATCACAATCTCAGTCAGTTTATTCCAAAATTCCCATCGTATACTCTTTGACCTGAAAGAAAAATTCCAAAATCAAGAGAGAGATCGATACAAAAAGAGGTTTAAATAATACAAATCGAAAGAGTTAAAAGAATCTATGCACTACCAATGACGTGCAACAGCCTTTGCAATCTCCGTTTACCAACAACAGAAGGCCCCAAAAGAATAAACAAACCCCTAGGGCACGTAGTGTTAGTCGTTTTCTCGGAAGCCATAGTTTATAAATTTCATTACTCACACACATTCGATTAACCACCCTCTAGTTTGTCATATAAATGGCCTTATTAAGATGGTTTAACAGTTGAAAGAATCTGCGTGAGCGGGATATCAGTCAGCATGCTCAGCACCTACACATATTCATGTAGATCGACGCGGAATCGCGTTTCCTCTTCAATCGAGTTCCTAAATAATTCAACGGAGTTCGATAACCGCACCACGCAGCTCATGCCATCTCATCGAAATCCAACTCGTGGGCGCAATTTCTGAAATTTTTCAGATTTGGACAACTTTTTTTTTTCGGCCTACATCCTATGTGAAAAAAGAAGTATATCATCACATAATCCGATTTATATAAAGAGATTCTATTGATACACAGTGATCGAAATTTCTAGGGTTCCTTATCTTCGATTCGGTTGTTGGTTTTGAGAAAAAACAGAAACCCTTGCAGCAAATTTTCAGTTCCAATCACAAATTCACAGCGGCGGACACTTGAAAATAAAGAACTAACCGTTGATCAGCTCGGAATTGAAGATTCTAATGCCGCGCAAGGCGAGATCAAAAGCGCGGGAGGAAATATATGAACAGTGCATTTCTTCTCCAGCTTCGGTTTCGCTTCTCCTAACACCATCGCCACCTTCTCCTCCATCGATTGCGTTATTTTAGAAAGAAATAAGAAACAGTAAATAAAAAGAGATAAAGTTAGAGGACTGATATGTAATTCAGTCATAATAGGGGTGGAGAAAAAGGTAAAAAACACACGTAACTGGTACAACCGTAAGGCTAAATTACCAAAACCCTCCTGAACTTAGGCTAAATAACGAAAAATAGCCCCACCTATTTGTAATCATCAAAAACTTCATGAGGTTTGTTCCCTTCTTACACCAACCCTTTACAATGTGATTTTTCACGTATTTCTTTTTTTATTCTAGGGAGTATATTTTACACAATTTCAAATATTTTCTTTTATTTATCACCTATTTAATAGAAGGTATAATAAACTGTACACATTTTCTATTAAAAACTCGATCAACATTTAAGCAGAGGGGATTTTGGTTATCACGGATAGGTGTGAATGTTTTTTTTATTAGCCTAACTTCGGGTGTTTTCATAATTTACCCTATATGTAAAAAAAAGGGTAAATTCAATTTTCCCCATTTTACTTATATTTGGTATCACTTTACGACCGTCGATTGCATCGATTTGCCGCCATACACTTGAAAATTTGTTTCAATGTGGTCATTGTTGTTAGTTGTCAAATATTTGACATTAACACCTTTGGATCTAAGTTCTGAAATTACAAAAACACCACATTTGTCAGTTTAAATAATTATTATAAAATAAATAAATAAATAAATAAATAAAAAATTCAAGACAACAAGAAAACACAGTCCACGACGCCAATCACAATTTTTTATTTTAATTTTTTAATAATTATTTAAACGGGGAGGCGTGGTTTTTTTGTAATTTTCAAACTTAAATCAAATGGTGTTAATGTCAAAGATATGCAAACTAACGACGAGGGTCACATTGAGACAATTTTTCAAATATAACGGGTAAATCGATGCAATCGATAGTAGAAGGGGGTAAAGTGATATCGAGCCAAAGTAAAATGGGGGAAAGTGGAACTTACCAAAAGAAAAAAAAAAAGAACAATAAGTAAAAAGAGATAAGTTAGAGGACTGATGTGCAATTCTGTCATGATAGGGGTGGAGAAAAGGGGGTTTTTTGCAAGAACCTCCCTTGTGTAATCTCTAATTGTCGAAAAAGTCCCCATGTTAAAAAAATTAGCAAAAACCCCCCTATGAAATTTATTCAAAGGCATTAAGGCCCCTGACAGAGAATCGTGCAATGCACGCGCGGATTGTGCAACTGGAGGTGCGTTTTTTGACCTTAAAATACTTAAATACCCTTTATCATAATTTCAAGAATTACAAAATCACCCCGAATTTTTTATAAGCACCAAAATGAAGTTTTTAAAATTTTCAATTCACTCCATAGCACTTTCGGATAAGCCCTCTTCTCCATCAGACCTAAGCTCTCCTTACCACCCGGGCACCACCGCCCCACCTCGACACACTACGGCGCTGTCTACGTCCCTCCACTCCGTAATATCTCCCCCAATCTCACCAGATCCGTAATATCTCCCCCAATCTCACCAGATCGCGCCGTCAGTTCGTAACCCTAAGCAATTTCCCAAGGAATGGTCATTGGGATGCTTCGACTTTAATAACGGAAATTAAACCTAATGCGAGAGTCCTTCCAACTCTCAATCACCAAGTTAGATACTATCTATTAATATGATGCCTCGTTCTCTTCCATTTTTTTTTCTGTTAATCCTCTTCTCTTCCATTACTATGGTTTAATTTTGTGCCTTTTTCTTTTTCTTTTTTAATTATTTTTTGATGTTATTATATGTATGTTTTGTTCTTTTCCACGTGACTAGTTTGTAATTTGTATGTATGGTGAGCCTGAACCGGCCACGTGTGAAAGTGTGAGAGAGGAAGATGAATTGGGGTTTGACTTTTCATTCACAATTTTAAGTGTGGGAGGCACTTTATTCTATTTTAGGGTAGGGGTAATTTTGTCTTTTCAGTTAAGTCAATACCAAAATCTCGTATAATGGGCAGTATGCTATACAAAACACAACATAGGGGGTTTATTGCTAATTTTTTTAACATAAGGTTTTTTTTGGCAATTTGAAATTACACAGGGGGTTCTGTGCTATTAGCTCGGAGAAAAGGGTAAAAACACATGGTGAACGGTAAAACTGTAAAATTCTAAAAGTTATTTTTTTTTTTAATTCTTTTAATCAAAAAATCTGAAAGGATTCACGTTAATAATAAAAGTTCTGAAATTATAAAAACGTCATCTCTTCCAGTTTAAATAATTATTAAAAAGAACACAGAACAAAATAATAGAAAAAAAATGAGAAAACATAGCACACGACGTCAACCGCAATTTTTTTTAATTTTTATTTTATTTTTTATAATAATTAGTTAAACAGGAAGGGGTGACTTTTTTGTAATTTTCAGACTTAGATCAAACGGTGTTAATTTTAAAGATGAGGGCCACATCGAGACAATTTTTCAAGTATAAGTGGTATATTGATGAATGGATAGTAGGAGGGGGTGAAGTGATATCGAGCCAAAGTGCAAAGGGGGAAAGTGGAATTTACCCAAAAAGAAAAAAAGAACAATAAATAAAAAGAGATAAGTTAGAGGACTGATGTGAAATTCTGTCATAAGAGGGGTGGAGAAAGGGGTAAAAACACACGTAAAAGGTAAAACTGTAAAATTCTAAAAGTTTTTTTTTTTTATGTTATTTTTTTAATCAAAAAATCTGAAAGGGTTCACGTTAGTGAAGAAACAAGCACGGATCATCGGAGAATCGTTGAGAGAGAAGATAACAAGGTGGCGATCATGGTGTTGGGAGAAGCGAAACCGAAGCTGGAGAGAAAATACAGCGTTCGAATTTCCGCCCGCGCTCTTAAATCATTCGATTCCATTTTGATCCCCGGTTAGTTTTTCTTCTTTTGATTTTTCGCCGGTTACTGATTTATTTTCGCCGGCATAGTGATTTTTTTAGGGTTTCTATGTTCTCTCGAAACCAACAATCAAATCGCGAAGACGAGGAACCCTAGAAATTTCGATCTGAGTGTATCATTTTATGCATTTCACCGAATTTATTTTTTTGTTATTAATATAATTTTGCATTACTCTTATCACAGAGGATACTGCGCCGGAAGATCTATTGGAAGGGGCATGTAAGCTGGTGATGGAGAAGTTCAGAAACTACGCCCACAATTTGGATTCGAAGTTCAACGAGAAGGCGTACGAGCTGCGCCGTGCGATTGTCGAACTCGTTGAATTGTACAGGAGCGGCCACCCGGATAGCAAATCTTGGGTGGCTCGGTTGAGGGGGGAACGCGATTCCGCATCGTTGTACATGAATTGGTTGTTATACACTTGGGACTTCGGACTCGACGGAACGTTAAACCTAGAAACTGTAGCCAAGCTTAAATTGTTGAATGAGAGCACCTTGGATGAACCATCACCTTTTAAAGAGGCCAGTGACGTTGCTCGGTTTCTTGACGATGTACAAGACCAGTTACTTTATCGGTTCCGCTCTCTCTTAACCGTCGACGATCGTCATGTTCATGAGGTTTACCCGTATTTCCTTATGTGCATTCTTAGTTTCTGTTAATATAATGGCATATGCATCATTGTTGCATATCGATGGCTAACGTTTCCCCGTGTGAGTGTAGGTTCTGAGCAAGCTGACTGATGTCCCGCTCACTCAAATTGTTACATCGGTCGACAATCATTACAAGAAAATGGCCATTTCTATGACAAACAATAGGGTGGTGGATCAAAAACGCGTGATTAACGAAATTTTCGAAACGCTGGCCTCCGAGAGAAGGACTACTATGCGTCCTATGGGTTCGTTTCTTCTTTTGGGCCCGTCTAGAGTTGGTAAAAAGGAGATTGCAAAGGCTGTTGCGCGTCATTGGTATTGTGATGAAAGCCGACTTGTAGAGATAGATATGGCAAAGTATGTAGAGCCTCCAGTGGAATCAGCAGAGGGGTAGTGCATAGATTCCTTCAACTCTTTTGATTTTTGTATTATTTAAACCCCGTTGTATCTCTCATGCTATTAGACCTTTTTCTTTCAGATCAAAGAGGATACGCCGGTATGTCTGGAATCAACTGATTGATGCTGTGAAAAAACGGCCGTATTCAGTTATTGTTCTCGACAAAATCGACAAGGCTTCCTCCAGTGTAATAACGGATCTCCTCAAGGTTTTGACGTGTGGCGCGACTAGCGATTTTGAAGGGAGAACTGTTGACTTCTCTAAGTCTATCATTTTCGTTACTTCGAGTGTGGGATCCGATCAAATTGAATTGCCTTGCACATGCTATGACGATCTTCCGAAACAGTCTAGGCCTAAAATCCTGGAATTCCATATGGCCCATCGGTGTCCCCTAAAATACAATGTTACCGAAAGAGTTATCAACGAGGTACATGTTTTCTTTTTTCTCCATTGGTTTTCGAAGTTGATGATTGGTTTCTTTAGTTATTTATTTTTTAATGGAATTTGCAGGCGAAAGAAACCTTGAGTTCTGATCTGATATGTTCACTTGATAAAGTTCTTGTTGTGAAGAGGTTCCGCAATCAGCGAGCTGTTGGGAGGCTAATTCTTAGGGAAACTGTTAAAGAGGTTTATGGAGAAAGATTAGTGGTGCATGCCTCTAATGAAGCAATTAATTCTCTATTTTCCAAGGCATTGACACTATATGTAAGTAGTTTTTTTTTTTTGTGTCTTTGCTTCATGTGCACGATCAATGTTTTCTTCATCTATAACATCCGTTGTCGTTACCTTCTTTGTTATACCAATTTAAGTTGGGAAAGCCGTTTATAAAACGAAATCAGTTCCCTTTTTCTCATCTTAAGGTTTTTTTTTTTTATTTGGTAATAAGGGGCATACAATAAAAAATTAACAAGAAAGAAAAGAGAGTTTCTACATACCTAAGACGTGGTGAAATTTCAAGCTTCTTGTCTTTGATTGTGATTCTCTCATATCTCTTGGTAGCTGAAAGATGGAAAGACTTTCAGACAAGTATTGCTCGAGGATGTCATTCCACAGATACCAGACACAACTGAAATTCTTAATGTATGTGTTGATACACTTGCTGGAACACGTCAATTTTCGTTTAGATTTCAAACACATGGACAAAATGCGGGCGATTGCTATTTCAAGCTAAAAGATGGGACATTTGACAATTTTACGGCTGAGTTGAAAGCAAGGGTCGAAGCGGCGTGTAGGTTATTCGACTTACGAAGCGAATGCTTACGTTTGTTTCAATCTGACCAAAGTTTATACGAGCTGAAGAAGTTAGTATTAGATGCCCGCAACGAGTTCGAGACGTGTTACAAGTATCAAGACACAGAGACACTACTAAGCTGTATTTTTAAAAAGGTATATATTTATTTTATTGCTTATATTCCGTGGACTCCCTCTTTTTTTCCACGTCTAACAGTTGATCTCCCAAACACCTACTAGATTACATCATGCAAGGGTAAACTTCCGAAAGAGGAAGAGAAGGAGAGGTTCAAAAAGCATCGCATAGAATTGAAAGGAAAAAACAGTGGGATTGCTAAAGCAACCAGAACTATCCTCGGTGCTCTAATGGAGACGAGTGATGATGCTTCATTGAAATCACGAAATTTGCCACCGAGGCATTACTTCTTTGTAGGTTTGAATGATGATGCTAAAGCAGGGCTGATTAGTTCGCTTAACAGGTTTTTGGGAGAATTGTTTTTCGTTTACGTCAAATTAGACAACAACAGCAGAGGTGAGGAAGTGAAGGAGTTTCTTGTTGATCAAGTAAGGCTGAGGCCATGTTTGGTCGTTATGCTCGATGGGGTTGAATTTGCTGATGAAGTGTTGTATACGAGCCTGCTCGAGATTCTTGATAAGGGTACTGTGGACGACAGCGTTGAGTTCAGAAGAACGATCCTTATTCTTACATCAAATGCTGAGAACAAATGGTTTATTGCTGTTAGTGCTATGTTTAATCACAGACGAGATCTTATATCCGAGATTGCCATGAATCAGAATCAGGTATTCTGTTAATCGCATGTTTGGAACAATTTTTTATTATATTTTTTTATTTTTTTATTTTGGCCCGAAAAAATAAAACTTTATCGCATAAAGACATGCCATCTTTCTTTTTCGATCTTACAGATTAGGAAAAAAAAACAGGAAAAGAAGAAAATATTGATGTATGTTGTTCCAAGTATCTCACTATTTTCATTTAAAAATCTCTTTTGGCAGAATCAGAAAAGATTTAGGACAGAGTTGCTTTACCGAGTTAAAAGGGTGGTGTTTTTTGATCCTCTGTCGGAGCATGGAGGCGTACCTTTTAAACGAGAACATGGTGTCAGATACAAGAAGCCCTTGGATGAGATCTGGCTATCTGGCTGTTTCTATTCTGCGTTTGTACGATGATTGATGCAAGTTATGTAAGTTGGTCAGTGACTCTCTCTCTCTCTCTCTCTCATAATTTGCTTAAACTTACTTTTCTTGTCTACAGAAATTCACTTTAAATTATACACAAAGCTCAAACTATCGAGAAACGGACACGTAAAAAGAGGACAACCGCTAAGAGATAAGCATGGGAATAGCCGAAGAACATAGCAGGGGATCATTACGCATACACTAAACGATTGGCACCTCCAACAATCTTTTATCCGGATACTTTGCGCTGTCTTTCCCACACGCAAAATATTGAACGGCGCTCGTTCCACTGAAGTTGAAGACACGGATCCCACAGTTACCCGATAGTCTGCTCGCTCTCTCACCTTGAGTCAGCTGGTGTTGGAAATATCCAATCACTCGCCCAATTTCGTAATTCTAATACTGCATTAATTAAAAAAAAAAATAATAAAATATATGATTATATCATTATTAATTATTTTCAGCACTCTCTCCAATTAATTGGTGGACAGAGACATTTTTAATCTAAAAATATACGATCAACCCTCATTAGGAGAGTTGGTACCTAGTCTTACCAATAGGGTAAAAAGTCTAAGGTTCGAGTCTCCCCTATCGTTCTTTCCCTTGTAATGACTTGAATTACTAAAAAACAAATCTAAATATATACATTTTCATAAAATCAAGTCACATTTAATGATATCACTAATCCTCGTATAAAGCTTAAAAAAAATGACAATTATAAAGGAACTGATGGAGGATGTAAAGATGACTTTGAATGACTAATTCCGATATAATCTGATTCGTCTAATGTTAAGGGTACATTTGATCGACATGATTGGGGGAGTCGATAAGGTAGCCTGCAGCGTACAATGTTATAGATATTTTGGTCCGATCATTAATTCCGAAATGCCTGTGAGCTGTTGGCAAAATGCGAAATGTGACATGTCCTTCATTGAAAACAAATTATGGTAGAGGGGCGTATAGCAAATTATCTCTATTGTTAAAGCCCATTTTATATATTGAGAGCCCATTCTAATTTCAGGCCCAATTAAATATAGAAAAATAAAATAAAATAAATATAAATGATGTTCTCTTTCATCATCCAAAACCAGAATCCGGGGTTTCAATTCTATCCTTCCCCCCCCCCCACTGAACTCACTTTCCACCACCAATCAACCACCGCAACTAAAATGGCAGCCGCTTCCGCCACCGCCCTCTCCGCCGCCTTATCGTCCCTCTCCCTCAACCGCAAACCCTCCCTCTCCTCCTCCCACCACCGCCATTCCGCCGCCGCAAAAACCCCCCTCCCCCTCATCTCCAACAATTCCCTCCGCAGACTCCCCCCACCCAAGGTCAACCCCGCCGACCTACAAACCACAATCTACCCCGACGATGACCCGGAGGGAGTCTCCACATTCAGCCCGCCGGAGCGCCCGGAGGACTTCATCGCGCCGCCGTCGTTCGACGACGGACCAATGGAGTCGGAGGAGGACATCGCGAGAGCCTACGAAGAAATCTACGGCCCCGCGTACAGCGGCGAGACTCTCCTCGGCAACGATGTGTACGTAATGGACGCTAAGGTGAAGAAGGCAACCGGGTTCGGGTCAAAAACTAAGAAAGAGAAAGTCAGAGATGGGTTTGATGAACGGGTGGTTCAGGTGAGGAGGGTTACGAAGGTTGTGAAGGGAGGGAAGCAAATGCACTTCCGTGCTATTGTTGTCGTCGGCGATAAACAAGGCAATGTCGGCGTCGGTGTCGGAAAGGCCAAGGAGGTGGTTTCCGCTGTCCAGAAATCGGCCCTTAATGCTAGACGGAACATCGTCAGCGTGCCCATGACGAAATACAAGACGTTTCCTCACAGGTAATTTTTCGTACTGTGTTTGTGTTTGTGTGTGTGTGTGTGTGTGTGTGTGGATCTGCACTGTGGATGATCGATTCGAAATTGTTCGTTAGAAGCTCGTTTGAGTGAGCTCGGTTTGTTAGCATGAAGAACACGTTCAATAAGCTATGAGCTCGATTAGAAATAAAAATATGATAAAATCGTCCCTAATCGTGTGAAATTTGCGTTTCATGAGTATTACTAGGTTGCTGATTAATTTTGACATGTGGGCTTAGTTGAGATTTTGTTATGTTCTTAGTGATTGATCAATGGGGGGTTTTTTGTACGAAGTCTTGAGGAGGTGTGTTTCGTAATTTGTTTCGAGTGATGTTGTACGAATGGCTACAGTGGAAGTGTTCTAACTTTTAGTTCTGCATCTATTGTTCTTGATATCATGTTCATCACTTGCACTCTTCTTTCGATCATGAAATCGAGTTGGAGATTTTGTTATGTTTTTGGTGATTAATCAAAAGGGTTTCGTAAGCATTCTTGAGAAGCTGGTTGGTTTTTTTTTTTTTTTTTTCAATAATTTGCAAAGTGTTTGAACTTTTAGTTTCCGCAGCAATTTTTCGATCATTTATGCTCTGTTTTGGATCTTGAAATCGAGTAAGCAAAAAGTATTTGTTAAGGAGGGTTTGTTTGATTTATAATGAAGAAGTTTGTAGGCTTTTCGATTGTGGGAGTTACTTGCCAAACTTGACCTTAATAGTTCGTCTCCTTTTTCTTGATTTTCCTTTGTAATATTACAATTGAATGGTACAACAGATCTGAAGCAGACTATGGGGCAGCAAGAGTGATGCTTCGACCAGCTTCACCAGGTACAGGTGTCATCGCCGGAGGGTCAGTCCGGATAGTTCTAGAACTCGCCGGAGTCGAGAACGCCCTCGGAAAACAGCTAGGCAGTAACAACGCTCTAAACAACGCAAGAGCCACAGTTGTTGCTGTACAGAAGATGAGACAGTTTCGTGAAGTGGCCGAAGAACGCGGCATTCCCATGGAAGAATTGTGGAAGTGATTCTATTCATTATTATTACACAAACTTAATTAATTAATTGTCTGTTCTTTTTTGTAGAGAACTAAATCAAAGTTGTTGTTGCCAATTTTCTCTTGTTGTTGTGTGAGTAAGAAATTGTTTATCTTGTTTTCAGTCCAGAAACAGTGTTGTCTTTTATCTCTGTCTGTTGATTACTGTATTCTCTGTCTTAATGGGATAATGCATTTTGTATAGTATTTCCAGAGGCTGTTTTATTGCATACATTCTTGAACAGAGCAATGCAACCAGACAAACTATATTACCTTAAAACCATAATTCATGTGCACAAGAATGGGGAAAACACTACCCGCAAGGGTGGCCTAGCGGTTGGAAGCAAGGGAGTTTGGGTCAATTGACCCAAGTTCGAATCCCCTTGCCAACGGTCGCTAGGTCGAGCTTGTCACACATGGTTAGCCTAGTGTGGTTTAAATCTCTCGTATGGTTTGCAAGCTATTATACGAGAGTGTAGGTTTACCCAGTGCACCTATATGGTTGGCTGCGGGTTCCTGCATTATCAAAAAAAAAAAAAAAAAAAAAAAAAAGAATGGGGAAAACATATTAAAATTCGAGCCCACGTCCTGGGTCGAACGAACCCATGTTGAATTTCTACGATTCGGGACCTCCTAATCTGCAATGATGGATACTTCTTACTTGCACACATTACCGGTCAACCGATGCCATCCGCCAGTCAACTACAAAGTAATACGGCGAACGTTAAATGAACATTTCAAGCCATTATTCTGCCAAAAAAATTGATCATGTCAGCAATATTACTGCAAATCATCTAAAAGGTTTACCTAACAAAAGCACGGAGGATTGACCGATTTTTTTTGATTTTGATTCTGTCTCTTTCTCAGTCTTAGTGATTTTTTTTGTTATTTTCTCACACATACTTTTTCATTTGTGAAACAAACTCCACAAAGAGATAGGATATATATATATATATATATATATATATATATATATATATATATATATATATATATATATATATATATATATATATATATATATATATAAAATTAAAAAAGGAAAAAAAAGGGATTTTCTTATCAATAAGTTACAAATGAAAGAAAAGTATCTTACTCGGGGAAGCTTCTTGGTGAACTCGAAAAGTTCAAGGCAACTAGGTTAAAAGGTTAATGCTCAAAGGCACAGAGATTTTACCGAAATATTGTCCATTAGAACTCCAAAAGGCTCACAATGGAAGGCGATACGACCTTGGAATATTGTCTATGTTGCGGATTTCCTGACAGGAAAATGCCGAAATAAATAAACATTTCAGTTTATAGTAAAATTATTGAGATATAAAAGTTAGATGCTCTTACAGGTGGAAATCTATCTAGTGAAATTTGATCGCAAATTCCGTTCCATGACAAGTTGAGTTAAAAATGGAAGACCTGAAAATAGTTCAATCGAGAAGTAATAACAAACCTTACGAAATCAATGAGACTGCATGTAATGCATCCTTACCACATATTTACGTTAAATAACCACACGAAATATCGATTATTTTCACAATTGCTCACATCTTTTCGGATTGTTTTTTTATATTACCAGCTATACAACATTTTTTAACTAGAATTTCCGGGAATTCAGGGAGTCCAAAAAATACGTATAAGTCGTTAAAATCTATTTCTTTCTTCAAGCACATTATAACATTAGTGGAACGAAAAAAGCAAGATTTTGACAAGAGAAACGAACCAACTTTCCTGGCTTTTTATTTCCATCTGTTTTTTCGGAGAAGGAAAGTCCGTTCACATCCATAAAGTGCATAGCCTCAATCCCAAAAGTGAAACTCGAAATCTGAAATAAATACAGCGCCACGCGTCAAACAGTTAAAAAAAAAAAGCAGTTAATAGTAGTAAAGAAGAACGCCAAAAATAAAATGAAACGAGATAATTAAAGATGAGCTGGAATTTGTGGTTCAACAGTTAAAACAGCCCTTTACAGAACGAAGTCGTATAATACGAGCCTCGAAACACTAGTACATATTTAATACGAGCCTTAGAAACACTCGTTTCCTTGAATATGCAAACTCATCACTATATAGTTCTTTTGATTGCAATAATATTCATTTACTAGAAAATATAATCGACCTCTATTTGACTTTCCTAATACACTCCTTTTTCTCCTTCCATCGCATTGCTATTGCAAAATTCAACTTCTACCTAATGCATGAATATACGGTAAACATTTAGCTCAAAGCAATATGGCCATGTGACATTCATTTAATTTACAACAAATGTGAGATTCACGTTACAATTAATAAACGTTGTCACAGAGAGATACTATCAACAATCAATTTCGAAATCTTGGTATTTCGAGCCTTTCACCGAGAATACATTTTATGACTTACGACACTTGATTTTCCCCAAAATCTACTTTTAATACGTTGTTGCAGAGAACACTGTCCCAGTTTCATTACAATGTGCATCAATTTAGCGACCGGCGCAGATGAGTTTTTCAATTTAAATTACCATACAATAATATCCAAAATATTATTAAAACTCCAAAACAAATATTATACGAGTCTTGCTTTAGTATTGCAATAAAAAAGGAAACTCCACAACTAATATTATCAAAACTCCGAATCACGCCTTCAAGATTAAATCCACTATCAAGCAAACTATTGGAAACATAGGTGCGTCCTCACGCAATATCGGATTCTAAACTAGGTTACCAAATGATAATTTGAAACGCATTAATAATATAACAAGACTACCAAACATGACCTTAAAAATACTCTCTATAAATCTCCCGGGAATCTAATGTCGTATCTTAGATATTATCTCGTGATCATACTATATGTATCGCTTCTCCTACCTTTCCAACATAATTAGTTGAGAATTACTACAATTTGTACGGAATCCAACCAAGCCACATATACCAAATCCAAATGGTATATACGAACTAAGATCTACAATTTAGGCTAATCTTATATGCCCCTAACGGCAATAATCCACATTTTGAACATCGCACTTCACAAATAGGTTTGCATCCACATAAGTATCACAACCGGTAAAAGATTAGGCTCCATCCAGATTGAAGGATTTGCTTTGGGGAAGGGATTTGGAAGAAGGATTTCAAATAACTCCAATTTGGAGTAATTTCTCAATTTAAATCCAAAATCAGATCCCGGTATCCAAATCCTTCAATGCCAATGGGGCCTAGATCACCTGTCGAGCAGATAAAAGAAAAACCCAAATTTCTGTCTAATATCCATAAAACTTTATTGTAAACGACTATCTTATACGTTATAATAGTAATAATTATAAAAAAAAAAAAAAAAGTCTCGAGGTATAACCTCAACTTTTTAAACTTCAAAATGCCGATAATGTTTCTTATTACCACGATTGAGAAAATAGCAGCCGCCACTCATATTCGCTTCATTTGTCAGCAAATAAAGAGTTCTTCAATTCAGGAGCTGGAACCAGAACTTGTAGCTTTGTAACTTGCCGAAGAGCCTAATACCAGTGACATCAGTAATATGCATATATATATCATCATCACGAGGCTAAAAAATGCTATGTTGTAAAGAATGTAACTAACCTGAATCAGCACGTTTTTTTCTAGGTTTTTTAGCTTTCGGTGCCTTACGAGTTGTCTCTGCAGCATTAGATTTCTTCGAACTAGTACCACATTCTTTGTCCTGCAAAACAAGTAAAAATAAATTTTCGACTTTTTTTTTTTTCACAATTGATCGTATAAATTCAGGTAGACATACTGTAGTAACAGAGAGCTGACTCTTCTTATGGACAGTTACCTGAGGATGCCTGCAGAAGATATAGAATGGCACATAAAAGAACAAAATTAGCATCTTGCTCTATATAATTTCAAAAAGTATTAAGATACTTCAATTATATTTCGAGCAAAACATGAAATTCGAAATAAATATCCTAATTCCAAATAAGTATATGCTCAAAAGACAATTAAATTACCTGCAATTGGTTGAACATGGCAGCAAGCAAGATAATTCATCAGCACCAAGAAGCTGTGTGATGGAATTGAAGTCCCCGGCAGAAAGACCAAAATGCCCTTGCTCAAATATTCCTACATATATGACAGTTATACCCTTGCATTGAGTGAGAAGCTGAGTCTAAGTGAATAATCTCCCTATAGGCAAAATAGGCCATAGTAAAATAATATTTTCGAAAGCAAACACAGTCAAATTATTTAATAAATCGTCGCTAATATCCCCAACCAAACGAGACCTTAGGATTTCTAAAGAGCTTCTCAAAGATATTTTGCGATGCGTGTAATTTTTGCTCGAATTTAGAATCTTAAACAATTACACAGGCTCGTCGGCATACAAGAGGAAAACGAACCACTATACAAACCTGTTTCAGCAGGTTCGGTTTTAGGCTGGGGAGCTTTTGTTGCATGATGAGTTGGCTCTGCAGCACTCGATTTCTTCGAACCAGTACCGCATTTGTCATTCTATATAACAAGTTTTTTAAAAAAAAATCAGATATTATTCTTTTTTCTATGAACCGAAACCCGATTAACTGAATGAATTTTAGACATACTCCCCCAGAAATGGACAGCTGGCGCTTCTTATTCTTTTGATAATTGCTGCAAAATAAGATAGGTGCATTATTATAATAATCGAAAAATAGAGATACTTGCACATTGTATCATGAATAATACTTCGGATTTCGCATGATCGGTTTCAAGGAAATCATATTAGAAAATGAACGGTTTCGCATGATCGGATTTCGCAATTGCATCAAAAGAATGTATACCTGAAATTGCTTGAAGAATTCATTAAGGTAGCTAATTGATTAACATCAACAATATTCGAGTTAAAATTCAAAGGAATCCCAAAATGCGCGTTCTCCCGCATTCTTGCATCTGCAAAAAAAAAAAAAAAAAAAAAAAAAAAAGTAGAAAAAAAGTTAAAACATATATATTTTTTTATTATTCTTATAACATGTTCGATCTTTTTAATAGTAAGCTAAGTGATTGAATAAAAATAAGATCATGGAACATTTAATAAACCTGTATCAGAAGGTCCCATTTTAAGTTGAATATTTGTCGGTGGATGATGAGCTGGAGATGCAGAAGTACCACATCTCTCATCCTGCATAAAAAAAAATATATTATCTCGGAATATTTTTAATTTAAAATACTACACCATTATATGTACAAGAAAAGTTAGGCATACTCGAGTAAGAGAAAACTGCATAGGCTTCTTCTCAATTTCCTCCCGAGAGTGACTGCAAGATAGAACAAATTAGCAAACAATTCATAAAATGTTTAAATGGCAAAGTGAATATATTATTGAAATCATATAATAAAGTTTAGTTTATTTAACTTTTAGAATGTTACCTGCATATGGCTGAAAATGGCAGAAAGCGCGATAGTTGATCAACACCAACGTTGTGTGAGTTGAAATTCAAGTTCACTTGCTCGTTCATTCTTGAACCTGTACGAAAACAAAATTATATATATATATATATATATATATATAATAAAAACTTGCATTTTTAAATACCTGTATCAGCATGTTTTAGTTTTAGATCAACAGGCTTTGGGAGAATACGAGTTGGGTCTGGAATAGTTGATCTCCACAAACTAGTACCAAATTTGTTATCCTGCATAACATAGCAGATATATAAATAAACAAATAAACAAATATATATATATATATATATATATATATATATATATATATATATATATATATATATATATGTTTTTTTGTATCTATATATTATTATTAAAATGTAAACATACTCTAGTGAGGCATAGTTGAGGATTCTTATAAACTCTGTCCTGAGGAAGGCTGCAAGATAATAAATATTACAAGCAACTTATTTTATAACTTTCCGAATTTAAAAAAGAAAACGTGGAAATAAATTAAAATATTTTATTACCTGGAATTGCTTGAAGATGGCATCATTCCAGCTAACTGATCAATATTTAGAAGCTGTGAGTTGAAATTTGAATTAGAGTTCAAATCCCTGACAGCAAACCTATTTATAGATTGTCCAGATGTCATATTGAAGCCCGAAAAGGGTGCAAGTTTCAATCCTGGAAATGGCGTCATTGTCGAAAGATTACTGCCTTGCAGAATATTCCCTATATTATTCGGCCTCGGGATTATTGTGGGGCCCGCATTTTGCAGCATGTTGGGAAGTGCTTGTCTTTGCATTGTAGGATATGTGTTCTGCTGCATATGATTGAGGTTCGGGTTTTGCAGAACAGCAGGTTGAACATGCTGTGGCCCATTTCCATTACTCTGATAATTTCGGAAAAATTAATTTTAATTAAAATTCATTTTAATTAAGAAAAAACTTCGAAATTCGGGACAAAACCTTAGATGAGGAATCTCCTGTTTCTTCAGGATATCTAGCCGAGTACACACTCCAAAATATTGACCACCATTCGGACAAAAATCCTTCGGGCGGATCAAGCGCTGGAATTAAAATAAAAAAATAATAATAATAATAAATAAATAAAACATATTCCTCATTTATTACAAAAGAATAAAAATTGTGACATTTTGATGCTAAAAAGCAGATACTCAGAAATAGCACGAAACGAAAGCATTGGCTTAGATAACAAACATATGTCATCAAATTAATAACGCAAAAGGATTCGGCGATTTTTTTTCGATACAAATAATTTGAATTAGCACCATAATCAAACTTGCAACAGCAAGAAGTTTCCATAACACCTATTGCCAGTTATAAATCCACTGTAGAAAAATAAATACACCTTGCATTAATAGAATCATTTATTGTTACTTTTTTTTATTAAAAAAAAAAAAGCAAACGAAAACATTCTTCGTTCTTAAATAGGGGCAAGAGAGTCTTTATCAATCATAAATTCACTAAAATCAAACAAGAAGCATATTTTTGGCATTTTAATCGATAGTTTTTTTTATATACAAATAAATAAATTAATATAAAAGATTCGTCAATATGTGCAGAAGAGTCTAGACTAAATTTTCTGCAATAAATTTTGCCACAACATAAATGCCAGTCATAAATCTACTAAAAATCTAAAATATTTATATATATATTTTTTAGAACACAAAATCTAAAATCAAGCAAAATGCAAAAAAAATATTGCATTAAAAAAAATTAAATAAATAAATAAAAAGGAATCTATACCAACAGGTGTGGGATGAAAATTAGCCTCTCTAGTGAAAATCTCAGCAGTTGTGTGCCTGTTCCTTCTTATGAGATGATTGTAAATGTACAAATCCAACCTGCACAAAAAATAAAAAAAAATTAAAAAATAAATAAAAAAAAATAAATAAAAAAAATTAATAATCAGAAACACACACACATAAATCAACAAACAAAATCTTCAAAAAAAAAAGTTAGGGCATCGAATGATTATCGGACAACTCACATCTTCTGAGCATCCCAGTTTTGTTCCATGGTGATAAATCGAAAAAACAAAATCGAAAAAAATAAAAACAGCAGAGCTAGGGTTTTTGGCGAGAGAATCTCGAGATTAAATCAGTGAGTGGTTTGGTGAGTGACGGTGAGTTGCCATGCAAAGAGATGAACGGAAGAAAGGGGGAAATAAACAAATGGGTGCCAACTTTACAATACAGACTCTCTCTCTCTCTCTCTACCCCAATATATATGTAGACCGAGAAACAGACAATTCTAGAGAGAGAAAATGAGTATTTAATTATTTCTTCAATTGTTTGACTTTTTGACTTTTTTTCCTTCTTTTTTTCAACTCTGTGCTTTTAATTTAATTTAATATTGCATTTTTCGTATTTATTTTGTAGATATAGGTTAAATATATATGATATATGATTTATGTAATACAAAAGTGAAATATAATAATATGATTTATCCGTACAGAAAATATATCTTTTCTTTTTTGATAAATATTTTTAAAAACATAAATTTTTTTTAATTTGTTCTACAGCCAATTAAAATTTACTAGTAGATTTTATTTTCTTTTCCCTGTCATTTTTTTTAATTTATTATATATATATATTAAATAATAATGGTGGATGTGTTCTATGTACTGGAGACCAACAACCCAATCAAATTTCAAATGGAAGGGGACAAACTTATGAACTGATTTTGTCAATTAATGAATTGTAATTGAGGATGTGACAAAAATTATTATTTTTTAATTTATTTTTTTTATGTAATTTTATTTTGGAGAAAAATTTTTGAAATAAATTATTGTAATAAAATTATCCAGGTAAGTTGTTACACTATGTGACAAGCGTAATTAAATGTATATTAATCCATTGTTGCTTTTTTCTGCATTTAAGTGCAAGCTTTTAGATTACACAATCTATATATTTGAAATTTGGAGTAGGTACATTTAAAGCATTTATTATGGATATATACTAATTTAGTATATAATCTATGCAAGTATAGGAAATCATAATATTTGGATATAAATATTGGAAAAGTAAATTGATTTAAATATGCATTATTTGCTTACGTAAAAGCTTATAATCGAATTTCACAAATTATTTATTTATTTATTTTGCAATTTAAATTCAATATATGTCATCTAGTGGTAATTAATCGAAGGAGAACTGTCAAACGTTTGGATTTTGGGGAAATAATCCAAAGATCTTTCGAATGCGAGTTTTTATCCCCGAAAAAAAAAAGATCGATTATAGATTAAAATTTTAATAAAAAATAATAAATTATCCGAATCGAAAGTAGATAGTACGAAATAATCGAAAATTTCAATTTCCAAGAATTGTGATTTTAATGTTCAACATGTAAAACAGATAAAAGTTTTACACTAATAATTAAATAATTACAAGGAAATTATGATAGCCAAAGTCAAATTACAAATTAATACTATAAAGTTTGGGTAATTATTGATAAATATATTAATTTAAATTAAAACATGCTTGGATCTATACTCATTTTCCACACTACTTTTTTAGCAATTTCCCTGTCCATGAAATCAAGCTACAACACAGAGAAGATGACATATCAGAAAAAATAATAAATAAATAAAAAAATAATAAAAAGAAATAATACATATATATTTTTAATTAATTAACACTATTAATCATAATTCATAACCATATTCCCTAAAAATAAATTGAATTCAATATCTACGTATACTTATTCTACGCTCGACGAAGTACCCTATCGTATTCTTATCAAAATAAATATGATGAAAAATACAAAAGAATTATTTCAACAATTACAAAAAAACAGCAAATAATTTTTTTGAAGTTCACTCTATTAATCTTTATAATTCAAACATGTTTAGTTAATTCGAATAAATGTCGAGGGACTTATAAATATTTATAATTGAATTTCTCATTAATTGATCAAATTTTAATAAAATAAATTTAATCCGTTAATAAAGAAAATAATGTTCCTCAGTATTATATTACCAACCTTTATGGGCACATTTGCAGCATTTTCCTCAATACCCTGAAAAAGATAAAATTGAAAATTGGTATTTAAGTAAATAAATAATTTATGAAATTAATAAAATTAAATAATGATCATAAACCTGGGGAGAGGGGTACTCTGAGATATGCTTTGCTATCTCAGCACAGTATTCACTGTAGAATGGAGGAAAGGCAGACTCCAAGAGAAGTCCACGTCGGCATAACATGGGCAGCCACGTCAGCAGGAATCTTTCCGATGATGACGTGTCATCTGCGTTTGCGTTATTGCTAAGACGCAGCTTTGCTCTTTCAGCGCGGCATTCGTTGCAGACTAGGTTAAACCACTCCTGTAGAAATCCTTCTGGAGTATCTATATATAATCACTGTAAATTAATTAAATAAAAAAAACTAAATTATTATTCTAGAGAGAGAGAGAGAGAGAGAGAGAGAGAGAGAGAGAGTATAATTAATTAATTAATTAATTAATTACCACCACCGTCGTTCTGTGAATGCAGATTGGCGTCTTTGGCTAAAAGCTCAGCAGATTGATGAAGGTTCCTTTTCATCATCAGATCGTGAATGTACGAAAATATCCTTCAGAAAACCAAATTCAGTTGCAAATTACAAAAAAAAAAATATCAATTAAATCAAAACACGCACACAGTCACAAACCCTAGAAATAATTAAACAAAACCAATTCAAAAGATTAACTGAAATTTTACACACACGAATTGAACTCACATGTTGTTAGAATCCGAGTTTTCCATGACGAGAGAAAAATAATTGTTTTTAAGGAAGAAAAAATAGTCTTTGATTTATATATATATATATATATATAGAGAGAGAGAGAGAGAGAGAGAGAGAGAGAGAGAGGAGAGTCTAGAGAGAGAATGAGAAGATTATAGAAAAAAGCAGAGAGAGAAAGTGAGTATGAATGCGAACGGTGGTGGTTTCAAGTTGGTGACAAAAGCATGCATACTAGCGAAACCGGTTCTGAAAAAGGACCGGGTTTTTTTCTTTTTAGTTGACCCGCTTTTCTCTATTTTCGGGTGGGACCCAGGATTTATGCCACGTCAGAATATTTTGTCTTAATATGGAAAGCCCGTTACTAAATTTGAGTGAAGGACACTGGACACCTGATGAAGCCCAAATGACACTAATAATAATAATAATAAAACAAAATGGGCTTTGGTAACTAAGAGAAGCCCAGGATGAAGGAAAACCTAATTGAGAAAGAGTACAACTGTTCTAGTGGACCTGCAAAGGAGTGCCGGGAAAGGTGCTCTCGCCGTTAGCACTCTAACGGTCAAGTCAGTCGGGTACAGTGAAAAACGGCATATCTCCCAGAGAGGTGAAATATCGTGTATTGAATGTAAAATATGAAGAGAAGGAACATCTCTCCTCCTTGATTTCATCGATTGTTTCTGATATTAGTTTGAATGTCCGTCGTCGCTCACACATGCCTTATGTCAAGCTATTTGGTAAGGTTTGGCAGTTGTAGTGGATGAGACGACTTTGGCCTGGGCTGGCCTTGGACTTTGTCGAGAACTTTTAATAATGAGAAATTAGCTTAAAACCCTTGTAAAATATTCCCTATAGCTATATGAACGGGCGAATTTTGATCTTTGCTAAAGGTCCATGTACCATTTCCCCCTCTGGATCTGGCGGTAGATATGGAGTCTTTCTACTTGAATTGCTTAGGAAAACTAACAGTAATGCGGTGATTTGGATTTTGGAGAGCTTAGTTTTGGATCCGAACACAAATAGATAATCGGGCCTGGACATATATAAAGGAAATGGGACTTTCGGGCCAAGAAATCAATAGGCCTAATAAAAAGCCCAATTTAGAAAATTAAAATCATAGTGAGTATGGGCTTTTTATATAGTGATATTAAAAACATTTGCATGATTTCATCACTGCTTAATTCTAAAAGAATATACTACTAAAAATATTAAATTACGTTTATTAGTTTTAAAAATTCATTCGGGATGTATCATAATTCATATATGATTTCTTGTGTTTCGAGGGTGCAAAGTGGAATTAAGACTTTTAACACTGAAATTTCAAAAATTGCATTTAATTGCCAGATGTAAACTCTATTGCATTTATTCACCAACAGAATTTTGACTGCACAATTAATTCGAGTCTGAATATAATGCTGGTAAATCAAAAATTAAATGTTGCACCAGAAGTGTACATTAGACCATAAATAGCATTTAAAATTCAAGTAGCCGTTGCGTAAAGTTAATTACGTAAATTATAAATTGAATGAAGTATATGAACAGTCAAATGATAAAAATAAATTTAAATTCATAAATACCAAAAAAACATAAAAATATTGATTTATTTAGGAATTCAAAATTAAATTTATATATATTTGTATTCTAATTTAAAGCCCGACATTGCATAATGAATCAACTAATCCATCCAATAATCTGTAAAGTCTTTTTTCTTTTCTTTTTTCACTTTTTTACTTTTTTACTTTTTATTGTGTTCCCCTTTTACCCTTTTCCTTTTTCTTAGTGATGGGCAATGATAAGATAGAAGAAGCTTTTGGATTTCAACTTAGCTTTGAAGTTTGGCACTTTCATATATTTTGAGGTTATTTAGTAATTATAGTGTTTACTCACTAAAGAAATTTTCCCATTAGAGTAGGCTAAAAGCTAAACTTATAAAAGCATATTATCACTATTTTTTCCAATAAACTTTAAATTTTGAAAAAATACGACGATTTTGTGGCAAAGTATAAAAATTAGAACCAAAAAAAGTAGCAAATTTGTTAATAAAAGCAAAAAATGTTTAGAGAAAATTCAAGATTGCGCTAGAACAACACTCACGTGAGCACGTTTTGTCGATGTTATATCCGATGAAATGTAGAAACTAAATTACCATTCAAATTAATTCAACCGTACATATAACACAATCGCTACACACACAGATATAAATTAGATGCTACACCCGATGAATTTTATTTAATTATTTTATAGCCAATATATGAAAAATTAGTAAGAAAGAAGAAAGAGAGTCAAGATTCCTCACACCCCCTTTCCCACTCTTGTATTGACAGCTAACCCCACTTATTATGTCTCTTTTTCCCCTCATGTGCACTTTTTTCGCAGCCATATTTATTTATCCCCAAAAAACTAAAAAAAATCCAATAATTAAAGACAAACGTTAATTACAGTTAGACTCATTCATTAATTACCACACTAAGCATGAACTTACCCTAAAAATGTAGAATTCAATTAAGTATATTAATAATTTAAAGTAAAAAAAATAAAATCTAGTGCAAAATCTATTCATGAATACCAAAAAAACACTAACAAGATGAAATTAATTAGTTGTTTTTTTTTTTTTTAATTTAATTCATCTTTATGATATAACAATATAGTTTTACCCACTCCAAATCATATGTAATGTGGTTTTAAACACATAAAATGGTACAAATTACACCAAATTAAAAATAAAAAAAAAACTAATTAAAAAAAAAAGGAAAAATGGAGATCGAACTCACTCACGAATCGGCAGCACGTGACGAACACGAAGCTCTGGGTGACGTCAGCGGAAACAATGGCAGAAGCCGGGGCTCCGGATCTTTGGGGGTATTGGCCCGCGGCGACGGATGCAAATAGAATCCTCTTTCCTTAATTGCCCTTTCCTCCGCCTCCGAATCCAAGTTGCCGTCGGAATTGGCAGCGGTTGCGCCGCGGTTGAACGGGTCGGGTATGAGAGGAGTCACCGGACTCAGTACCAGCGACGGGAAATCGAGGATGCTCGGGGAGAGAATTTCCGGCGTGGCAGGTCGGGGCGAGCCGGAGTACCCGGGAGAGAGACCGGGTCGGGTGTTGACCAGACCAGGACCCAACGGGCTGATCCTGAAGTTTTTGAGACTGTTTCTGCGTTCATACAGCTTGGAACCGGATTTGTCTCTTTTGAGCCCGGGCTTGATTGTCGGGATGTGGTTTCGGGTCGGGTCGGGGCGGGTTGGGATTCGGGAATTCTCGGTGGAGGAACCTGTTAGCATTTGGACCACTTGTTTGAAGGAGGAGGTGTCCGCCTGGACGAAGGTTGTCGGGTACGGGCTGTTGGGTTCGGATCTGGTGATTGGCGTCGGAGTTGGCGGCGCTGCGGCGGGAGACGGCGGCGGGTGGTGGTGGTGGTGGTTGAAGCCATTCGCGGTGGTGCTACTGCAGCTCGAACTGTTGGAGCTGTGGCTGTATTTTGGCGATGGATTCTCCATTACCGGATCTGTAATTTCTCTCTCTCTCTTTCTCTCTCTATTTTTTGCGCCGGTTGGATTTTTTTAGAGAGAGAAAGAGTGTGAATTTTGATTTTTTTTTTTTAACGTTGTTTTATTTTTGCATCACTTCTTCTCAGAGTTTTTTGTTTTGGTTTGGTAAGAAAAAATACTACTACTTCGTTGTGTACTTGTGTGGTCATCTGGGCACAAAATATCAAACTGTGCCAACGCGCGTGGATTCCACTCGAGTGAAAACGAAGAGGAGGTGGTGGAGTGCACGCGCTGTAAGAGAGAGTGGTGGTGAGGTCGATGGAAAAAAGTCCAACTGTAAACAGGGTATTGGTTGGTGGTGATTGGAATTTCAGACCAGGAGATGGTGGGCCCGAGGAGAGATAAGAAATTGTCAAATAAGTCTTATTATTCGGCTTTTGACTTCAAAGGGCCCCTTCAATGCTGACAATTAGACTAACCTATTTTTAATTTAAATTATTTAAATAATTTTACAAGTTACTATCATATATGATGATTTATTAAATTTTATTCAAGAATTTATACAACTTAGAATTGTTATTATGTTATATTAGTAATGGTAGCAAATTTATATAAAAATCGTCTAAAAATGTAAACAAATCACTCTAAATAGGATTCACTTTAAAGTATATTTGATTATAACAATCCAACAACAATCTAAATATAGTGTTGCATTAATCAAATCAATCTACTATCTTTTCTTTCTTTTACCTTTTTTTATATAACATAAAAGGGAAAATTACGGTCATACCCTTGTTATAAGATCAAATTACAAAAATACCCCTCATATTTGGGTAATTATAATTGAAAAAAAAAAAGCTTCTTCATTAGACGTGTTTAACTTTATCTTAGGGTGACCGTAATTTGCCCGTAAACATTCGCAACTTTTTTGATATTTTGAAATAATAATAAAATAATAAGTCTTGAGGGCATTTTGAATAAGTGTAAAATAGTGAGTCTTGAGGGCAATTTTTCTACTCCATTGAATAAAATAAGAGAGAGATTCTTGTTTGATCCCAAAAACTAGTGTATTAATTCAAAGACTTTTGGGGAAAAGGGAATACGAAATCAACGCTATAATCCATATACATAAAAACCAATCACCATTCATTGTTTAGTAAAAGGTTATCTTAATTAATTGTTACCTCGACACAAGTGAAATTTTGTTGGATAAACAAAGTCAAAATAATTGACTCATAAAGACAACATAAGTTTCGGATTTAACAACCATGGGATTAACACCTTGTGAATATTATTAGTGTAATTAATTTTTAAGTTTAGTAACTCAAAGCATAAAAGAAGGCGTAGAGGTGGGGTGAAAGAAGTAATTACCATTAATTACAAATTATTAGAAGTCTAATCAAACACCAATTTTTCAAGAGATGAATTCGCACACGATACTCTATATCGACATTTTTCCTCAAGATATATATATATATATATATATATATATATATATATATATATATATATATATATATATATCGTCATTGTTCGTTAATAAAATTATATGTATCAATATTTACAATAGGGAAAAGTACAGTTTTCAACCCTCAAGATTGTATCGATTTCACTTTCAGTCCCCATATTTGTAAGAACCACATTTGGTAATACATGTTCACAAAAAAACTTCCAGAATCAAGTGTGTACCCATCCCTGCCTTCACTATCGGAGTAATAGTAAACTGACGTAAATAACCAAAACTGTTAAAAAAATTGAATGATGAGGGACCAAATGTGTTCTTTTGCGAACATAGGGGACCAAATATGAAATTGGTTCAAACTTGAGGGGTGAAAACTGTAATTTCCTTGAGAGATAAAACCAAGTGGTTTGTTCGAGTCAATGAGGCTTCTTCCTTGCCCATTATTACGGACCTCAAAGTGCGACTTTAAAAATGAAGGGACCACATTATTAATATATATATTTTGTAAAGAGTACTTTTCTAATATTGCTGCTTTTGTACAGTTGAACAGCCCTGAAAATGATATTCAACAAAGAATCCTTTCTGGAAAAGGTATAATCAATAATTAGATTGCCTTATAATCTAATTCAGATGTACATTATACATACATATTGGCACTTGTTTAGGCTTTATCACACAAATCAAATCATCATACAGAAAAAAAAACAAAAAGAAAAATATAAAACGACATGAACACGAAAATGTCCGGTCAATAAAATAAAAATAAAAACGAAAGGATGAAGATAATTTTGGGGCAATTAAGTCAATGCATACCCTAAGCTGATTCGATATTCTACTCAACAAAATATCTTATTAATTTAATTTATAAAAAAAATAAAAAAATTGAGTGCAGCGATCTCTAACCTGCAGTCTATCGTCCTCTTTCGCATAAATTATTTTTGGAAAAATGAAGGGTGAAAATACAGCAAGGTTTTTGCCTTGGTTGACTCGTTTATAGTGCCCATACAACTTGTAGCCTGGAAAAGAAGATAACCGATTGCTTAATCTTAGGAACACAGAGCGAAATCGTAAAAAAAAAAAAAAAAAAAAAAAAAAAAAAAAAAAAAAACACCAGCACTGAGATTTATGAAGACTAAGAAAAACCGAGATGTCCGAAAGTAATACAAGAAAGTGTTTTCGTTATGACAACTGCTTCAACTGTTAATTTGCCAATGTTAACATCGAGAATAAATAAATTAAACCAGGAATAGGGCAGAAAGAACTGTGTATTTCATATCAAATAAAAACTTGGATGCAGAAGTATGTGTCTAAATTGAGGACTGTATAATCCAGTATTATAACCAATAATTTATAAATTTAAAGTAGATTAAACCGGAAGTAAAACCGTAGGATTTTAGGATTTAACTAACCCATGGCTTCTCAAATCGTATTAAACCACAATCAAGGTAAAAAAAAAAGCAATATATAATCGGGACCGAAATTGCTAATATTGAGAATTATAAAGATTCTACATATAAAGAATAGGACCAGCAGCTACATGATACAATATATTATTTAATATATCGTTTAATTATTAGTTAGTTAGTATTTTATTATTAATTAATTATATTAGTATATTTATGATATATATATGACCGTGAGTTAGGGTTAGGATATATATTAAGTATTTAATTAGTATAGGTAATTATCTTTCCTAGTTAGATTAGGATTCTAGGGTTTTCTTATATTTAAATAGTCATCTTGTGCTAGGGTTTTATAAGGCAAAGAGAAATAATAAAGAAGAGTTTTCTTACGTTTAGTAAAGAAATCTTATGATACTCAAGAGATCGTATCACTACACTATCGAACACCGGACAACATGCGGCATGCTATTTAATCTATGTAGCAACATATTTATTAAATTAAAAAAGTTGGATTAGATTTACGTACTATCAGTTTAACCAAATACGAAGCCATATGAAAGGACTGAATCGCCCCTCACCGGCAAACACATGTCAGCTCAGCACAGATAAATTGCTAACCACGAAAACGAACAATCAAAAGAGGACCAAGAAAGAAACCATACTCATTACGCAGTAGCAGCTTCATTGCTTATTTCCTTATCTTCCACGTCATTCGTGGCTGCATTTGCATCTGCGCCATTTTCATCCTCGCCGAGGGGCTGGACCTGTTCGTCTTCGGGCAATGGCTCCTCCACATAATCATTATCAAAAGCATCTTGCGGTACGTCGTAAATCCTCACTTGCGGCTTCGACGGATCTTTAACAAGCACGTATTTACCCTCCTTCAACTTCATACACAAGTCCACAATGCTCTTCACAATACCCCACATGTTCGAAGTATTCAGATTAATCTGAGTGGCAAAATCCTTCGGTTTGTAACCCACAACTGCCAATATCACGTGGTTGAAATGATCCCTCGGGTGAACCCTAGAAACGTACCCTAATTTCATCGTATCGGCGCCCGCTAATAAAGCTTGGCAAGTCCATTTTGCCAACTTATTCGCGTTGTTCTTTAATTCAGTGGCTAAAACTGCACCCCTCTGAGTTTCGAGCTTCTGCCGCCAGTCAACTCCGGAATACTTCGGGTCAAACTCGTTTAGCGCGTTTTGTGTCAAAAACGACCTCTGATTGTTCATATCTATCACACTCTGAACTTCGCACCGAGACACTAAATACATTTCGTTATCCAATTTCCACCTTCTGTATCTATATGCAACCGAAGCCACTTCCTCACCTTCACTAGCAAACGGATTCGGTTCCTCGAATTCGACCTTATTCCCATCTCTGACCAAAACCTGCTGCGAAAAGTTCTGATTGATATACGCAGCTTCGACGCTCAAAGAATGGATAGAGTTGATATCGTCCTTCACATCAGGCAACGGCTCTTGAGAAGTTTCGTGCACGGCGAGTAAATCCAACTGCGACCCGTCTCTCTTATCGAGGAAGAGCTTATTTCCAACACGCTGAACAACGATATCCCATGAGTAAACGGATCTCGGGGCGCACATTAGCGTGGACAAAATTGCGTCGGTGGCAAACACTGTCGCTTTATCCTCGTTCGCCAAACGCCTGATCACTGGATCGTCTGTTGTTGTCACCTTGAAGAAGTTTCGGCTCTTGAAACGCTCCAATGGCCGGCAATTCTTCGGGGTGATTCGATCGTACGACCTGTCGTAGAATTCGAGCCCGCCACAGATCAACATGTCTTCGGGCTCCGGAACTGAGAACGATAGCTTCGAGAAGGTGGAGAAAGGGATCTGATCCAGCATATTCCATTCGGGCTGGATGTCGACGGAGGACTTGAATACGGAGGACTCGCGGCGCTGCGGCATCTGCGAGCGGTTGTTGTACATTCTGTCGCGGCGGGCGCGCTCCTTCTCGGCCTCGCGCTTCTTCGCCTCCACCTCCTCGTCGCGCCGCTGGGGGAGCTGGGAGCGGGCGTTGTGCTGGTTGAACCGCCACCTGTGGTTGAATTTGGGGCGGTTAGGGTTGTGGTGGTGCGATTTGGCGGAGGTGTCGACGAGGCGGAAGGAGGAGTCCTCGTCCGCGGCGAGGGTGGCGAAGGAATCGTCGCCGGAGAAATCGAATGCGGAGTCGGACTGGTGGAATCCGCCCTGCCTGGATCCGGGTCGGGCTTGATTGGACATGTTCCTGGTCCAATCGGCGATCCGGCCGATTTTATCGGAGCGAGAGAAGGCGGCGAAGGGTACGTTTGACGGCTGGTTGGGGAGGGTGAGACCGGCGGCGGCGGAATCCGGCGGGCCCCATCCGTCGGGGTTGAACGGCACTGCGCCTACTTCGAACCCTACCATATTTGCTCTTGGTACCTTCGTTCTGAGCAGAGACTGTACCAAAGAGATGAGAGAGAGAGAGAGAGCAAAACCCTAGAAAGAGGGAGTGACGTAATCTTCTTTAACTTTCTTTGGGCTTTTAAATTTAAAATTATTTGGGCCTTTTTACAATCTCTACATGCTTAATATTGGGCTAATACTTGGCCCAATTGAATTATTTGGAATTCAGCCGATTAATCGAACCTCTCTTGAGGCGGCCCAACTATTCAGGAGCCCGACACTTAAGTCCACTCAGATCCAGTCAAACCTTTGGAAGACTCTAGATTCTTTGATCCTGGCCATTGATTCCCAACCGATTGATCCAAATCCGCCGACTATGCCTCTGCATTGAATGCATCTTGACATTTTTCGGCGACACAACCGTTTGATTATGAATATGGTTGTTCCTTTCTTGCTCTCTGCTTTAGAGACAATATTTTAAAAATCAAGCAGAAAGAGATAACAATACACATTTTAACCTCTGCTTGAGTGAGGAAAACACGAGAGAGTTCAAATTTGGTGAAGTTTGGGGTTTGAGTGAGAGTGTTGATCAGAAATCTGTGAAATTCCAATCAAGATCCAGGGCTTGAGCGACTATGCTTTGTGTTAAACACTACCTGATTAATTCGTCTCTATATAAGTCGTCTTCACTAATGAACGAACATAAAAGCCCCTTGAAAGAAAGCATGTTCAAAGGAGATGTCATGGATAACAATCTCAACCGAAAAGAACGAATGAACGAACTGGCAAGATTCGATCAAGAAACAGGCTTTTGTTGTTAGGGATGTAATGTACCTGCAGTAAATCATAAAAAATCATTGTGCTAAACAATTGCAATAGTACTCGTACTCCATTAGCAGAGCATAAAAATATAACTTCGACTATAAATTAAGCAAAAACGTGATATATTATCGAACAATGTAGTGTGTTTACAATATGTGGGAAATAAAGCAAAAACACGAAACAAAAAAAAAAAAAAACAAAAAAAAAACGAACAGATGCAACCATATTCAAAACACAATGATTGCATGTGGTGTACACCGGCATTTGCCTAGAACCTAACAATTCACATTTTGATACAGCCAAACGAAAAAAAAAACGAAGAAAGATTATTACAAACTTTTATACTTACAACGGAATCTAGCAAAAATACTAAAAGAAAAGAATCAGGAAAATTTCGGTTTAGGCATAGATGAAGAAGAAGTGTGATGACTCGGACCGAGTTTGTGAATCCAATGAAGCAGTCCTTTCTTATGGTCATTGCATGTCGAATTCTGCACCAGATTCAATGTCAATGTCAACGTTCCATCACGTGCAAACGAAGACTCGAATTCTTCTAGAACCTTCACTATCTGCCAAAACTCGGGCCTCTTTTCTGGTTGCGTTGACCAACATTGCTCGATTAACGCTTTCATCGCAAGGGGGCACCCCACAGGCACAGTTGGCCTCGCTTGCTGAAAAAATGAAAAAATAAAAAATAAATAAGTTAAATATTACATAAATTGAGACCGACGAGAGAAAAGATGATTCAACAAGCAAAAAAATGGATCAAGATTTTGTGCATTAATCTTTTCGTCTAATCATACTAATAAGGTACCATGTTTCAAACACTAGAAAAAATGCTATAATCTTGGTTATTTATTTGTGTTCTTCACGCGTTTGGTTCCAATTAGCAAAGATTAGATACAATTTTTTACAGAATTGTGGCCGGCCCGAAAAGGGTCCAATTATCTAACTAGTCATGGTTTATCTTACCAACCAAATGAGCCCTCATAAGATTATTTAATCCCATCTCGACTAATCTTATCTCAGAAACCAAACGAGGCATTAAAAATGCAATCTTTCACCACAAGCAATAAGATAACAACAAGCCAATCATTCAATATCTAGCTAATCATGGTTCATCTCACGATACCAAACGAGCCCTCATAAGATTATCTAATCCCATCTTAGCAACCAAACGAGGCCTTAAAATACAATCTTTTATCACAAGCTATAAAAGAAGAAACAAATATCGTACCTCATTCAACACCTTATAAGCAGCTTGTATGGGAGTCAAATCATCATACGGAATCGTACCCGCGACAAATTCCCACAAAATAAGTCCGAATCCATACACGTCAACTTTCTTACCATAGTCCCCCCTTCTAATCATCTCCGGTGCCATCCAACGGTAAGTACCTGGATCATCGGCAAGAAAATCACGGTACGCCTCGTCACAAGCAATACCGAAATCCGCAATTTTTAAATGAAAATCGTCGGTTATGAGAATATTCTCTGGCTTCAGATCCCTATGAATCACTCCTTGAGAGTGGATGTACTCCATTCCTCGTGCGATATCCAAAGCCATCGATAAAGTTTTCTCCATTGGAAGAAGCTTGTGCTCGAGTTTGTGCAAGTAGGATCTCAAAGAACCCTCTGGTAGATACTCCGTTACGATGCAGAACACTGGATGTTTCCGACACGACGCTACAAACTAAAATTTTGAATGTATAATTTTATTTTTTTGTAAGGAACGAGATCAAGAACTTATATTACAAAAAATATCTTTTCGATTTTATTGATACCGTTCCGACTTGAAATGTGGTTTCGACCCCTTTTCCGGTCTTGAATTTGGCAAACTCAAAAACCCAAATTTGTATTCGTTTGAGTTGGCTTTCTATTCCAACTTGAATCGGCTAGATTGGATGTCGGATAAGAAAGTAATACATGAATGGACGAACATTGGCCAATGTTCATTCGTTCATGCATATCTCCCGCACCCGATATCCGATCTAGCTGACTCAAGTTGGATTACAAAGCCAACTCAACGGACTATAAATTCGTTGATTTGAGTTTCGCCAAATTCAAACTCGAAAAGGGTCAAAATCACATTTAAATCTGAAACTGTACTAATAAAATTAAAAAAATCACATTTAGCACCTCCCAAAAAATATATACATACATATATATATATATATACAAGTACCTTCACGACATTCGGATGATGCAGACGGGACAAGAGTATAACCTCTCTGGTAAAGTGCTTCTCCAAACGAGCGGACAAGGCTCCATTTTCGTCATCATCTGGCAGTCGGATAATCTTGACTGCAACTGGTTCATCCATGTACATCCCATGGTACAGCTGGCTGTGGGCCCCATGAGCGAATCTCATGCCTAAAAACAGCTTCGAAAGATCGATCATATGTTCGTCTGCAGTTTCAACAGAAGTAACTCTCCCACCACCATGATCGAAGTACTTTGACCACGTACATGATTCTTTATGACTCTTATTGGATTTATCGGGAATTCTCAACGAACTGAAGTGCCTAAGTGGACTTTTATTGGATTTACTTGGAGATTTCGAAGTATGAGCCTTGGTTAAAACGGGTACTTTTTTCTCATTTCGACGCGGGTTTGGAGTGGAGAATCTCTTCTGGTTGAAACGGGCTTCTTTAAAAGTGTCGGAAAGTTTTGTCACCGGTGAAGGGGAAACAGCTCTGTGCTTGTTTGTTGAAGGGTTTCGCTGAATTTGGACAATATTCGGAACCGTACTAGGATTCGCGGAAGTTGATTCTTGTCTGGATTTGACATGAGAAACTGTATTCGGAGTCATAGTGAACTGAATCGAGGCCAATCTTGAAGGGTCGATACGGTGGCAAATGGTGTGAGAGAATTTCGTTCGCCTAATCCAAGAAGTAGCCTCTTCATCCATCTTTTCTTCTTTCCCCGAAAAAATAAAAATAAAAACGAATATCACAAGTTTGTTTCAACTTTCAACTATGCCCCTCCCTTCAGAATCAAGAATTCGGTACAGTTGACTAACTACAGTTCATCCCGGAAGGATTTCCAATCCCACGAAACTATGAAAAGAGACGAATCAAATCCCATTTTCAAGAAGACTCTTAAATCAAATGGGATTGTAAAAAAAAAATTAAAAATCAAGAAACCCTTTTCAGAGAGGAGAACAGAAACATAGAAACCCTAAATCAAGAAACCCTTTTCAAAACAATCTTGAAATAACACCTAACAAACACTATTCAAATATCATCTCATATCAACCAACAGAAGAAAACCCTTTCAGCTTCAAAGTCAAACACCGCCTTCCTTCAAAGCCTGAAATTCCCGTGAGAAACAGAATGAAAATCACACACGTTAACACATCAAAAATTAATAATTAAAATTAAAATTAAAAATAAAAATAAAAATGCCCAATTGAATAATAATTAATAAATAATAATATTGCAAAGGGAAGAACAAAAGTGCACTCAATCTGGCTTGAAATTAAAGAAAACGCCCATCATTATATTATAGCCACCAAACAAATGCTAATAATTGCTTCAGCATTAAAAAAAAATTAAATTAAATTAAAAAAAACACCCAATAAATTAATCAAGAGATAAACGCAGAGAAAATAGGATCTTGACTTACCGAAAGGGTATATCCCTCATGATATCCTATGCAAGAAAATTCGTAAAGGAAGAAAAGAGAGAAAAAGAAAAAAAGAAAAAAAAATTCCCTATGCAAGAACCATGTAGAATAATGACTGTTACAAATCCAATATATGAACACAAAATGAATCAAGACTCTTCCTTTTCTTTTTTGTTTTTTCTTTTTTTGTATGTATACGTGTATATATTTTTTTAGGGTAAATTACACCTACACCCCTGAGGTATTCTAAAATAACTTTAAGGTCCTTATAGTATCAGTAATTACAATAACAATCCTAAACATTGTCAGAAACCCTAACGAAGTAATGCATTGGATAATTTATTCCGTTACGGTTCTAACAAACTATTATTTTTGGACAGTGATGACGATAATATAGAGCTGAGTGGTGACATGGTTCTGCTAACATTTCTTAAATGATTATTATTTTATACAAGATTTATAAAAATTTTGTCTACGGCAGCATTAACGGCTCCGCGAGAAACAAATACAGTGCATATCGATCTGGAAGACATGAAATTTTGGCTCCGGTAATTGTTTCAGGGGTGTTTCTATAATTATCAATATTACATGAGCCTTAAAATTATTTTAGTATACCTAAGGGTGTAGGTGTAATTTACCCTATTTTTTTTTTTATACGGAAGAGAAAAATGAGTGATTCCATATTGGTGGACCCGGTTAAGGTGGAGCGTGATGGGTATGGTGTGAGGTGGGGTCCACTCGTCCGAAAGTCAATAGTGGATAGAGAGAGAAAATCAAGAGAGAGAAAGAAAGGGAGAAAAGAATACTAAAGTCGCTGTCTCAGAAAAAAAGGAATTGTACGGGTGGGTTACTTGCAATCCTCGCATTATTCTTTTGTTGCATTTTGCACCGCTGGAATATGTTATATTTGCACTTTGCACCCTTGTTCTTTATTTAGAATGATTTTTTGATCCATGTGATAGTCATTGGATTTGGGCTTTGGTTAATTTTATCTACTTGTTAAACAAATTGGGTATTTTGGGTTGAAGGGGAAATGGGCTGGACCAATTATTTCTTTATTCCGTTTTACGAATTGTTTTGGATTGAAATTGGAATTGGAATATATACGAGAATTCAAATTTAATTTTAGAAAATATTTTTTCCTAATATTCTTTTGTCGAAAGTTGCATTTATAATATTAATAGTATTATGTATTTTGTATTATAGGTTGAATAAAATAGAATATATAAATTTTGTATCCTTTTTTTAGTCACATGAATATCATTTTTTTTAGAATATATTGGATATTTTTTAACTGCCAATAAAATAAAATAAAAATCCAACCGACAAGAGTAACGGAAAAGTCAACAATTTTAATTTCGATCCAATATAATTTATTGACCTTTTCAGGCTTCCCAATGACTTGTAATTCCTAAGATCAATTCGAGTTTGATATAAATACATCCCAACTCCTGATTGGGACTAATTCATTGAAAACAAAATTCAAACATACTTTTCTAAATTTCTGACATTTCTTGAAAAAGTTTGATATAAATACATCCCAACTCCTGATTGGGACTAATTCATTAAAAACAAAATTCAAACATACTTTTCTAAATTTCTGACATTTCATGAAGAAAAAAAAATTTAAAAAGCATTTAATTTCCATAAAACAAACATTACAAAATGTGATTAAAAAATAAATGCACCAGCCGGGAATCGAACCCGGGTCTGTACCGTGGCAGGGTACTATTCTACCACTAGACCACTGGTGCTAATTGTTCGTCTTAAAGTCGTTTGTTTATATTAATCGCATCGTGCCAATTCACAATATCTAACTTTCTCGACCAATTGCATCGTGCCAGCTGTCCTATCGTGGTCGTGCATTCTGACTACGGATGTAAATCGGACGGATAAGATCGAAATTAACCTTTTTCGTAAAAAAAATCAATTTTTTTATGTGAAAAACTAGTTCCAATTCCGTTCCCAAAAAACGGAAATCGAAACTTCTGAAATTGGAAGCAAAAAAACTTGTTCCAAAACCGAAAAATTACAGACCCGAATTCGCAAATTTCCAAATTGTGGTCACCTAAAATACGAAATACATAATAATATGGGTATTTAAGTGTACATTCGGAAGAAGAAAAAAATCGGAATTTTCGGAACTTAAATCGGATCGGAATCTCATATATATTCCAATTCCGATCGAAATAATTTCGGAATTCAGATTGAAAATTATTGTTCCAAGATTGATAAAAACTAGCATCACTTGGATAAACTGAAGCTGAATCAACTCATCCTTCAAAGTTCAAACATAGCACGGAGAAAATGAGATAGAGACGACTCAGTAAACGGTGCTTTGCCTCCGCCACCACGTTTTCGCAGAAAAGGAATTCCTCCGTGTTCAGATAGAGGATCGAAGAACATTATCCCTTCAACTCGGTAAAGCAACTCAGTCCTAAATCTTTTTGCATTCTGCCAAAACATATTTATATTAAAAACGATAACAGTGGGATAATTCGAAAGATGGCACGATATCTGATTAACCAAAAAAAATACCTGATCCTGATTCGTGGAAATATTAGACATAATATCTCGTCCATGATTAAACATAGCCGAACCGGCAATTCTACGTTTGTTGTCCGAATCCGATGCAAGGATAAGAATAATTCTCCAGAATTCAATACCGAACCCCTCATTGTCATCCACAGTACCCTTATCGAGAATCTCGAGCAGGCTCTTGTAAAGCACGTCGTCAGCAAATTCAACTCCATCGAGCATAAGTACTGAACACGGCCTCCGCCTCACTCGATCAACGAGAAATTCCTTCACTCGTTCACCTCTGCAGTTGCTGTCTAATTTGACGTAAACGAAAAACGATTCCCCCAAAAAATCGTTAAGAGAATTAATCAGCCCTGCTTTAGCGACGTCGTTCAGACCTACGAAGAAGTAATGTTTCGGGGGCAAATTTGACCATTCCGCTGAATCATAATCGCTCGATGAATCCAACATCATTCTAGTTGGTTCCAGTGAATCGGCATCGCTCGTCTTCACTAGAGCATCCAATATAGTTCTAGTTGCTTTACCGATACCGGTGTCGTCTTTTTCCAATTCTGTGCAATGCTTCTTCAACGTCGTCTTCTCGTCGTCTGTAGGAAGATTACCGTCGCATGAAGCAACCTATGTGTTTGGTCATATACAGTTAAACCGTTATAAATTAATACAGCCGGGACTAGGGAAATTCTATTAATTTAGTGAATTATTAAATTATCGAGTTTAATAATTTAACATGTTTTCACCGAGTCGGGACCGAGAGAAACTAATATTTAATCAAGGTTATTAATTTATCGAGGTTCTAACGAAAAAAAGAGTAACGGAACGGAATATAAGCAATAAAATAAATATATACCTCTTTAGATACATATCTTAGTAGCATGTACGAGTCACCATACTGATACTGATACTGGTAAATAGTCGACACGTCGTTGCAGGCATCTAATAATAGCTTCTTCAGCTCAGATGAACTTTAGCCCGATTGAAACAAATCTAAGCATTCACTCCGTAAGTCGAATATCCTACACATTTGTTCCACCTTTTTTCGACTCCGCCATGAACTTATCAAATATTCCATCGTTTAGCTTGAAATACAAATCACCCACATTCTGTACTTGTGTCTGAAATCTAAACGAGAGTTCATCTGTCCCGACCAAGTGTGTCGACGCATACATTGTTGAAACCTTCCGCAGTCGACAACCGTGGAATAACGTGCTCGAGCAATGCTTTCCGAATCGCCTTTCCACCTTCGACCTACCGATACAAATAATAATAAAAAAATATATAATAAATAATTAATATTCGACAACATCACAACATCGATTGCACACGGAGAACTACTTACGCGTTGTGTCGGTGCCTTGAGAAATAAGGCATCTATTGCTTCATTAGAGGCATGCACAACGATTCTCTCTCCATAAACGTCTCTTACGATTTCCCTAATCAGCAGCCTCGTAACAGCCTGCCGATTGCGGAACCTCTCCACCACAAGAATTTTATCGAACGAACCCAACAGATCAGCACTCAAGATTCTTCTCGCCTACAAATTCCGTTAAAAAAATTTAATTAAAGAAACCAATCACCGATTTTGTGAAGCAACGAAAAAATAAAACACGTACCTCGACGACAACTCTTTCAGTACCACTGTCTTGTGGAGCCTTACGAAGTTGTAGGGAATTTGGTTCGTACCGTTTCAAAAGATCAATAAGATAAGAGCTCGTGCAACCCGATTCAAGTTGATCGGATCCCACACTCGAAGTCATGAAAACGATAGACTTCGACAAGTCAACGGTTTCCCTCCCTTCGATATCACTTGCTTTGCCGTAACTCAAAACCTCAACGAGAGCCCTTACGACAACGGAGGAAGCCTTTTCGATTTTGTCGAGAAGAATAACCGAATAAGGACGCTTCGTCACAACCTCGGTCAGTTTATTCAAAAAATCCCGACGTATACTCTTTGACTCTGATTCGACCGTAGTCTCTGTATACTCTGCCATATCTATCTCTACGAGCCGGCTTTCGTCACAATACCAAAATTACGTGCAACGGCCTTTGCGATCTCCGTTTTACCAACTCCAGACGGGCCCAAAAGAAGAAACGAACCCCTCGGGCACGTACTAGTCCTCTCGGAGGCCAGCGTTTCGAAAATTTCATTAACCACGGGCATCTGATCCACCACCCTATGATTCGTCGTATGAATCGCCTTTTTCTTGTAACGATACTTAAAAGACGGAACAATGTGAGTGAGCGGGACGTCAGTCAGCCTGCTCAGCACCTCAGCAACGTGACGATCCTTGACAGTCGAGAGAAACCGGAAACGAGAAACTAATCGGTCCTGTACTTCGTCAAGAAACAGAACAGCTTCCACCATATGACGGTCGAGATTCGCCTTGAACGATGTAACCGTGTTGTCGGTTTTTTGGTCGAGCATTGGTTCGAGCTGGAAGTCCCATCTGTCTAAGAACTCGTCCAAGTAGAACGATGCGGAATCACGCCCGCGCAACAACCTACTCACCCAAAATTTGCTATCCGGGTGGTTGTTCCTGTATAATTCAACGAGTTCCACAACCGCACGGCGCAGCTCGTACGCCTTCTCGTTGAACTCGAGCTCGTGGCCGCAGTTTCGAAACCTTTCGCTGACCAGCTTGCATGCCTCGTCCAAGATTTCGACACCCCTTTTTGGGGCTGTGCAGTAGTATCAAAATTATATTATTAATAAAACAAATTATATTTTGATAAAAGGCATTAATTAAATATGATCAAAATTTCTCTAGGGTTCCTTGTCTGAGTGACAGACAACAGAAACCCTACAGGTCAAAGAAACATGTCTAATCACTAAGCCATACACTTGAACATAAATCAATGATTTGGAGAGAGAGAGAGAGAGAGAGAGAGAGAGAGAGAGAGAGAGAGAGAGAGAGAGAGAGAGAGAGAGAGAGAGAGAGAGAGAAAGAGAGAGAGAGAGAGAGAGAGAGAGAGAGAGAGAGAGAGAGAGAGAGAGAGAGAGAGAGAGAGAGAGAAACCTAACCGGAGATTAACTTGGATTTGAAATTCGAACGCTGTGTTTCCTCTCCAGCTTAGGTTTCGCTTCTGCTAACACCCTCGCCACCTTATCCTCCATTGATTACTTGCCGTGCGTGCTTGTTCGGTGAAAACCCCCCTTTATTTTTATTATTTTTTTTCTCAAAGATTTAAAACCTTTTTACACATTATTATTTATATCCTTATTTCCATAGTTATTCAAATCTTACGAGCATGCAAATCTTTAAATTTCAAATAAATCGATCAAATCTTACCAATTAAGTAAATTTTGATTTATTATATTATTTATGATAAATTTCAATTAAAAATATTAGATTTTAACTAAAAATATATTGTTAATGTGATTATTACCTAGCATTTTATTACCCCATGAAAATACTATTAAAATCAAGTATATATAAAAATCAGAATGTAGTTCTTACAAAAAAAAAAAAAATCAGAAAATAGTTACTTTTGCTTCTATTCATCGTCTATTGTTTGTACTATAAAGTAGTAAAATAAATTGAAATGAGTTTAATTCAATTTTTTTCTAAATAATTTTTCTTTTTTTGTTTTAATTAGTTCTCATAGAGACATTTGTATATTTACTCGAATTTCTCACACATCACCGATTTTTATAACAAAAGTGAGCTTGTATTATGTCACTCATTTGTTTATATTTAATTCAATTAATTCTTTATATTTTTCAAGATACAATTTTTATGTTTCTTTAAAAAAATTATATATAATTATTATCTATATTATTTTTTTAAAAAATCGAATATTTATTACAAAAGAACTCAATAAAACAAACAAATCAACATATACAACTCCTTAACACAAAAAAAAAAAAAAAAAAAAAAAGTAAAAGTTTCACCTCCCCTCCACAAGAATACCACTGCAAGAGATTGCCATTGAAGAAGACAACCCCTCAGCAATCTCATCAAATGTTGGATTTGTAAAACCTAAACCTCTGCTAAAACCCTGATCATGATCTCCCACAAACAAACTTTCTTGTTGAGCTTCTTCATTCCCCCCTTCAAATATTTCCACCACTCGTCTCATACTCGGCCTCACCTTCGGATCGAAATGCGCACACAACAACCCTAATCGAAGCACTCTTTCGACTCCTTCTTCATCGACCGTCTCCCCGCCATCCCTCTTCAACCGCCGATCAACCGCCGTTACCAGCTCCCCCCTTCTAGAAGCGTCCAGAACCCACTCCACCAACCCCTCCTCCCCCGCCTCCACCGGCCTCCTCCCACAAACCACCTCCAATATCAAAACCCCGTAACCGAAAACATCGGTTTTCGTGGAGGCACGTCCATCCCTCACAATCTCCGGCGCCAGATACCCGACCGTCCCCACCAACCGCGTCGTGCCAGATGTTCTATCGTGGTCGTGCATTCTGGCCAATCCGAAATCGCCCAATTTCGCGTTCATTTCTTTATCAAGGAGCACATTGCTTGCCTTGATGTCTCGATGCAAAACTTTCGCCTCCCAGCCCTCGTGCAAGTACAATAGCGCCGATGCCACTTGCTTTAGAATTCTTATTCTATCTTTAAAACTCAATATCATATTTTCATCACATTCGAAAACCCTCTTGTCGAGGCTTCCGTTTTCCATGTAATCGTACACTAAAATAAGGTGGCCCTTGTCTTTCTTGCACCACCCTCGAAAACCCACCAAGTATCGGTGCTTTAGTCTTCCTAGGCTTGATATTTCGGACAAAAACGCCCTTGTCCCTTCTCCATTTTCACGAGAAATGACCTTGACCGCAATTTGCGATCCACCGCGCAAAACCCCTCCGTAGACTTTGCCGTTTCCACCAACTCCGATTACATTTTGATCGGCGAAATTCTTGGTTCCCGATTCGATCTCTTGTAAAGAAATTCGATGCGGCCAATACTCCAATTCCCAATCTTCCATTTCATCCTTCTCCTTTCTTGTTCTCCTATTCCTTACGACGGAAAAGAAAGCAACAACAGAGCATGCTAGGGCGAAAACCGAAATCCCAACTATCAGAGCTGTAATAAAACCTTTGGTTCGATGGATCGGAGTTTTCGGAAGCTCAAAAGAGGGCAGACCATCCGTGATCAATCCCTCGCTCAGAGAAAAATTTGTGTTACTAAAACTCCAAGATAGGATCTTGTGGCTTTGAATCATGTCTCCTGTTGAAGCAGTGAATCCGACAAACATCTCGTCTTCGAAAACATCGGATAAATTCAGAGGAACGTTGAGCAAAGGCTGTTTAGGCCTTTTCATACCGACAGGGGACATGGTAACGTTGAGAATGCTATCAGCATAATCAATCCAAACTTGGTAAATTCTGCCATTGTTGAGCTCCAATTTCTCGAACGAAGAAGCCCCGCCGTCATCGGGCCAGTATCCAGCTTCGTGGGCGGCTACAGAGGTGAGAGAGTTGACATCGATTCCGACATGGTTGTCGTCAATGTCGTTGAATTCCTGGTTCCTGAAACAGTCGAATTCGACGCCCAACACGTGATTATTAGGGCTTCCGTCGTTGGTGAAGTTAAAAAGCCCTAAATTCTGCGCCGAGCTGGAACCCTCGATTCCGTCGTGGGGGGAGAACACGAAGACGACGCCGTGCCCCGCGAGGCGGTTCCGGTAGGGGGCCATGGCGAAGATGAAGGACGTTGAGAAGGGGAGTACGACGGTTGTGTTGGGTTGCTTCGTCGGGATTTTCGAAGTGTAGAATGCGCGGCCGATTGAGAAAGTGGCGTCGTTTGTGAGTGTGAGGATTTGGGATTCGATTGTGGCGTTGCCGGAGAGGGACACGCCGGAGGAGTCGAAGGTGTTGAAGATGAAATCGACGGCGGAGGTGAGCTGCACAGCGAGGATGAACAGCGGAACTAGGGTTTGATGCTTCTTCATTGTTGCTCATGTGCTCAGCTGATGGACAGAGGTGATAGCAATGGAGAAAATGTCTAGAGAGAGAAACTGAGAAAGAGGAGAGAGAAGTCCACTGGTTGTATATAAATAATTTATTCAAAAAACAAACCATATATAATAGGGAAAATTGCACTTCACCCCCTTAAAACATATATTTGTTGAACTTTCCCCCCTCAAAGTACAAAAATGAGATTGTCCTCATTTAAGATATACAATTCGGTGCATTTTGCCCAAATGTGTATTTTCAGTCTAATTCTCAATGAATTAAGGGTGTATATGTCATTTTATTTTTTCCACTTGAAAATCCTCATTTTAGAGTTACTTAGGGTTCCCAAATTAATAAAATTATCTTCCTTAATTGATGAATTCGCTTCCAGATTAGACAAAATTTTCTTCCAAATTCGACAAAATTTGTTCTTTGTTCTTCATAATTATTGCAATGAAGGGTGAAAAAAGGTTAAATGACATTTAAAGTCTTAAAAAACAAAATTACCTTTCCAATTTACTCAAATCCGACAAGAACTAAATTGGAAATACACATTTGGAGCAAAGTGCACCGAGTTGTATATTTCGAAAGGGGACATTATCGTTTTTGTATTTTAAGGGGTTAAAGTGAAAAAAAGACATTTTTAAGGGGGTGAAGTGCAATTTTCCCTATATAAATATATTTAAAAATAAAAAATAAAAAATGGAGAAAAGTATCAATGGCGATATTTATTTGATTAGTTTGACAAGTAGTAAATTGGAAAATTATTTTTAAATATTATAATCTAAGATAGAAAAGTCACGAGGTCACGATTTTGTGGGGCCAGCTCAATAAATAATCCAAAATTGTGATCTTTGTTTGCCAAGTGGCCCAAAGACATTCTGATTTGGCGCGCCGTCTAAACATCCGGCGCACATGGCTCATGTTAATCTCCATCGTTTTCCCACTAATTAATTTGCATTACTATAGATAACGAAATAAACGAAGCAATTAAGTAGTAATATATTTTCCCAATTAAAAGGGGCTCTAGAATATTGATCTGTGTAGATTTCATACGAACCCTAGAAATCCAAATCGCCCAAATCAACACCTCAGTTTTAGGTACATTTAACTTGATTTGCTTTACAGATTATTCCATTGCGGCAATTGTGTAATTACTCGACTTCGAGCTAAATCCCCGGTGTTTTTATTTTTTTTAATTTCTTAATTGGTGGCAATGGGAACAAGTAGTTAGTTTCGATTGGGATTCTAGTGTTTCGTCTATCGTGGAATTCTGGTTCGATTCGAACACTGAGAAGTGTTTTTAGGTTATAATTTGAGAGATTCGGGAGTTTTTTTTTTTTTTTTTTTTTTTTAAATTTTAATCTGGGATTCCTCATAGAACTGTAGTTGGGTTCTTACAGCTCACGAGTTCGCTGCTTATATATTTTCTTCTATATACCCTGGGCGATACTTATCTCAAGTTGCTCGTGGTGGTTGTCTCAAGTTTTTATTTGAAATCAGCACTTTTTTTCCATATAATTTGGCATCTATTAGGTCGGATTTAGTTGGTTAAGACTCAAATTAAGGGATTTGTTATACAATTTGAGGTAAAAAAATTGGAGGTGAGATTTGCCCTTTTTGGGTTGAAATATCTAATTAATTGGAAGACTGTGAATGAGGGGAAGGAGTTGGAGATGAAAGGTGAATTTTTGGGATTGAGAGGACAACAATGACTACAGGGTCATTGGGTCTTCGATCTTCGGGAAGTTATGGATCATTGCAGCCAATTCAAAACGGTTCGATTTGTTTGCCGATACAGACTACACCGCCTTTCTCAAGAAAGCCTCCAAAGATGCTCAAGGAAAAGGATAAATTGTTCCACCGGATCTTCAAATTCGCCCCTCGAAAGAAAGTCGGAATGCTGCTCTTGTGTCTTGCTTCGCTTGCAGTTTTCGTATGGGTGTTAGCAGTTGGCAAAGGTAAATATTATGTAAACTTATTTGGGATTGAGCATGTATTGAGAACAGGGGATGTATAATATATTGTTTTCAAATGATTGAAGAGCATACATATCTTTGATTGGTTATGAAATATGTGCAGAAAATTACATGTATTTTGCGTATATTTTCACCAAGTATGTTCTAGTTTTAGTTGAGTCTTGATGAATGATAACTGTCCACTGATGCATGTTGAGAGTATTTATATATAGATATATTGATTCGCTGTATGTATGGTTTCGGTTAATTGCAGGACAAGATGCTCGCGAAAGCATTCTTTCAAATATAAGAACTGTACCTGGGCCATTATCTGAGGAGAAAGTTAGCGTAAGTGAAACGTCCTCCTCTCGAATTACGGCAATTGAAAGAAGTGTAAATGTTACTCTGCCACCTCCACCGCCACCCGTTTATTTTACTGGATACAAACTTCCACCTGGAAATCCATGTGAGCATTTCACATTGCCTCCTCCACCAGCAGATAAGAAGAGAACGGGACCACGTCGTAAGTTCGTCTTCACGTTTTCTTTTTCTTTTTAAATTGAAAATTATACATTTTAAAGATATATAATATGATTTTTCGTTTATTCTTGCAGCTTGCCCTGTGTGCTACCTGCCTTTGGAAGACGCTGTTACTCTAATGCCAAATGCACCATCTTTTTCTCCCGTCCTTAAAGATTTGACATATATTCATGATGAAAATTTAACTAAATCTGAATTTGGTGGTTCGGAATTTGGTGGATATCCTTCCCTGGGACAGAGGAGTGATTCTTATGATATACGAGAGTCAATGAGTGTGCACTGTGGGTATGTTAGTTAGCTTTTGAAAGTTGATTTTTTAACTAATTATTGAAGGAATATTAACTAACTGTCTTTTTCTTACACGGCATAGATTTGTCAAAGGAGTTAAACCGGGCCATGGGACGGGTTTCGACATTGACGAATCTGACCTTCTTGAGATGGAATCTTGTCAAGGAGTGGTGGTTGCATCAGCGGTATTCGGTACTGGTCGCCTACTTTATGTCTTGTTTTAATTTTTATTTATTATTTTATTTTGGTCAATTGATGTAGGAATTCATTATTGGACAGGGGCGTTTGATTTAATACGGCAGCCGAAGAATATCAGTGAATATTCCAAACGAAACGTCTGCTTTCATATGTTTGTTGATGAAGAAACAGAAGGGTTTCTGAGGAACTCTAGTCTGGTTGGCAGTGACAATAAAGTGGGGTTGTGGAGAATTATAGTTGTTCGTAATCTACCTTATTCTGATCCAAGACGCAATGGAAAGGTAAATGCCCCAAAAAGTTATCATGTTTATTTTTCTGATGAAGTCCAATTTCTGAGTTCTTGCTTATTTAAATCACAACGATGTAATTTTTGGTGGTGGTGCTTATTGCGAAAGGTGATTGGTCGAATATGAAAGAATTTCACGTGATTAAGATGGCAATATTTTCTTTTAATATTTTCAAAAGAATTATCAGTTATCGCTGTAAATTACAGCAAATGCCATCACCTTGGAACCAAGAACGAAAACTTCATGTGTCTGTGTGTGTGACTGTGTGTGTGCGTGTGCTTTTGTATCAAATATTAGGATTTGGTGTCTAGATTTGTTAACCAATGTTTACGTTTGGTATATTAGGTTCCGAAACTACTACTGCATCGGCTTTTTCCAAAAACCCGTTACTCGCTGTGGGTAGATGCAAAACTTGAGCTAGTTGTTGATCCAATTCAAATTCTCGAAAGGTACAATCTAACTCAGTCCAAAATGGCCTTCCTTCAAGAAATAGAAACATGTTCTAAATATAAAAAATCTTCCATTAATTGTTGCAGATTTTTGTGGAGGAAGAACGCAAGTTTTGCAATATCAAGGCACTACAAGCGTTTCGATGTGTTTGTAGAAGCGGAAGCTAATAAAGCTGCTGCCAAATACGATAATGCTTCCATTGATTTCCAGATAGATTTTTATAAAAACGAGGGTTTAACACCGTATTCTGTGGAGAAGTTGCCCATTACTAGTGGTATGGTTGTGCTTGATTTTTTTTTTTTATTAATATTTCGTATTATCTTGTAATTTCTTGGACTGAGTGTATTTGAGTGTGTTTGTAGATGTTCCGGAAGGATGTGTGATAGTTAAGGAGCATATTCCGATCGCGAATCTCTTCACGTGTTTGTGGTTTAATGAAGTGGACCGTTTTACTTCACGAGACCAGATAAGTTTTTCCACCGTAAGAGACAAGATCCATTCCAAGACTAATTACACTATCAATATGTTCTTGGACTGTGAAAGGCGCAACTTTGTTGTCCAGGTATTTTCTTATTTCTTATTTATACTTTATTTGTAGGCATAGAAAACAAAACTCGTGTTCGTATTGGAAATTATTTCTTAGTTTGATGTATTTAGTCGCGGGTCCCATTTTCTGGCTGTTTAGATGTATAGTTCGATATTGGAGAAATTTGCAGACCCCCTCTATTTTCAGAGACAGATGAGACCCTTTTCATCATTCTGAAGTTGGAACGGGATTTCCGAATTCCGTCCATTCCAATTCGAAAATTTCCAGTATTAGAATCATATTTTTCATTCAGATTTCCGATTTTTTTTTTTTTTGGTAATGGAATTGGAATACATATTAGATTCCGATTTTAATTTCCGAAATTTCCGCATCTTTTCCGAATACCGCAGATTCCTATACGAAGATTTTCAATTTCGAAACATTTTTTCGCTCGAAATTCCGATTTCCAATTCTTTTTTGGAATTAGTTTTTTAATTCCAAAAAAAAATGAAATTTTTCCAAAGTAGTAGTCCAATCCGTCCGATTTTCGACCCTAGCAAGTGAGTAGCAACGCATTTATTAGTCTATGATTGTTTCATACTTTCATTGGTTCTGATTTTCACATTACTCCGTCTGCATAGATTGTAGGAATCGTGTTGTGGCGGCCAAATGAGGCCTAATATTCAAATTTATAGCTTATATATATCCTTCTATTGCAGGGCTACCACCGAGACTTGCTCGAGCACTGGTCTCCTCCACCACCACCCATTGGCGGTGTTGCTCAAGTTCATCCTCCACCACCCATAATCATAACCAATGATAATCCAAACGAACCCTCGGAAACGATTCTATTAAACAATAATTCGATGAATAAAGCTCCCATAAAGCGTGGGAAAGACAGAAAATCGAGGCGTCACAGGAAAAACATTGCTGCCAATTAATACACATTTTTGTCTAGGTTAAGACAACATTCTTGATTCTAGTATTGTGCAGGATGAGAGTAGTAGGTAATTAATTATATCTTCATATATATAGCATTTTTTGTTTTCCTTCCTCTTTTTTTTTTTTTCTTTTTTTGAACTATTCAATTTTACAGAGGTTACATTTATCTATTTTTTGATGTACATATATAATCATTTCGAATAATTATCATCAGGGTTTAATCTATATTACAAGTTTATCTGTATGGACTAATGTGGATAGAGACAATGATACATCATTCCTTATCTTCATTAATTTCAAACAATGAAGTCAACGCTGATTGACTCGAATCTTGATTACTTTTCTCTCTCTTTTTGTGATTTTCTGTTGTCCCACATCGAAATGAAATACAAGTTATTTCTTTAATGTTCATTTATATTTAGGTAAATTACAACCACCTCCTGAGGTAGAGTGTAATTACGAAAAAACCCCTTATCTTTTATAAATTACATCCACCCCCTATAATTTGTAAATTTCTTACATCCACCCTTACAAAAAGGTGTTAGTGTAAGAAATCTACAAATTGAAGGGGTGGATGTAATATGTGAAAATAATGGGTTTTTTGTTACTAGGTACCTCAGGGTGAATGTAATTTAACCTAAAATTTATCATCATCGTATCAAACATCTTATAAACTATTTTTAACAGCTTATACATTTAGCCAAACAACCTCTAAATAAATGAATTTTGACCGGCTAATTTGGATTTTAATCCATCAATAATTCAAAATGGACCTGAATTTATTTGCCACCTGTTTTGTAACAAAGCATGTAATCACTTTTGTAAAAGCTTTTTTGTAGTGCTCCAACTTGTGTTTAAAATATAGTTATGGTAATGGGATTCTTTGTCACAATAATAGTTCCTCCACTTAAGAGAATGTTTGAGTAGACCCACTTTTTAGGTGTTGCATCTACATTATTGTTACTCTTTTCTACTATTTGTATAATTAAACAAACATTTTTTGCTATTTTACAACTATATAAAGTTTGATCATAAATTAAAAAAATTGATTTTTAACACCACCAGTCATAAAAAAAAGGAGAAAATAAGAGTTGTATCCCGTAAAAGATGGCCCAACGGTTGGAACAAGTAAGTTTGTACTGATTGACCAGCTTTGGATACCGTTACCCTCGGTCGCTAGATGTATATCTTGTCATGTATGATTTTATATAGTTGGCTGTGAGTTCCTTCGTAAAAAAAAAAAAAAAAAAGTAAATAGGAATCGTGGTGGACTTTCTTTAATATGTGAAAGCTCATACATATTATTCGAATTTACAAATTAATTAACAACTTTTCTTTAAAAAAAGTGCTTAAAAGCATCCCATAGATACCAAAAAATAACATTGCATTTTCGTTAAAGAGTTTATATTCGATAGGGCCGATATTCAAATCAATCTATTCGATTTCGATTCGAGCTCGATTTGTTAACCCATCATTTCAAATTTGAAACAAATTCTTTAACTCATGCATTAAGAAGTATTAAATATGCAGGTATAAAAGGCATAATTGCATCTTTAGTTTACTAATCACAATTAAGTACAAACTTAGTCATAAGAAGCATCTTAAAAAATACACTACTTTATAAAATTAATTTTACGTCCATAATAAGACTTTGAAATAAAAAAATTCCCTTTAAAAGAGATTCTCTCACAAAGAAAAATCAAATTCCCTGTATTTGATGGTCCCCCTAAAATCACTTAAGATGGCAAAAACAATAATTAAATAGTAAATTCCAGCACAAAATTCGTGACACCAATTATCCACCAATAGGATGAAATAATTTTCGAAAATAAATAAATAAATATATATATAGTTAGGAGCAAGTCATTTTCATAGGTTAAAAAAGAAAGTTGCACTTAGTAGTAATTTGTTGTCTTTCTAGTTAAGATAGTGCTTAATGCGTTGTTAAGAATAATGACCCTTTTTTAATATTTAATTAATATTTACACCTTATAGAAAAGGTATCAATGTCTTTTTGTTTGATTTATGGCTTTTCCACACATTCAATTGACACATCGAATTTCGTTTTTTCCTCAATAAAAAACACTTAATTTTATGATATATATATACAAAATAAATAAAAAACATTAAGCAGGACTCGAACTCAAACTCATCGAGTTTGTAACACAAGATTAGCCAGTATAATTTGCGTCTTCCGTATAATTTATAAACTATTATACGAGAGTGTAGGTTTATCATTTTGCCTTATTTAGAGAGAAAATATTAGCAAAAAAAAGTGTTTGGATAATTATTGGGTACAGTAACTCTGCACATGCAGAATAATTTAGTGGACTAATTTTTGCATTGACTTTAAACATTGGGCCGGGCCGACCACATATTCAAATATTTGATATGGGCCCTCTCACCCGGCCACGTGTCACTTTGACGCAGAGCTTGTCACTCTAGCAAAACTCCCACTTCACGGTCAATTTAGTTGCTGTGGAATTTAAATATTAATTAAAAATAAATAATTAAAAAAAAAATCAAGAAACACAGCTACTAGTCACTAGGGGTGGGCATTCGGGTCGGGTCGGGTTATTCGGGTTTTTGCAAAAAAAAAATTACCCGAACCCGACCCGAGATAACCGGGTACCCGGCAACCGGGTACCCGGTTATTTCGGGTCGGGTTCGGGTTTTGCTATTTTCCTTTTTTTTTTTTTTTTTTTTTTTTGAAAAATAAATAGTAACTAAATTTACTTAAGATATACATATATATACAGACATATATATATAGAAATATACATATACATATACTGATATACATATATATTATATATATTAATATATATATAGACATATACATATACTGATATACATATATATATTATATATATATATAGACATATACATATATATACTGATATACATATATATATATATATGTATATACACAGACATATACATATATATACATACAAACATAGACATATATATATATATATATATATATATATATATATATACAGTCTGTATTACAGACATATATATATATATAAAAAAAAAATTTTTTTTTTTTTTAAATCGGGTACCCGATCGGGTACCCGGGTAGAATTTCTATTACCGGGACCTGACCCGGTTTGGGATCACCGGGTACCCGAACCCGGGAAAAACCCGGTTACGTCAAAAATTACCCGATCCGGTCGGGTAATACCCGATCGGGTCGGGTTATACCCGAATAACCCGACCCGAATGCCCACCCCTACTAGTCACTACTACTAGAATACAGAGAGAGATACGAGGTAGAGAGAGAGAGATACTGTGGTATATTCGCCATCGTATACAGATATAGAATCGCTCATGCCCCATTGGCTCGAAAGCTTTAAACCCATCATTACACACACAGAGACGCACACACACACACACTGAAGAGAGAGAGAGAGAGAGAGAGAAGAGGGGTTGTGTAAATACTTACTCTGCAATGTCAAGAAGGTGTAGAAATGGGCTGAAAGAGAGGGTTTGGAGAGTGTCTTGTTGGCCTCTCTGAATTCTTCCCCTTCTTCACTATCTACTCTACAATCAATTCAATTTAATCAAGAAAATTAGTGGGCTTTATTTTGTTGATTCACAAGTTTATGGAGATGGAGGTTTCTTGGTAGATGTTCGTGAGCTGATTTTTCAACAAGACTGCGTTTTTATAATTTAAAAAAAATAAAAAAATCACACCAGGTATTTTTTTTGTTTTGTTGTTTATTTATTTATTTACTATTATTTATTATTACATGAAATGTTAATTCTACTTGACGTTTCTTGGTTCTATGTGATAATTAGGCAATTTCTTATATTTTTGTGTAAAATAAAAAAACAATGATATCTGAGAATGGTGAAAGGGAACTGAGAGAAACAATGGAGTTTTTGTAAAATCTCTAACATCATGTTAATACTAAATTTTAGGTCATTTCAAACTTTTTATGCAACTAATAAATATATGCTAGAAAAAAAACCCGTTTTCCACAATCGAATATCGAGTGGTGACACTTGAAATTTATATTATGTGCTGTTGTCTGTTAGTATATATAGAATGGAAAAGAGAACACTAATTTCGGTTTTAAACAAGTTCATTTCGTTTCGTAATTAGCGAATATTAACATTTGTGGTGGTTCATTTTGATATGTTTCACTGAATTAGTAAAGTAGCTACGGATCTAATAAGACACCGGTATGAATTACGATACTTACTGCATTTTATATACGAGAAATTACGATAGGATGGAACAATATTTTATGGTTCGTTGCATAACGTTTTTTTTTTTTTTTTTTTTTACATGGTTGCAGGTTTCACAGTCATGCATAACCAGCAATGTCAATTGATCTTCCCTGTTTTCATTAATTATTCTCTCTAGTTGGCGTCTGAAAAACGAAATCATCGTTCAAGCCATTTAGTAATATATAATATATATATAATATATGGTCTTACAATACTTTCAAGGCAAATCTCCTTTGGCAAATTCCGAGTTTTTTACTTGGGCAAATCTTCTTTGGCAAATTTGGGTTCCTCCGTTTATTGGGCAAATCTCCTTTGGCAATTTTAAGAGTCTCTCGACTCGTTTTCAATCATCATCCCTTTTAGGGCAAATCTCCTTTGGCATTTCCGGAGTCTCGTTACTCCTCTTTATCCCTTTACTTGGGCAAATCTCCTTTGGCATATTATCTCCATTTTTGGAGTTAATTTTACGTTTATCGTTAAACCTTTGCAAGAACTCTCCGATACTGGTTGGAGTAATCATTCATTCAGTCGGCAACGGTTATTGTTAGAACTTAATCATCACAAGTGAAGTGTCACTCTTTTGGTAAGCCTCTAACTTTCCTTTCGTAAATTTGTTGAAAAATCATAACTTGCTTCATTTAACCAATTCCATTTGTCTTCGATGATGAATATTAGTAGTTGATATTGAAAATTACAGATTCGCCCCTCGAACCATGAACTCGCGACTCAGCGATTTCGACAGTCTCAGTGACAGCAGCAGCTCCGAAGACCAAGAGGACATGGACTCCATATACAACGGGCGGGCCCGCTCCATTTTCTCGAATCTCGAGGAAACAATCGAAAAAATCGACGACTTCCTCCTGTTCGAAAGAGGGTTTTCAAACGGAGACATAGTCTGCCTCGTCTCAGATTCGTTAGGACAAATGGGGAAAGTGGTCAATGCAGACATGACAGTTGACTTAGAAAACATAAATGGGCACAAAACACGAAACATTTCTTCCAAACAACTTCAGAAGCTACGCTCGATTTCCATAGGAGACTACGTAGTTCACGGTGCATGGCTCGGAAAAGTCGAGAAGATAGTTGACCGGTTGACCGTTTTATTCGATGACGGTACAGAGTGTGAGTTAACCGAAGAGGGTCCGGAGAAGATTGTTTCGCTGTCTGAAGATTTAATCGAAGATCCACCGTTTAAATTCTACCCCGGACAAAGGGTTCTGATTGAATCATCCGTTTCGAAAACCACTCATTGGCTGTGCGGTGTAAGAAAAGATTACAAGCAAGAGCAAGCCACTGTCTGCAAAGTGGAAGCTGGTATTGTACACGTCGACTGGCTTATTTCTGCGACGGCCAATGGTGAGAGGGGGCCTACACCCCCACCGTCTTTTCAAGAATTTCAAAATCTGACTGTGCTGTCGTGTTATCCTTACTCGAATTGGCAGCTAGGCGATTGGGTTGTTATTCCTGCGGAAGACAAGAGTGGGGCCCACCATGGTACTAGGTATCAAGAAATTGGTGTTATTGTTAAGACAAAGACTAAGGTGGATGTAATATGGCAGGACGGCAGCCAATCATTGGGGTTGGATTCGAACGTGGTTTACCCTGTGAATATTATCGACGCTCACGATTTTTGGCCCGATTCGTTTGTGATGGAAAAGGGTTCGGTAGATTGTGATGAAAAACGGGTTTCGAGATGGGGGGTTGTGAGGGATGTGGACCCCACAGAAAGGACTGTGAAAGTGAAATGGTGCAAAAACTCGTTTCTTGATTGTGAGGGAGAAGAGATTGTGAGTGCTTATGAACTCGTTGAGCATCCGGATTATTCTTACTGCCTCGGTGAGATAGTTTTTAGGACGGACGAGATTGTTGTGGGCCCCACAGAAGATGGAGGTGAAGCTGAATTCTTGTCTTGTTTCGGGACTGTTGTTGGCTTAAAAAACGGGGGTGTTGAAGTGAAATGGGGAACTGGTGCTACGAGTAAGGTATGGTTCTTGATTTTTACGCGTAAATTTATTGAGTTTGTAGTTTTTTATGTTCTTTAATAATTATATATAAATACAGGTTGCACCGTATGAGATTTATAGGGTCGATAAATGTGAAGGCACGAGTGATGAAAATGCTCAACCACCGAACGAGGAAGTTCCGTTGAAGAACCAGTTTCCGGGGCAAGATTTAAAGGTGGCCTCCGTGTGTGTGTGTGTGTTACTAAGAGCATTTTCGATTTCCGCCGATTTTTTGATCCGAAATTTTCCGATTTTGGAACAATTTTTATCATCCCAATTTCTTAAATTTTTTCCTATTTTTTTTGGATCGGAGTTGGAATATATATGAGATTACGATTTCGATCCCATTTTAATTTCCACAATTTTCGATTTCTATTTACCGAAAATTACACTTATTATATTACCAATATTACTATACATTTCGTATTTTAAGTTGACCAAGAAATTGGAATTTTCCCGAATTCCGCTGATTCCAGTCCATAAATTTCCGAATTTGCTACTAGTAAATAAATCCCATTTTTCGAATATGAATTAGTTTTTCACTTCCAACTGCTAATTCCGACTTCCACCGATGTGCAGGAAATATCGGGCCTTAACTCCAACAACGCAAAGGAATCGAGCATTTCTGAAGTTGCTATAGGGATTTTTACAAGTATTACTTCAAACATATTAGGGTCTCTAAGCACATCTCTGATTGGTCGATACAAATTCACATCGGAAATCCCGAAAATTCACAGCAAATCACCCGATGAAGAAGAAGAAGAAGAAGAAGCAGCTTTGGAACTTTCCAATTTTAACCTCGGTGGCGAATTCGAAGATTTAGAGATCAAAGTGGCTAATGAGGATATTACGTTTCCATCGAGCAGCAAGCTTCCGGGAAGTTCTTTTAGCCGGTTTGATATGGTCAATGATTGCTCTGACCACCACTTTGTCAACGAATCGGGAATGGACACGCAATCTCCACAGGTTAGAAAATAAAAATTTATAATATTCCTCAAAAATTTGAATTCGAATTTCCGCCGATTTCCGCCAATTCCAATTCGTATTTTTTTACCAATCTTGGAACAATATTTTTCATTCCGAATTCCGATTCTGATTTTTCCGATTTTTTCGGTTCGGACCAATTCGATTTTAATTTCCAAAAAGATTAATTCTTTTCCCCCCGAAAGTTACTAATAAATTTGGAATTTCCCGAATCAATCCAATTCCGATCCGAAAAATTTCTGATTTTGGAACAAGTTCCTTTCTTTATATTCCAATTACCGAAATTCCAATTTCCGATTTTTTCTCTCTCTCTATGTACAGGTGAGAAGAGCCTGGCTGAAAAAAGTGCAACAAGAATGGAGCATATTGGAGAAAGATCTCCCCGGTGAGCATTTTTACTGCATGCCGATTTCGATAGATGTTACATTTGTCGATATTTAAATAAATTTAGTTTATATTATGCAATAATAATTTGAATGAAATTTACGCGATTAATTTGGACAGGAACTATCTATATACGTGCCTACGAAGAAAGAATGGATTTGCTTCGAGCAGCAATCGTAGGCAGTGATGGTACACCGTATCACGATGGACTGTTCTTTTTCGATATTTATCTTCCCCCACAGTACCCCAACGAGCCACCTGTAAGTAAACGGCTTTCCCGAAAAATATGTATATATAATAATATATTAATGTCCGTATTACTTATATATTAACGTCGAGATATTTTGCATGCAGATGGTGCACTACAACTCTGGTGGGCTCCGCATAAATCCCAACTTATACGAATCGGGAAAAATCTGCCTAAGCCTGTTGAATACATGGACAGGATCTCAAGACGAAGTTTGGAATCCGAAATCTTCGACAATTCTTCAATTACTTCTCTCTCTACAAGCGCTCGTGCTCAACGAAAAGCCCTACTTCAACGAGGCTGGTTACGATTCTCAGATAGGAAAAGCTGAGGGCGAAAAGAACTCGTTTAGCTACAACGAGAACGCTTTTCTTGTCAGCTGCAGGTCCATGCTATACCTACTACGCAACCCCCCTCGGGTAATTACTTACTTCCTCCGTTCCGTATTATCGGATTTTTTTTTTAGAATTCCAAAAGTGCATTAAACACATTTTTCTTCTTCCAATTTTACCCTTATTAATCAAACATTGATCCTATGACCTCATTAAATGGTGAAGGGTATTTTAGTCTTTGTTGTATGTCTTTCATAAAAAAATCAACATTTCATATTTTCCAAAGAAAATTATTACCCTTTTTTTTTAATTCTATAATGGGATAATATTCGTGAAGTGTAATATCGAGTTTTGTCTATATTTGGAACAGAATTTTGAGGCACTAGTGAAGGAGCACTTCGAACGACGAGGCAGACATATATTATTGGCCTGTAGGGCCTACATGCAAGGAGCTTCTATAGGGTATCCATTCGAATGTGGAAAAGACGAAGAAGATATTCTGCAAGGAAGAAGCTCAACTGGTTTCAAGATTATGCTGACGAAGCTTTATTCCAGACTCGTCGAAGCATTTTCAGACAAGGGTATCGATTGTCGTGAATTCTTGGACCAGGTTCCACAATAATTAAAAAAAAAAGAAAAAAAAAATCATGGCTATGTTTGTGTGTATAATATTATCTTGAAATAGCTCGTTTGCTGTTTCTTCGTGTTGTTTGATGTGTGTCTCTGTGTTTCGGGTTTGAATAAGTTTGTTGTACATTGTGCAGAAACAGAAAACTCGATAGATCATAATGTATTATAGGTGTGTACGATCGATCTCTCATTGTATTATATTGTGGCTTGTAATAAATCATGTACCGAAAAAATAAAGATTTTAAGGTACATGTGGTTTGCTCGATTTTTATGTATAATAATCTTACATCCCTCGTTTTTTCATCAGTCGTTTTGCTAACGATACAAATAAAAATGATCGAGAGAAACATAATTGGAAAACGAATCGAAAATGATAACAAAAACCAACCGAAAAAACCGGGAATTGCACTGTAATAAATCTCCTCTTCTGTCAAACATATACTAACTAATTTCCATAAAAGAAAGACATTTTTTTTTTTTTTTTGATATTTAAATATCTAATTCTTGAGAGAGAAAAGGTTGATGAGATTGTGAAGAGAGTAGACAAGTATGAGAAAATAAACAAGTGCAGCCACAAAACCAGCAATAATAGCACCTGTAACATGGTCACAAAACCTAGGAACTTGTCCGCAAATTGGGAGCCAACCTGCATGGCTGTTCCCTTTCTTCCCCACTTGCCCTATTGCTATGCATGCAGATATACTTGAATCCAACAACAATGCCACAATCTATATATACATACATATACATAAAATATTAAAAATACAGTTAAACCTCTATAAATTAGTATAATCATGACTAACATAATTCTATTAATTTAGCGAAATATTAAATTATCGAACTAATATATATACTTTAGTAGGGTTTTACCGAGTCGGGACTAGAAAAAACTACTCCCTCTGTTCCACAATAACTGTCTCTTTTTAAAAATATTTTTGTTCCATATTATCTGTCACTTTAGATTTCCAATATTGCATTAAATGCATTTTTCATGTATAACCTTATTAATGAAACTCTATTCATTATTTTTTTCTTATAAATCATTAAATATTGAAGGTTGTTTTAGTAATTTTTATATGATTTTATTAAAATCAAAATATATTTATTGAGTTTCTTAATCTTTGTGAAAAGTGAAAAGTGACGATTATTTAGGAAGGGATGGAGTATTATTATTTAAGCGAGACTATTAATTTATTGAGTATTAATTTATCGATGTTTTACTGTAATCAATATTATAACTATTTTACCGAGTCGGAACCAAAAGAAACTATTATTTAAGCGAGACTATTAATTTATTCAGTATTAATTTATCGATGTTCTACTGTAATCAATATTGTAACTTTTTTAATTAAAGAGAAAATAAAAGATATATATAGATAATACGAAGATTTACCAAATCGAAGATCAAGATCAAGTGCCCGAACGAGCACTTTGTAGGGAAGAAGAGAAGTATGAGTGTGTAACCACTTGCAATTGCATTCATCAGCACAAAGTACCTGCAAGAAGTCATGTGTATTTTTTACTTTTTTTTCGATATTAATTTTTTTCGTTTAAAATATGGACGATTTTTTTGAGCTTACGTGAAAGTCGGGGAGTTGGTGTATTTGGCTTCGAATTTGACGTTGAAAACTTGTGCGGAGTCGCGGCTGGTGACCATGATTAGTGTTGCGGAAATAGTTGCAGCCAAGGCTAAAAGCCTTAGCAGAAAAATGGGAATCCTTTTGGAGAAACTCATTTGTGTTTATTGAAATGAACTAAAAATAATTTGTGAAATGAAATTATTTGGTGTTAAAAACAAATGGAATTGAAAGAGATGTAAACATGTTTGTGTTAGGAAATGCAGGTAAGTGGGAGGTGGCCTTTTTGTATTGTTACTGGTTTTATTGGTAACCTAATGATATATTTTTTTATATATTAAATGTGATTTATTTATATATATATATTTTATTTAGGGTTAATTACAATCATCCCCTGATGTATGGTCAAATTACAAAAAAACCCTCTTGTTTGGATAATTACAACCACCCCCTTAACTATAAATATTTTTACATGTCCACCCTTGCGGTTTCAAATTTCGTGGAGTTTTCGAGATTATATGGATTATTATCACTTTTGTACCCGTTTTATCATATTCAAAATCCGCATTTTAAAGCAAGATGATCATAAATATGTGTTTTTAAACTTGTATATATCAGATTGCGGTGCATCAAAAACTGTATTTTTACACAAAACGAGTACAAACTAGAACATATTTCATGAAAACTAGATGATTATGTTGAATTTGACACCATAAGGGTGGAGATGTAAGAAAAACTCATAGATGAGGGGTAGATGTAATTATCCAAACAAGAGGTATTTTTTCGTAAATTGACCATACGTGAGGGGGTTGGTTGTAATTTACCATTTTATTTATTTAGTCTCGTAAATGATGCCTAGCGGTTCGAATTCCCTGACCAACGGTTAGTAGGTCGAGCTTGTCACACATGGTTAGCCTAGTATGGTTTACGTCTCTCGAATAATTTGCAATCTATTATACGAGAGTGTCGATTTACCCAGTGCATCTACATGGTTGTCTACGACTACGAGTTCCTTCATTAAAAAAAGAAAAGAAAAAAAAAAATAATAATAAAATGAATTTGCCATGTAACAATGAATGGCTCAATAGGAGAAGCTTAAGGCCCAAATTTTCATATACTCTTCTAAAATCTTCCGCCTACCGATGCTGGGTTTATTAGTGGGCCTTTGTTAACGAATTAACTGACTTTATAATAAAAAGAAAAAAGAAAAAAAAAAAAAAAAAACTGCAGTTACTTTAATTTGATTAATTGCTTTTTAAATTTGAAATTTAATATATTACATGAAGTGTGATTAAATGAATTTAAATATGTAAGTGTGTTGCTATTTTTTTGTTTATTCTAAAATTAGGCACCAAAAATAAACATTTTAATATAAATATAATAATCAGTTAATTACAATAATAATAAATAAATGAAATAAAATTAGGGTGTGTATATAATCACCGCCCTCCAACAAGTATAAAAGCAGCACAGTCGCTAATTATCCATTTTCTTTCGCTCAGACTCAGATCCTCTCTCTCTCTAGACAGAGCGACACACACAGAGAGAAACCCTTGTATCTATAATTTGACTACAATTGGACTTCACGAAGAAATTAAGGAATCGTTAACTGAAAATTCGAAAGAATGGATATGGATGAAGAATTCTACGAACAAGGGTACCCCGATGAAGAGTTCGAGGAAGAAGACGAGGAAGAGATAACTCAGGAGGACGCGTGGGCTGTCATCAGTGCTTACTTCGAGGAGAAGGGTTTGGTGCGCCAGCAGCTCGATTCCTTCGACGAGTTCATTCAGAACACGATGCAGGAAATCGTCGATGAATCCGCCGACATCGAGATCCGACCCGAGTCTCAGCATAACCCCGGCCACCAACCCGACTTCGCTGAGGTTTTTTAGTCGTCCGTGATTACTACTTTGAATTCAATTGGTACATTTGAGGAGTTGGCCGGAAGAAAAAAAAATGCTAGGGTTTTTGACTTGGGAGGTTTTTTTTTTGGGGGGGTTTTTAATGGATTGATTTCGTTCGGCGCTGAGTGAGTTCAGATTTTTCTGTTTTTTTGGTATTTGGTGAGAAATTAATTTCACAAGAAAAATATACGATTGGAGAAACTATGAGTGAGTGGGGTTTAGTTTATTACAGTAAGTTATGGTAATTGATTTGCTTTGGTGCATTTCACCTCGTGGTTGCTGGACTTGATTAAGAATAAAGAGAACCATAAAGAATAAAAAAGGATTATGTTCGAACATTTAGTTTTTTAAGTAGGTTTTTGGGCATATGAATACTAGGCTGATTGATTATTGACATTTTTGTTTGGTGGTGCAGTCTATTTGTAATAGATATATTTTTGAATTTTAGGTATTTAATGCGGGGTACGAGGGTCGGGCGGAAACTTTCTTGATTCTAAGAAGGGCGTGATTTGTTACTGCGATTGGATAAATGGATTTTTTATGTGGAATTTTTATATGATTGGATTTTACGAATTTATGTGGACTAGGAAATAAATTTTTGAAATCAGCGGAGGAATGACACGTGGATCACATTGTTATTCCACGTGATCAAATAAATTGATGAAGATTATATAAAATGATACGTGGTGGTGATGTGGCAAAAGAGTTGGGGAATCTGTTTAGTTTGAGCATTGTTTCTGAAATGTGGCTATAAAGAAAGCGATTACTTGTATTTCTGAAATATAATTGAGAATTGAACTATCTTATGACTTGTGAATACAATGAAAATATTGCTTATTTCTTCAGAAGGTGATTTGGTGAAGAGTCTAATCTATCCTGTTTCCTTACTCTTGCAGACTATCTATAAGATTAGTTTCGGGCAGATTTATCTCAGTAAACCGATGATGACGGAGTCTGATGGAGAGACTGCTACGTTGTTTCCTAAGGCTGCAAGGCTAAGGAATTTGACATATTCAGCTCCATTGTATGTTGATGTCACCAAGAGAGTCATAAAGAAAGGTCATGATGGTGAAGAAGTTACGGAGACTCAGGATTTCACGAAAGTCTTTATTGGAAAGGTAAATTTATGCAGCCTTAAAACAAATTTTGTGTGACAAAGGAAGATTTCTGATATTTCAAAGTGCCTTTGTAACATAACCTCTATGTTTGTGTTTGTTGGTATAGGTTCCTATTATGCTGAGGTCAAGTTATTGTACACTCTATCAAAATTCTGAGAAAGATTTGACAGAGTTGGGAGAGTGCCCATATGACCAGGGTGGTTATTTCATCATCAATGGCAGTGAAAAGGTTTTGATTGCTCAGGAGAAGATGAGCACCAATCATGTCTATGTATTTAAAAAGCGGCAACCAAACAAGTATGCTTATGTGGCTGAAGTTCGGTCCATGGCGGAGACCCAAAATAGGCCGCCTAGTACAATGTTTATCCGGATGCTTGCTCGAACTAGCGCCAAAGGGGTAACTACACATGGATGTGGCATTTGCTTTTCATATTACTGATGCATATCCTGTTTTTGTTGAATCATAATATGTTTGTATTGCAGGGTTCATCGGGACAATATATACGCGCCACCCTTCCATATATTCGCTCTGAGATTCCGATTATTATTGTGTTTCGGGCATTAGGATTTGTTGCTGACAAAGATATATTAGAGCATATCTGCTACAATTTTCAAGATACTCAGATGATGGAGCTTCTGAGGCCCTCCTTGGAAGAAGCATTCGTGATCCAGAATCAACAGGTACTTGTATTCAATTGTTGCATGCATAATCTTTGTGGCTTCTTCACAAAGTGACTCATTAACTTGGGGACACAACATTCCAAGAGTATTTCACTTGATGAAACATAATATTCATGTTGTCCTCTTTACGCCAATATTTTATTTGTAATTAGATTTGAAAGGAACAAAATTCATCTAGATGCATCTGAAGTACAATCAATTGGAGCGGTGATCTTCCACATTTAAGTAGTCATGTAAACATCATCTTGTAAATGCACAATAAAATTGAAACAAAAATAGTTAATTTTCCAGTTACCTAAGCTCTGCAGCATATCACTGGTTTGCTAGTCAAAGCTGCATAAAACTTTGTGGCACATTTTATTGCTGTTGCACTTCTATGCTTTTTTTCTTTCCAAAGTTGCTAGTTAACAGTCTAATACTACTATACAAATTCAGGTTGCTCTGGATTACATTGGGAAAAGAGGAGCCACTGTTGGTGTTACCAGAGACAGAAGAATCAAGTTCGTGTTCCTGAAGTTGTTGGGCTTCATTTCATTGCTTTTCATTTGCTTCTAAATCTTATTCACGTACCTTATGCAGGTATGCCAAAGAGATTCTTCAGAAAGAAATGCTTCCTCATGTTGGCGTCGGGGAATATTGCGAGACAAAGAAGGCTTATTATTTTGGGTATGTCAAAAAATCCTTTTTAGATTTCTATTTACATGTCTGTCTGATGCTACTACTGAAATATCTATTGTCTCTCCTTCTAGTTATATAATCCACCGGCTTCTGCTGTGTGCACTTGGCCGAAGGGCAGAGGATGATAGAGATCACTATGGCAATAAGCGACTGGATCTTGCTGGTCCTTTGCTTGGTGGTCTATTTCGAATGGTTTGTTCATTGTAGACATGTTGTGGTGGTCATTTGACCTTAAAAAAATGTGAGATGTTATGCATCTGAAATTGAGGTTCTATTTGTGGTGCAGCTATTCAGAAAGTTGACCAGGGATGTGAGGGGTTATGTTCAGAAGGTATTTCCACTTTCTGGCCTTTTTATTTCTTTATCTATTTTTTTTATAATATCTGAGGAATATCGAGATGAACATTGTGCTTTGCAACTGACAATTAGTTTCTGTACTCCTCTCTCAGTGTGTTGATAATGGGAAGGATGTGAATTTGCAATTTGCAATAAAAGCCAAAACAATTACCAGTGGTCTAAAATACTCGCTTGCTACTGGCAACTGGGGCCAAGCAAACGCAGCGGGTACAAGAGCTGGAGTTTCCCAGGTTGAACTGCATACCAATCATCTATTCAATTTATTTCCAAAAATATATCTATTGAATCGGCTGTGCTTTAAGTTCATTTCTAAGCGAGGACAGTTGTTTGGTTTGAAATGCTGCAGGTCTTGAATCGCTTGACTTATGCCTCTACATTGTCTCATTTACGAAGACTCAACTCCCCCATTGGCCGTGAAGGTATTTGCCTGTTATATTAAATCTAAGAAAAGACTGGCATGATCATACAATGGCAAAATGAGAAGTTCTACTCCGTTACAATATCATCTCCCAGAAATAAACATCTAGAACTGAGACGATAAAGTTCAAAAGAAAAAAAAAAGTGTGTTCTAGACATAGATCTGGTTCATCATCCCAAAATAAAAAGGCTCTATGCAATTCTTGAACATATATTATGCTACTAAATCCTTGTCATTGGTATTTTTTGTTTTCCTCTAAAATATTACTATCCTCTTTCTTTACATAGGTAAACTGGCTAAACCAAGGCAGCTACACAATTCACAGTGGGGAATGATGTGTCCTGCAGAGACACCGGAAGGACAAGTATGTGCATCTTCTTGATACCATTCAGCGGATAATTTAGTTCATCTATTCATATTCCCTGTTCATAAACCAATTATTTATTTGTGCTGTCTCATCAGGCGTGTGGTTTGGTGAAGAACCTTGCGTTGATGGTCTATATAACAGTTGGTTCAGCAGCATATCCAATTCTAGAATTTTTGGAGGAATGGGGTACCGAAAATTTTGAGGTGCAAAAACTCTCTATGTTCCGTTATGAAGCTGAATTTTCTGATTCTTTGTCCAGCTGAGTTTTCCAGACAATACTTTTTTTGTTGACATGATTTTTGTTTGATTTAAGGAAATTTCTCCTGCTGTGATTCCTCAAGCAACAAAGATCTTTGTGAACGGTTGTTGGGTTGGTATCCATCGTAACCCTGATATGTTAGTGTCTACTCTCAGACGTTTGAGGAGACGTGTAAGTAGTAATTTTTTTTTAATCCTTTTACTCCAAATGCTTTATGTTTTATGTTTGTGAAGACAAATTGTATGTTTGTCTTTCCGTGGACAGGTTGATGTCAATACTGAGGTTGGGGTGGTTCGAGATATTCGTCTGAAAGAACTTCGTATATATACCGATTATGGTCGTTGCAGTCGTCCGTTATTTATTGTTGAAAAGCAAAGACTTCTTATAAAAAAGAAGGATATTCAAGCATTGCAACAAAGGGTATGTCTCATATACACAGTATATACAAATGGTCTATTGTCTAATTCATCCTTTTTATTTCTGTTTCCAGGAATCTCCTGATGATGGTGGCTGGCATGACTTAGTTGCGAAAGGATTTATAGAATACATCGATACAGAAGAAGAAGAAACAACTATGATTTCCATGACAATAAATGTGAGATATGTGACATGCGTTATAGATTTTTTCGTACTCCACTCGCAATTATGTGAAACACTGAAATGCTTATTTAATTTGCTTAGGATCTTGTAAGTGCAAGGATAAATCCAGGCGAGGCTTATTCAGACACTTATACACACTGTGAGATTCACCCATCGTTGATATTGGGTGTTTGTGCTTCAATCATTCCATTTCCTGATCACAACCAGGTGATTTTAACCCTTCAATCTTATCTTCTCGTTTCAAAATTTTATTCTTCAGTTATCTGATATCTGTTTTTTGCTTCCCCACAGTCACCACGTAACACATACCAGTCCGCTATGGGTAAACAAGCCATGGGTATTTACGTCACTAACTACCAATTTCGAATGGTACGTTCCAATTCTCCATTTCTCCACCACATGCATTTCACTGGCCCTGTTCCCATTTTGTCAAATTTACCGTCTTACCTTTTTTTTTCCCCTCTTATCAGGACACCTTGGCTTATGTACTCTACTACCCTCAAAAGCCTCTCGTGACTACACGTGCTATGGAACATCTGCATTTCAGACAGCTCCCAGCTGGCATTAACGCCATTGTTGCCATTTCTTGCTACTCCGGTTACAATCAAGAAGATTCGGTTATTATGAACCAGTCATCGATCGACCGTGGCTTTTTCCGATCACTATTTTTCCGTTCGTACAGAGACGAGGAGAAGAAGATGGGTACCCTAGTCAAAGAGGATTTCGGCCGCCCTGACAGAGCTAACACCATGGGTATGCGTCACGGTTCTTACGATAAACTGGACGACGATGGGCTAGCGCCGCCAGGAACTAGAGTCTCCGGTGAAGATGTCATCATCGGAAAAACGACCCCCATAACCCCCGACGAAGCTCAAGGCCAAGCAAACGCCCGCTACACAAAACGTGACCACAGCACGAGCCTACGTCACAGTGAAACCGGCATGGTTGATCAGGTCCTGTTGACCACAAATGCAGACGGTTTGAGGTTCGTCAAAGTTAGAGTTCGGTCGGTTCGAATACCTCAAATTGGAGACAAGTTCAGTAGTAGGCACGGTCAGAAGGGGACAGTGGGCATGACTTACACACAGGAAGACATGCCTTGGACTCTCGAAGGGATAAATCCCGACATTATCGTAAATCCACACGCTATCCCTTCTCGCATGACGATTGGTCAGTTGATCGAGTGTGTTATGGGCAAAGTTGCAGCCCATATGGGCAAAGAAGGAGATGCAACTCCCTTTACAGATGTGACTGTGGATAATATCAGTAAAGCTTTACATAAATGTGGCTATCAAATGAGGGGCTATGAGACTATGTACAATGGGCATACTGGGAGGAAGCTTACTTCGATGATATTTTTGGGCCCCACTTATTACCAGAGGCTGAAGCATATGGTTGATGACAAGATTCACTCTCGAGGAAGAGGGCCTGTCCAGATTCTGACAAGGCAGCCCGCTGAAGGGCGGTCGCGTGACGGTGGTTTAAGGTTTGGTGAGATGGAAAGGGATTGTATGATTGCGCATGGTGCTGCGCATTTTCTCAAGGAGAGGCTTTTTGACCAGAGTGATGCTTATAGAATTCATGTTTGTGAGAAGTGTGGTTTGATTGCTATTGCCAACTTGAAGAAGAATTCGTTCGAGTGTAGAGCGTGCAAGAATAAAACTGATATCGTTCAGGTACGTTATTTTTCGTCTAAAATCAATGTCCCAACCTTTTTTTTTTTTTTTCGTAACCGAAATTAGTTTTTTGTTTTGCAGGTGCACATTCCGTATGCTTGTAAGCTGCTATTCCAGGAGCTGATGTCTATGGCCATTGCTCCGAGAATGCTGACGAAGGATATTAAACAGTCGAAAGAGCAGAAGAAGAAAGGGGCTTGATTTTCGATTTTGGAAATATGACGATGAGTTTAAAAACCGAGCGTATAGTTTGTTTTTGAAGATGGGACGGAGATTTTATTTGTGGAGGTGTATAAGCAAAGCTTACATGTATTTGTTGATGGAATTTGTGTACGATTATGTTGCGTAATATTTTCTCAAGATTTGATGGACTACATATATTAGCTTCAAAACATAAATTTGTTTTAGTGGTGTACAATTGAAGAATTTTGTGTTTATTCATCTTTGTGTTGTTATATATGGTATATGATTTCGATATATATTTACTGTTTTGATTAATTCTTTTTTTGAAAATTATTTAAATGTAGAATATTTGAATTTTTAAGTGAAAGTTAGATTCCAATTTTTTTCTTAATTTACCTATAATAACAAAAAAATAAAAGAACATAATAATATTGACGTCATAAATGTAAATTTCGGGAAAAATAACGAATTTTAAGATTTATTATTTAAAATTAAAATCAGATTGGAATTTAAAAGTAATATCTATCTGTATAAAAACCCCATTCAAAAACCCAACTCTGAAGAACACACTTCTTTCTACCTGAAGTAGCCATGCCGGAAGAGAATAATCAACAAATTGTTGCAACCGAAGAAGAAGAAGAAGACGACGACGACGACGATGGGCCGCCGCCTGGATTTCAATGCATCATCACCCCACCGCCACCGCCACCGCCACCGCAACCGGAAACAACTGAAGCCGCTGCCGACGACGAAGAAGACGATGATGGCCCACCGCCTGGGTTTCACTCCATTGCTCCGAAGCCCCCTTCGCCGCTTCCTTCTTCCGGTGAGACGAAATTAAAATTCTTCTTCGTCCCTATTTATGTAAAATATATCGATTCTACAGTGTAATTTACTTCGTTTGTTGATCTCGGAGAAATTGGCATTCTAATTCCAGATTTTTTTTTAATCTGGAAAATAATTTGGGGGTTTTCTGTGGTAACTTCTCGAAAGAAGTTCAACATTGTGAATTTTATGTTTAGGTTTCTGCCTTCTATGAATGTGATTTATGCACTGATTAAGTTTAATGTATGTTCGTATATAATCTCCCTAACTGTTCTAGTTTTGAATTAATACTATCTATTATTTATATATTTAGTTACATATCAATTACTTTCAAATCATAAGTACATGCTTGTGTCCATAACCATGTTTGAGCAAAATTTTAGTCGCCCCATAGCGGAGCTTAACTTATTCATACTTAATGCCCTTATGTTCCTAAACCTCTGCACATTAGTTTTGAATTTGATTGCATAGTTGTAGATATAACCTATGTACAAATTCATGAACTCATTGTCATAATTCAGACATGGAAAGGGACATCAAACAAGAGGACATTGAGGATGATGATGACGACGACGATGGGCCACCACCAGGGTGGGAGTTCAGTACTCTTGTAAATGCATTACCTCCACCAAAGACAACAGGTCACGAGTTTTTTTTTTTTAATTTTGTATAATTCATTTAGCTTGTGAAACCTCTTAGTCGTTTGTCAGTGTGCTTTGTACATCAGATACCCGAGAATCTCGTAACTAATTCCATTAGCTTATTAGATTATTATATGTTCTGTTATTTGAGATTTTATAAATTAGTGGACCACACTATCCGTGCTCTAAATTTGCTGAAGCTCGTGATTGTCATAGGTTTAATTTATGTGTTTGTCTTGCAATAGACATATCAGATATAAAAATCGAGAATGATGAAGAATTAGATGAAGGGCCTCCGCCTGGATGGGGAACTGTGCTGTTAAATCAGATGCCACCTCCATCTACACCACCATTGAGGCAATCATCGATTAATTCTTCTAGTGAGTTTTTTCATCTTATCACACAGTGAATTTGGCATTCTATCAGAGAAAATGATGCAGTTTTTTTCTATTCCACATTCCAAATAAGAAAATGCTATTTGCGGTCACAAAATTGCTATTCGCGGTTTATAACAAAACCCCCCAAAACTTTTAAAAATATCAAAAAACCCCCCCAAACTGCAAATAGCAAAAAAAAAAAAAAAAAAATCGAAAATTCGAAATCAAGCTTGAAAAAGGGTTGGGCTTCGATTTTTTGATGTAATTTCGACTCTTTTATGTGTAACATGCATTGGGTAGGTCGATTACGGAACCAATTTCATGTTAAAAAGCTCTACAAATCAATTTGTAGGGCTTTTTTTTTCGCAAAAAAATGTTCGAACGCGCAAGATGGGCGCCCAAGGCGTGTACGAACGCCCGTTCCGGGCTTTCGTACACGCCTTGGGCGCCCATCTTGGGCGTTCGAACATTTAAAAAAAAAAAAAAAAAAAAAAAAAAAATTTTTTGCACTGGACGCCCAACTCGGGCGCCCAAATGCAGCTTGCACGCCCAACTTGGGCGTGCACTGCATGAATGGGGGCCCAAGTTGGGCGTTGACGCGTTTTGGGGGGTGTTTTTGGATTTTTTTGGAAAGTTTTGGGGTTTTAGTGAAATAAAGTGTTTTTTTGGGGGGTTTTGTTAAAAACCGCAAATAGCAATTTTCAAACCGCAAAAAGCAATTCCCTTCCAAATATTGGCTCAATTCATACTCTTCCATAGGAAAAATGATGCAGTTATATTTGCTTGATATTCTACAGGCACTGATATGGAATGTGCTGATTTGAAAATTCAACCCAATGGCACATATAATGTAATCCTTTGATTAGTTTTTGTATCAATAGTAAAGCCAATTAATCCAGTTCAATTTTTTGTTAGCATCCTGGAGGCATATAGAATTTCTTCCTCCACTTAAAAAAAGAAAAGAAAATCTGAATACTGACGAATGTTTGGATAGAGATTGGTTTAACCACAAGTTCTACATAGGGATTTGATTTTCGGTAGTTATTCATACCTAACCAAAATTATACAATGTGCCTATTCAAATCATTTTTACTCAGGGCTGGGAAACTCTTTCTCATTTAAATATTTAGTTAAGGATCATAAAAGCTTATGGAAGATTCTTGAATGAAGAGCACATATACTGCTTTCATATTTCGTAAACAGAGTAAAATTGAAAGAAATAGTTTCCTCGAAATTCTCATGTTGAACTTGCACGGTAGCTATTTGTAATAACTGCATGATGTTGCTTGCTTAATTATATCAGCCATAGCTAAAAGTGTGGATGATGCAGATATTGAAACGGATAGCAAACCAAAATTTACGAAAAATGACGATGAGGTGTCTCCACTAATGTCACAGTGCACACCCATGCAAGGGCATTCATCGCCAGCTACAACACCACCATTAAACCAGCTGCCATCGGCAGAACTGCCTTGCGGTATGTCTATTGAACACCTTGCCATGTGACAAAAATAGAAGTGTGTCGGGTTAAGTAAGGTAGACTTCACTAATTGACTATTTCAATTATTACCATTTTTACAGATTCTACTTCCACGAACTCAATTCCTCTTGGCATTCATTCTTTGATGCCTTCTATATATGTAGCGATTTTTTCCTTTCCTTGTCACTGTCTAGATATGCACAGATAATCCATAGGAGCATTCGTGTTATACTGATTGCATGTAATATAGCCTGACTTTGTTCTATGTTTGAATAGTATTTGACAAAAAATATGATGCTTTTTTGAAAATATTCTTCTATATATTTAGCTGATCATTTAGATGCTGTTTGGTTAGATACAGGGAACAAAGAAGACGACAAAAAAATTAGGGACAAAAGGCCCACATCTGCACTACAGCAGCTTCCACCTACGCCATACCCATTGACGCCAGCTCTGAAGCAATCAATTTCTGGTGACTATATATTATTGTTTTTTTTTTCTTCATATTATTTTAAGCTTGAATTGCAGTTTTCTTGTGATGCACTTTCCTTTGGGGTTTACTGCTAGTCCCATGTCCTAATAGACAATCATGCTTGCAATCCAAGTATATGAGCTCATGACTTCAAATTATCATATTTTGTCAGACATAAAATAAAATAAAATAAAAAATATTTACATTGCTGTTGATATTTAAAACCTTCATGGCTATATGCAACGATTCGAATTCATTACATTTTACAAGGCCTTAGGTCATATGAAATTGAAAAGAAAGGGATCGTAATAATTGAGAAGGTTTACTCCTTTTACTTTACCACATGAAGATTATATTTCTGTTTCATCATCCATTGTCTATAATTCATTTAGAAATGGCCAGTTACAGCACTTATTATTATGTTTTATTGTGGGGATTAAATTTGCCTTCTCTTCTATAAGTCTTAGGTTTCACCACTTGTACTTACAACGGGCAAACATCGTGTTAATGCAGGAAAGGCTCAGCTAGTTTGTGGTACTTGCCGGAACTTGTGCTTGTATCAACGAGGGGCAAAATGGGTCCAATGTCCAGGATGCCAAGAAGTCAATTTTGTCCTAGAAGGTTTCATTATCTCATCTATCTTTATTTGTCAACCTGGTACTCTGTATTAACATAGGTTTGTCTGATATATTTTTCTTGGATGTCCGTACCCCTTTGCTTTTTTGCAGCCCATGAAGTTGGCCAAGTAAAGTGTGGAGGGTGTGAGGTGTTGCTTATGTACCCACATGGAGCACCTGCAGTTCAATGCTCTTCGTGCCGTTTTGTCACGGAAATTGGAGTATGTACCTCGTTCTTTCTAGAAACTTCTTGATAATAGTATCCCAAATATAGTAAAAGTAAAATTTGATTACAAGGTGACATCTTGATAGAATCCCTTAGGCCTTGTTTGGTTGGGAATTTAGATTAGACTTGATATACGATATAAAAAATGTGTGATGTTGAGGTTTCAAGCTCATATTAAAAATGGATCTTGATTTTAATCAAGCTTAAAAAGGATATTTAGTCCACACTCAAACCCTTATTATTACACAATCCTAATTACAAATATTGCACAATGTAAGGATTTTATAAGAAGAAATCTCAAACATAAGATAACTGCATGATAATATATTATCACGAACGCAATGTAATCCTATCCAATCCAATCAATCTTATCAATTGCATCGACATTCCCAAACGGGGCCTCAAACCTTGATTCAGAAGAGAGTGAAAATAACATTTAATACTAGGGTAAGTTTCACACACACACACACACACACACACACACACACACACACACACACACACACACACACACATGTCGATTCCGTGTTTTGACGTGTCACTTAAATGTGCAGGCACAGAATAGGCGACCTCCTCTTTCGGTCCAGCAGGATCAGGTTAGAGCACAGGCTCGTAGACGGCGAAGATTCAACCGAGTTCGTTAAGAGTTCTCTGTCTCTGTCTTTCTATTTATTAGCTGATAGTTTGCTGACGTCATCTTTTTCGAATCTCCAGCATTGTATAAAGAAAATGTTACGTGTCCGAATCTTGGAGCCCTTTGAACTTGAACATATTATGATTTTATTACCTGAATTTAATATCTGACTATGAATCACTTTTACGATGTGCATTATGTTCGGAGTTGGACGAGTGGAATGGGATTGAATCGATGCTACATTCAAGTGAAGGATATTGGGTTAGTATTAACTATAATCATTCATTGACAAATATGATGATGCTGAGATAACATAATAGATCTTTACTCGATAATCGATTTGCATTTTTATCGGGTTTAGTATAGATTTGACCGTCATTACGACTATAGTTGATGGCTATATATTTAACGTTTTCTTCCTTGATTTAATGAAAAATATGAATAATTCTTCATAAGACTAATAAGATATTTCCTGGAAAATAGTTCCCATTGAAATCTCGGATTCATCTGTTCAACATTTAAAATCATTGTTTATTTGAATAATGAGCAGCTTTTCTATGCCAAGACAAAAATTGCATGATATAGAAAGTCAAAAGGGCCTAAAAAAGAATAGGGTAAATTACGGTCACACTCTGAGGTAAGGTCAAATTACGAAAAAAACCCTCTTGTTTGAGTAATTACAACCACCTTTCTCAGTTATGGATCTTCTTACACGTCCACTCTTATGGTGTCAAACTTAACATAATCTTCTAGATTTCGTGGAATACTGTCTAATTTGTACTCGTTTTGCGCAAAAATACAGTTTTTGATGCACCACGATATGATATTTACCAACCAAGAAACACATCTTATGATCATTTTGTTCCAGAATGTGAAGTTGAATGATAAAACGGGTTCAAACTGGAGAATATTCTACGTAATCTGGAAGATTCTATTAAATTTGACACTGTAAGGGTGGGCGTGTAAGAAGATTCATAGTTAATGGAGATGGTTGTAATTATCCAAACATGAGGGGTTTTATTGTAATTTGACCTCACTTCAAGGGGTGGCCGTAGTTTACCCAAAAAATTAAAATAAAATAATCACAGACAGACGCTAGTTGTTTCCTAAAAGTAGAAAAAGAAGATGCAGATTGTCACTTTTGGGGGGCCATAGAATAATAATCAAACATGGCTACTACTCCACCACATGCACCTGAACCGGCCGGAATGACCCGGAAAATCAAGTGCCCCGCCCCGTTTCTTTCCAAGACTTATGATCTCTTGGAGGAGGAGGAGATATGTGGCGGTGGCAGAGGCGGTGGTGCCGCCCATGGCGTGGAGAGGCTGAGGATAGTATCGTGGAACTCGGAGGGGAATGGATTTGTTGTGTGGTCTCCGGCCGATTTTTCCGAAGCCATGCTGCCTAAATACTTCAAGCACAACAATTTCTCCAGCTTCATTCGACAACTTAATACATATGTAAGTCATGATATCTAAATTTTCAAGAATTATTATACTTTGATCAAAACTCGAGTTCACTATTATTGTTATATAACTTTAGATCTCTCGTTTCTTTTTTTCACGACAACCACATGTATATTAATTAACGATGTCGTTAATATTCATGTAGTTGTAGTCGTCGAGGCTGTTGAACAATTTGAATGATCGACAAGAATACGTGTACACTTGAAAAAAAAAAAAAAAGATAAAATATTTCTATTGAACGTAGAATGGAGAAACGAGGATTACAAATAGTAGGGAAACGAGAATTACGAATAGTTAAGAGTAAACACACTTTGCAGGGATTCAAGAAAACAGCGTCGAAAAGATGGGAATTTCAGCACGAGAAATTCAAGAGAGGGCAGAGGCATCTGTTGGCGGAGATTGGCCGGAAAAAGTGCGATCCCAGCGGCTTTCCACCCTTCCTAAAAGCTAAGTACTGTAGTAAAAATAAATCCAATAATAATAATAATAATACAAAAAATATGGTAATGCTGATGGAGGAGAACAACAAACTCAGAAGAGAGAGAAAGGATTTGGAAATGCAGATTTCACATTTCAAGAATCTGGAAATGAAGCTTCTAGAATGTCTATCCCAGTACACAACCATGCCATTGTTATTTTAATTATTAATTAACTGTTATATATATTATATTTTCTTTTAATTATTATTATTATTACAAGTCATGCAATGTTAAAACTAGGGTTTCTCCTATGAGAAAATACCTCTGATCATAATTCCACGTTTCTCATGTCACAGTGAAGAAAAAGTGGTAGTAGAAATCGTGGTTGCTGATTTGTCGTTTTATTTTGAATTGACAATTTTGGAATCTTTTTTGGTATTAAAAAGAATAAAAGTTAAGAGTCCAAATGTTGGACCAATATTCAACTTTTAGCGCGAGAAATTAAATAACTTTTAAATTTATAACAAGATAATTAATTGGCATTTATTTAATTATATTTAGGGTGTAAACTATATCGAGTCGAGCCTAACGCATGCTTTGTTCAAAATTGTTTGAGTTTGTATTGAATGTTCAGATCCAATGTACAATTTTTATGTGATTTTATGAGATAATATCGCAATGAATAATTTTATGTAAATTGATAACAATAACGATATTTCTAATCAAATGAATGATAATATTGCAGTATTTTGTGACATACAGTAAAACCTCAATAAATTAATAACTCGTTTAAATAATAATATTTTTTGGCCCCGACTTGGTAAACATGTACTAGATTATTAGTTCAATAATTTAACAATTCGCTAATTAATAGAATTTTGCTAGTCCAAACTCTATGAATTTATATTTACTTCTCTCTTAACAAACAAATTAAATATTAATCGTGTGTTTCATAAATCAAAGGGGCCATTTTTATTTTATATATATATATATATATATATATATATATATATATATATATATATATATATATATATATATATATATATATATATATTTTATGTTTATATTTTTTTTCAGTTTGTCACAGCAAGTTCATGTTCCTTCAATTATGAACATGAACCGAACAACATGCTTTTCCTTTCCATGAATTTTGCGAAAAATCCATTATATAAATCCAGGTTGTTAATGGTGCAATTAACCATCCAATTAATCCATTAATTAATTAATTAAAAAAAAAAAGAAAATGGCTGCAGTAAAATGGTCTTCCAATATTACATTAATGGCACTAATAAGCTTAGCAATATTATGCTCCGCCCTTCCGGTTCGGAGCTCCGAAGAGCCCGACCCGGATCTCGTTTCCGAGATTACCAAACCTTCAAGCATGGCATGGAACGGCCATTTTGATGGCCAAATTGGTGGCGGAATGGAAGGCGGATGGGGTGGTGGAGTCCCGGCGGCACCGCCAGGTCACGGTGGTGGATTTGGCGCAGGTGGTTACGGCTACGGCGGTGTTTCGTGGGGTGTAGGCGGGGAACATGTTCCTCCGCAACCCGCATTCGGCATTCCCGGACGGATTTCGGTCCCCCGAACTCCGCCCAACTATGAACAAGCTTTTGGAAGGTCTAGTGACGAAAAACAAGTGTAATTCTGAAAGAAAATATTTCTTTTTTATTGGTATTGGTATTAATATCAATTAATAAAATAATAATACATGTCATGAATAAATAAATTGAAAATTGGTGGGAATATCAAATAGTAATTTAAGCAATAGTGTGGATCCTTGTCAATTTGGCACATTATGTATATATATGTTGTATCAAGAAATATATATACAAGTTCATGTGCCCATACCATGTAATGCTAAAATTTAAAATATTAATTATGTATTTGAGTTTAATTTGTTCGATTAAAATTAGTGATAAATGGTACGCATGTATATATTCAACAAACTTACATATTAGACGGTTTTGTAGATGCTACATTGAATGTAGAATTACATTTACATATATGTACATAGAAAATAAATAAATAAATAAAAAGGTTTACAGTCTTTAAATAATCCAGGGCCGAATTCATGAACGGGCCAGGCGCAGATAAAGTGCAACTAAAATGACCAAAACACCCTCATCACATGAATTTTACCCGCCTCTTCCCTCTTCAAAAACGATCCCCTGCTTCTCTCTCTCCTCTTTCTCTCTCTTCTTTCTCTCTCTCTCTTCACCAAGTTAACTGCAAAATTTCCGTTTTTGCTTTTCTGTTCATACGTATTCACCAAGAGATTTCGCACAGGAAAAGAAGAATCAATCAAACAATTAAAGAGCTCCGGCGAAATGATTATTCCACTTCCAGAGAAATGGAATCCGCCCTGCAACCGCGAGTGCACCCGCAAATATGCAGCGATCAGAGAAACGCCATGTGAATTCCTTTCTCTCTCTCTTCCCCCTTTCAATTCCATCACGAATTTGATTTTTGTCTTGGTGTCGTTCAATTTTAGATGATAGTGTTGTATTCGTTTTGCTTCGGTATTTTTTTTTATCGATGAATCAAATCCCCAATTATGTGGAGCTATTCTGTTCGAGAATCTGGGTAGAAACCCTAGACGGGAAATTTGTTGTTCAAATTGGTTTCCACAATCTTATGGTACAATTTTTTTTTGTATACGACACTGAATTTCATACATTTTTCAATAATCTGTGTAGTTTCATTTAGAGAAAGTTCGTTTCTAATTTTACCCATTTAATGTTCAAAGTTAGTCTCACAATTGCCACATAATATGAAAACCAGAGAATGTAGGCTGTTAAACTACAATATGAGTGGGTTTTACTATACTTGTAATGTAGGCGTCATCCGAGTTTAATTGAGGGTTTGCAGTAAATAGTTCATATATTTTCCCAATATTCATTATTTTTATATTTTTTTTTTCATATTTTGGGATGTACCTTAGATGGGATTTAGGCCCAAAAATGTTCGTGTAACCTCGTATTGGCATGTTAATATGATGTCTCTGAACTGGGGAATGAACCACAATCTAAGCTTGGTCTATGATCCTTTTTCGAAGGGGAAATTAATCGAGTAGAAGAAGAAAGAGTTTGTTTCTTGTTATGAGAGCCTATCTGTAAGATTAGTTAGATAAATTCTGATAATTAATGTATAATAGCCATATTTGATAATTAATTCGGTTATATTCCGGTGGACTTTGCATTTCTTGATTCTATTGCCATGATTGGCAAGATTTAAAAATTTTATGTGGCAGATCTGACTGAATTTATTCTGGATTATTGTAGGGAGAATCTATTGCAAGAAGGGGTGTGACGGTGACGGTGATACATGGGTTGAATGTAAGTATATCCTGTCTTGTGATGAATAATGACACGGAAATTCTATTCGAAAACGAAATGTTTGGCCACTTCAGCATGCTTGCTTTATAGCTTATGAGCTTAGTCGAATTATCAAACATTACTAATTTGATTTATGTACTGTTTTCGAAAACTTTTCTCATCATTGCTTAGGTGCGAAAAATAAACGTAAAAAAGGATATCATCTCCAAATAATTGATCAATTGTCGTTAAAATTACCAGGTGTAGGAGAGTGTGATGAACTATGCTTCAAAGACCCAGTCTTCGAGGGCCAACAATGGAGCGCTGTATTTGATCGTTCGCCTGGTTCTGCCATCTACTCTGAGGTTAATCTATTTTCTTCTTTAACTTACGTTTGATTTTTCTTATGTCTGAAACTTACACTTGATTTTATCTTCTTTTTTTTTTTCTGGTCCACATCAGAAATGCTTCCGTGCTTGTTTAGCTGGCTGTGCTCACAAGGTCAGTTAATGTATTGAAATCTAATTATGCCTAATTTTTTTTTAGAAAAATGTATCTTTCGACTATTGTGCCTAATTGTTTTTAGAAAAATGGTAAAATTTAGCACATTATCTTTCGGTCAAGAAGTAGTAGTGTTGGATGTATTGCAAAAGTTTGTAAAGTGTTGTAATCTTTCACATTGTACATAATCGAATATTCTTGGTTTGTTCATGAAATGTGGATTTTTCGTCTTGTAATTTGGTTGCAGTTTGATATTCCTGAGGAGAAGATCAATCAAGTTCAATCAAGAGCACAAATGTCTCCACCTGTGGAGAAAGCAACACCACCGCCTCTGCCTGAAGAGAAATCCGCACCATCACCACCACCGGAGGATAAACCAGCACCACCGCCTCCACCTGAGGTGAAACTAGCACCAGCACCACCACCAACTACTGAATCTACATGTGAGTTTGACCCCTTTAAGGATGATGTCCCCAACACTTCTGCATAGTGAGCACATAACAGATAAAACCTTTGTTTTATTTACGCAAGAATTATATTCTAATTAGGTTCGATAAAATTCGATTACAAAAATTCTTTAGCTGGCCCAGCACTACTATTGTATTGTTAATAATAGCAAGGAATATTCGGCACGATGATTTGTTTCTATTGCCAAAACTGTGTGAATTTCATACTGGTAATATTACATATTCTTTCTTTTGCTCATAATTCAACAACACTGTCGACATTGATATAACAGAAAAAAGCTTTACAAAATTCAATTCAGAAAACCTAGAAACTTCTCTATCAACTGTACAACTAACTAAGTTCATATCATCAGACAGAAAGCTCAAGATTGAGATCGAGAACGGAGTGGAAATATAGTGGACATCATAGACTGCGCCAGTCCCGATACAATCGCCGCCTTCACTTGCCCCCGCTTCGGAATCGGACGGCCGTACTCCGTCCTCTTCCACGGCGACTTACCGCCGTTGATCATCCTCTCTGTGCTTCCTCCTCCTTCCATTTCTGCTAATTTTAAATCCAGGTGATATTTTTTGAACCGGTGTTTTTTTTTTTTTTGGTTTTATTTGTGATAATGCTCAGCTGAAACGGCAATGTTATTATATATAGGCGATGATAATTTAAAAAATAAAATAATAAATAATAAATATATATGCAACTAGAAAATTATAATAATGTTGGTACAATTGAATAGCTCGAAGATAAACGTGGGATAATTCATAAATAATTGTGGATGTTGCACTAATAAAAGTGTAGCTTTATGTCACATCTTATCCCATGTTTTCAAATTATTATATTAATATTAAAACATTAAAAAGTAGGGTCTCGTTAGTCTTTTCCTTATGTTAGTGACTAAGTACACTGAATTAGTAAACTATTTATTTCACTTTCTCCAAAGTTCAACGTATGTGGGAAATTAAATTGCCTGCTCTTCAATTATTGAGGACCCCGGCAATTCATAGTTGCAATTTTTTTTTTTAATTATTATTTTAAAATATTATATCTTAATAAATGTACAAAAATGGGGCCATGCCCAAAATGAAATATCACCCTTTATTTGAAAATGGGGATTTGTTCGACCCTACACCCGGTGAAAAACACCGGGTGGGTCTTTTGCTGCCACGTGTCTCTTTTTTGTATTTAATAATAGAATCCCCGATAGGGTTTATATCTTTAGGGGTTTTAGAAAAAAAAAAAAAAAAAAAGAACACGTGGCAGCAAAAGACCCAGCCGATGTTTTTATCGGGTGTAGGGTCGAAGGAAGCGAAAATTGGGCAATAAATGTACGTTATTGGGCTTTTATTTTCAGGCCCATTATAATTATTCGTCGAATATTGAATTTAGTGAAAAGATTATTTAGAATAACTGTTTTTATATTTTGTTTCAGTATTAGAAATTTAGAATATCTGCCTAGAAGATTTTACTCTCCACGCGGCGGCGCGTTGTTGCTCCACTCACTGTTGGAGCGATGCCCATATCTTGCCCCAATTTCGCCGTCCAGAGTCTTCATCTCCGTTCCTCCTCCTTCACAACTACTGCCAGAGAAATCAATTTTACTCCACGCGATTTTGGAATTTCGCCGCCAATTTTCCGCACGAATCTCCGCCCTAATTCAGTTAATTACTCTTCTCGATGTAATTGTAGCCAGACGATATTTTCTGCAGAAGCAGCCCGCGATTATGACGATCAATTGAAATTCGAGTCGGAAAGATACTCCGATGAATTGGAAGTAGCGGTAAAGGCAGTGCACATGGCGTGCTTGCTTTGCCAGAGAGTTCAGGAAAGCTTGATTGCTAAAGGCGACGACCACGTGCAGTCCAAGGATGATGATTCTCCTGTCACGATTGCTGGTAATTTATGATTTAATTTTTTTTTTTAAATTTTCTTTCTCCTTGAAATGGATTTTTCTTCATTTTTTTTTATTCTGTTGGTTTGATTAAATTTTCTGAAATGGATTTTTCTTCTGTTTTTTTTTTCTTTTCTGGAATTGCTTGGTGCTGTTCGCTTTAGAGTCGATCGTGTTTCTTATCTTTGACGCACAATATATTTTTATATTTATTGTGCAGTTTGAGTCAAAAGTGTATTTTAATTTTATTATTATTATTATATTATTACTCACCTTTTAATATGTGGTAGAATTGGACGAACGTGTTTTCTCTGATGAGTAATATTCAATTCTGCCGACTCTTTGATCATTATATAATGTTACACTAGTATTTTATTCATAAGATCAAGAAAAAGGGATTATTCATAAGATATTTGTTCTCTTATATTAACTGTAAATTAATTCATAATCACGTTCGACAGACCTTCGTTGATTCACTTAAATGATTGAGTTTGACATAATTTTATACTTATCAGAAGACTAAAAAACGACAGAAGGAAACGGAAATGACATAACTATCCTCTGCTTTTTCTTCTTTCCTATCAAATTACAACATAGTTGGTCTGGTTCATATTTAGTTCAAACGTTTACATGTCTCAATCCCCAGAATAATTAATGCCATGCTTCCATAAAACCCCCGGTTCTTGATTGTTATCGAACCAACAAAACGTAAAATAAATTTCGAGTATGTTTACCTTCTGATTTATTTATCTAGCCCTAAAAGCTGCATGTGACCTAGGTTTGGATTGGGCTAATGCTCCAAAATGCTTCATGTAAGCAGATTGGAGTGTCCAAGCAACTGTGAGCTGGGTACTCTCTGATGCTTTTGGAAGTGCAAATGTATCAATTGTCGCCGAAGAAGATGTTCAAGAACTGTCCAAAACCGACTCTATTGGCATACTCAATTCCGTTGTGAAGACAGTTAATCAATGTCTAGCTGAAGCACCTCGCTTCGGCCTTAAATCGCCACCTAATCCTCTAAGTACTTCAGACGTTCTAGAAGCCATCAGTAGATGCAACTCGATTGGGGGACCCACCGGAAGATTTTGGGTGCTCGATCCTGTAGATGGTACATTAGGGTTTGTGCGCGGGGATCAATATGCAATTGCTCTTGCTTTGATAGAAGATGGCGAGCCTGTGCTGGGAGTTCTTGGATGCCCTAATTATCCGATGAAAACTGAATTGCTAAGTTACCACCAAAGAGTTCTATCTACACAACCATCGGCGAATTGGGATAAAGGGTGTGTTATTTATGCCAGGAAAGGGAGTGGTGGAGCCTGGATGCAGCCGTTGCTTCGTAAAGAAGAGAAGAAGTTTGTTTGGCCGAACTCTGCCAGTGAAATTAAAGTCTCGACTATCGATAATCCAGCGTTGGCTACGTTTTGTGAGCCGGTTGAGAAGGCGAATTCGAGTCATTCCTTCACTGCAGGACTCGCTCATAGTGTCGGAGTTCGGTAATTATTATGTTTTATCCATTCACTCCTAATCATAATTGAATAAGACTCAGTCGCATGATGAATTTCGAGAAGACGAAAACCTATGTTTGTTTACATTTTCAAAAAAAAATCTGATTTGCGATTTCGAATATTTTTGCTTGTTTTCATCTTAAAAACTCCTTCCAGTTTTACTCTCCCAAAACTAAACCAACCAAAATCTTACAACATGAAAAAATGTTTTCTACTTTATTTCAAATTATTTAATTTCTTTCGCTACTTTATTTCAAATTATTTCTTTCGCTAGTTAAATGTTTCCTATTTAACTGCTGTAGTAAAAAATTCTTCCCCCAAAACATAAACAATCATTACTTCCATTATCAATTTTTTTCCCCCAGAAAATGGAAATATATCCCCAAATTGTAACCAATCCCGGGCATTCATGAAATTTGCTGATATTTGTTTTTCAGTATCTAAAGGCCTAAGCAGTTGCATGTTAAATTAAATTGCAGGAATCAACCGTTGCGCGTGTATTCAATGGTGAAGTACGCAGCTATAGCAAGAGGAGATGCTGAAATATTCATGAAGTTTGCTAGAGCAGGTTATAAGGAGAAGATATGGGACCATGCTGCAGGTGTAGTCATCATCGAAGAAGCCGGTGGAGTGGTGACTGATGCAGGTGGTCATCATCTCTGTTTTTCCAAAGGTATGTATCTGGAAGGCCTTGATCGTGGTATTATTGCTTCTTCTGGTTCTACTTTGCATAATAAAATTATTAGGGCTGTCGATGCCAGCTGGAACTCTTCTAGTCTCTAATTTCTAATCTGAGTGTGTAATATTAGTAGTGCTTATATTGTAAATAATGTATGGGACTGGAGATAATAAACGGACGGAACCAGTTCGGACCCCATGCTCTATAGACGAAATAATGTATTATGTGATTACCGTGAAAAGTTTGATTCTTTTTTTTGCTTGCTCAGTTGTGTACCGAAACTGATTCTTATAGTACTGTTTTGGGGGGTCGATAAGCCAAGTCCATGTAATAATTTTTTGTTAGTTCAACGCCCTGTTTGTGAAGATCAAACATGGTTCACCTATTTATCTTGAAATTTGTAACTTCTTCAATATTGGCTAGGAAAAAAAGATACACGACATGAAATTATACCATGCTAGTAATATTCTTCCACCTAATTGGAACGAACTGAATCAGAGATTTAGCTTTTATCCGGTGTGTGTGTCCGGTGTAGTGCGTATTTTTTCCACCATGTATTTTCGGTGTAATGCTTGTTTTTCTGACTGTGTTCTTTCAGCGTAGTGCGTGTTTTTCCACTGTGTTTTCAGTGTAGTGCGTAGTCTTTCTCCCATTATGTGTTTAAGGTGTAGTGTGTGTTTGTTTCCCACTGTGTGTTTGGTATTGTATAGTGTGTCTTTGCTCAAATGTTGTTTTCAGTGTGGTGCAAAAAAAAATTCACTGTGTGTATTCGGTGTAGTGTGTGTTTTCGGTGTGGTGTGTGTGTTTTCTCACACTGTTGACGTTGTCCTGTGGTGCAATGCCAGTTTTATTTCTTTTCTTTTTATTGATGCTAATTATTTTCACTGTGTGTTTCGGTGTAATCCATTTTTTTCCGGTGTGTGTAGCAACAAAAACAGTTCATCTAATAATTGTTTTACTACATTTCTAATCGTCTAACAAAATCGCAAAAAGTTGTATACTATTATAGCTCACGTTTTTGGCTAAAAATAGATGAAATGTTCAATTATTTTTTAAAATATTTTTAACACTCAATTATATAGTATAGAAGGTATGTATTCATAAGTAGTTACAAATAGTTCATCTGAAAATCGTTTCACTATATTTTGAACAATCGACCAAAATCAAGAAATTGTATACTATAGCAAACGTTTTTTGCTAGTTGTTTCACTATATTTTGAACAAACAACCAAAATCACAGAAATTGTATACTATATAGCTCACGTTTTTTTGCTAAAAATAATTGAAAAGTTCAAATAATTTTTATTGTTTATAACGCTCAAATAATTTTAATCTAGCAAAATTACAACAAAACGTTTTTTTGCTAAAAATAATTGCACGTTTTAGCACACGTTTTTTTTTGCTAAAACGTGCAAATGTTTAACACTCAAATATATAATATAGAAGTTGTGTATTCAAAAGTACTTGAAAATAGTTTATCTAAAAATTGTTCCACTATAACTTGAGCAGTCAACGAAAATCACAAAAATTTATAGCACATGTTTTTTTGCTAAAAATAATTGAAAAATCCAGATATTTTTTTATTACTTTTAACGCTCAAATATATTATGCTATACAAGATGTTTATCTATATGTAGTCAAAAAATACTTTTATTTCTAATAATTATTTCACTAATTTTTTTTTGCACACGTTTTTTTGCTAGAAGTTAGTGAAATAATCAAATATTTTTGCAGCTGTGGTGTAGTGCACGTTTTACTTCGACGCGATTTTTCGGTGTCGTGAGGTTTTTCTTTTTTTTTCGCCCTACTGTCTCATTGATGTAGTGCAAAAAAAAAAATCATTGTGTTTCCAGTGTAGTGTGTGTTTTTTCCACTGATTTTAAGGTTTCGAGTTCCGATGCTCGAGGTTCGATTAAAGAGGGAAAAAATAAAGAAAAAAACTCAAGAACGTGTAGTTGTATTAACAAAACGAATCACGGATACGACCAAATGCCACAATGAATTTACAGACGCATAACTATATAACTCACAAATTCAAGCAGGTCTAACTTCTATTTCCTTTCTAGGCACATCCCCTCAAAAGTATACTCAACGCAAAAGACTGTAAATATAGTAATTTGGAATAAAAATGAACACTCAATACACAGAAAATAAGATTTACATGCGATACCCCCAGTTCATCAAATATAGCGCCTCTCAATGATATGTGTAAATAGCATCTCGTATAAGATAAGAGAGAGAGGAGAGAGATTTTACTTGCACGACGATTTAAATTGCGGCACGTAGGGCACCCCTAGCAGCTTCTCTCTTCAGCTCTGCCGCTTTGCCACTGCCTCGGAAGTACATGTATACTTGCTGTATAACCCAAATGCTTAGGACTGATTCTAAGCAGAAAAGTCCAAACCCGACAAAGTAGAAAATCTGCATAGTCAAGGACAATTTCGGTCAATACAATAACATCAATTTATTTTTTATTTTTTTATTCTACTTGGTTATATATAGATTTGATTTGCAGCTCTAACAATGAATAATATAGCGTGTAGACCCGTTTTTATGTAGTAGTTGGGTATTTATAACTTACTCCAACTAATACATGCTTGCCGATGAGATCCACAGCTGGCAAGATACCTCTGCACGTACACACACACACACACACAAAATCCATCATCAGATTGAAGATATACCAAGTAAACTACCAAAGAAATCATATATCGACAAAAATCAGCGATCCCAATAGTCAATAGGCACCACAAAAAAATATATTAAAAAGAAATTAAAAAAAAAAAAAAAAAGAAAAAAAAAAAGGGTGGTATAGATCAAGTGAAGAAAGATCAGTTATCACGTACACATAATACAATTGTGCAGGGAAAAAGGTGAAAGGCGGACTTACGCCAAAGATTTTCCTCTGAAAACTACAGGAGGTGCAACTGCAGCGAAGATGCAGAAGCCAATGTGAAGCTGCAAAGTCATCAAATTATAATATATCATCAATTAACTTATAGATGGGTATTCGTGACAAGCATGACAAGTAATATTAATAACTTACCAAGTAAAACAGGAAAAACCACGTAAACTTCATGGCACTTTCACTCCTGTAATATAAAATATGTATGCCATGTCAAACAATAAGTAGATTAAAAAAAAAAAAAGCTCTTAATCCATTACGTTTACCTTATAGAATTCAAAAAATTACACATCAAATGAAATTCTTCTCGTTAATTTAAACTATATGTAAATATTAAGCATATCCCATCTCTCGATTATTATGGTAAAGGCAGTACACTGAACCAGCCCAGTAAGTATGCTAATTGTAGATGTAAAATTGGTTTGCTACAAAAGATAGAAGCACAAACCTAAAAGCACGGTAGAGTGGTCGATACCATAACACATAGCCTCCAGGGACCCCCGATATGAAGTAGATAAGGGCAAGAAACCAAATCTTTGCATCTGGCAGATAGACATTATGTTAGGAATATTGGATCGAGATTCGAGAAACACGCACTACACATATAAAATTAAAAGAAATATTATTGAACACCAACCTCCTTGTTTAATCCATGCAGTAGTCACAGCTATAACATTCCATAGAAGGGCACAAACGAGACCTGATCACCATCAACATATACATCATTAGTAATGTTCATGAGTACTCCTGTTCAGGCCCTAAAATAGTAGGGGTCGAGAAGTCATGCACTAATACTCGAGTAACATATAAATATATACAGGTAAAGTGCAGATCCTAAAATTTCATGAACTCTTAACCTAAGGTATCATAATATAGAGAGGGGGGGAGTACCCCCACTACGGCTAGCTCACTTATTATGTGAACTGTTTACCAAAAAATCAAAATGTTAATGCCAAGCATTACCAAGCATAAAAATACTCGCACAAATTGCTTCATGGACACATTTTTTTGAAACACCATGGTTATATTTGTTTTTTTTTTACAAGGAAATAATCTGAAGCCTCCCTAGTCCTTCAAAACGGGGAATATGTTTGCCCCATTACAAAAAAGGAAGTACTCTTTCATCAATGAATATTCCGACTCAAATCCTCGCCAAAAAAAAATTATTGCCTTCATTTACCCAACAAAAAAATACAAAGCATAGTCAATTCTATAGCTGACTGAGATACCAACTAATGCACAAATATCCAATTAGGAAGTTTCGGGCGACTTTACTTCATGTTCTGAATAATAATCCTATTTTCAGTTTCTCACTAGTGCATATAAAAACACAATCCCTACAAGTACATCAAATACCATCACATTTCACTCCATATGAATAGAATTGCATAAAGCTTATATGGAGGAAAATGATATAGATGATTTAGAATAGCAAAACTGCATTAACTAACAATAAAAACCATAGAGCTTCCATAAAATACTAGCACGATATTACATACCCAAATAGGTTGTAAAAGCAACATACTGCAGCTTTTGCAGATGAATAGGTATCTCATTCGCGATGTCGTGATGAATAATAGGGAAAAACGGAGGCCAGTTTTTTTCCTCGAGAACAATGCCAGCTGCAACGAAACAAGAAATTAGTGTCACTCCACTTCCATGGAAGTCCTCTAACTAAAACAATAGGCAAGGATGGACTATTGAGTCAAGGTAATCAAAAGACCAATAAGATAATACAACACACCTCGTGCAGCAGCTTCTTCTTTCCGCCTCACTTCCTGCAGGACATCATGATAAATTTGAAATTATTTTCAGATACTGAATGTAACCCTACTAGGACTCCATCCGTTGTCGTAAAAGAAAATAATCTCTACTAATGCTTATTGAAATTGTGCAACATTTTATCTTCTTTTTGCAAAATATAATTTCCTAGTATATACTACCTCCGTTTCTTTTTAAGCGTCGTTTGAGGTATATGCGCGCTAATTACGAATATTATTAGATATTCTTGATTTGCGGGGAAAATGTCCTTATTTGACCAAATTACCCTGTCATTTTTCATCTTTTCTTTCTCATTTTATTAATCTATCATTAAGGTTGGGGTAAATTAATATTGGGCTGAAGTTGGAAAAAATTAATTAATTCTGCCTTGAAACTCTAAAGTGAAACTTAGAATGGAAAAAATTGTAAGGCTAAAGTGACACTAAAAAAGAAACAGATGGAGTAACTGACAACGCCTAAACGCTAAACATAAGAATGATTTGGTTCCCTTCACTTTTTAATCATCCAGCAGAAATCACAGTTGATGCTACCCAGAGCCTTTAATGCATGCCAACGATAGAATGGCAGGCAAATTTTACCAAAAGAATGGTAACATACACCAGAGGGTACAGATAAATGCACAAATAGCAGATTATGAGTAATGATCTACAAATACCTGTTCCCTTCTTTTCAGTTCAGCCTCCTTGGCCTGTAGCTCTCTCTCTTTCTTTTTCAAATCCTAAAGTGAAAATTTCTCCCATTAGAAGCCAGAGAAAGCATTTTGAATTATATAAGGAATGCTTTTAATGACGTAATTTTTTTTTTAGTTTTCTTAAATCTAAAGCCAGAGAAAGCATTGTTTAGTTAAGAGAAAGCATTTTTGTAGTTTTCTTTTCAATAATAAAGGATAAATTTTTACAGGTTAAACAATTCAAATTAATTGCACATACAGAAGCACTATCAAGAGGAATGTCAACTGGGGCAGTAGGATTGTAGAAATCAGCAGGCTCTGGAGGAAGTGGTGAGAGCCTTGAGTTTGTAGCAGGAGGAACGCTTCCAGTCTGGAAAACAAAGAAAAATTAATGTTGCCGGTAAGAGCTGACTTAATAAATAAGCAAACAGCACGGACATAGAATCATAAAGCTAATCAAAAGGTCGGTTAATTTCTAATCTAGAAATTCATACAAGAATATTCCTGTTGACGATTCTCAAATTTGCTAAGATGTTGGTACTTCTCCCAATCTTTTATAATTTGAGATAATTGAGCATCCATAATAAGTGTGTTTACTGTCTGATCTTGACTAAGCATAGTTACTTATTCTTATTATACCAAAAAAAAAAAAAAAAAAAAAAGGACAGTCACCATAATCCCCTACATGTATATAATGAATTTTGTATCTAATTAATTCTGAACTCTCCGGTGAAAAATTGTGAAGCACCAAAATGGAGTTCAGAATCATTGAAGGAAATAAAGTAGATTTAATTTACTTAAATTGGTTCTTCTATTTGCAACTTGTGTAATAGCTTTCTTTTCAAATAGGAAGACAAATAAAGATCAACTCACCGAGTTAAAAAATGAGCCTCCTCCAAACTTTGATTGACCAGATGGTTTTCCTCTAGCCCCTCCATCCTGAACATAAGAAAACATCACCATGCCATTTGACGAACGCAAACCAACATTAAAATCTATCAACTCTTTTTTCAAGGATCTCTTACATATTGAGATGCTATACATATGCCAAAGAAACTAAATTAACAGCTACTTGGACTCACTCTAAGTTACTTTGTGCGCTAATAAGATTTGTATACAAGTATATTCTTTCGATCGCTCTTTAACAAACATGTTGCGTATGCATCATGGCTGCCATATGAGAAGCAAATGTAAAGAAGCAAATTGTACCAACCAAACATCTAGAATTAAAACACACACGCGCGCGCACACACACACGCACGCACGCACGCACACACAGGCCCACACACACACGCCCGCACACACACACACACACACACACGCACGCCCGCACGCCCGCACGCACGCACACATACACACACACACACACACACACGCGCGCGCGCGCGCACACACGCACACACATCTAACTTTGGAGAACAGCGGATTAAAAACAATATCAATTGAAATATTCATACAGAAACCCTAAAATAAAGCAATACCAGTTCAAACCACAAAGTCAACCAAAGTCACCCAAAAACCCCCAAATTTTCTTCAACTTCAAATTACCCCCTTCTAACAACAGCACACAGAAATTCAACTAAGAGAAACGAAATCACAACAGAAAATGCAGTTTCAAATCGAGTCGCAGTACAAACTTACAGCGAATGGATTAACTTCTTCTTCGTCGAAAGGATTGCGATCGTAACGGCCGGCCATCTTCCTGACAGATGTTTACTTCAATTAAATCCGGTTGCAGAAACCAAATAGCACCCGTTTTGTGAGATCTAGAGTGGAATTGCGATGATAATATATAGAGAGAGAGAGAGAGAGAGAGAGAGAGAGAGAGAGAGGGAGAGAAAAAACGAGACAAATCGTCGAAGCTTAGGGGAGAAGTTTCGAAGACAAATCGTAGTAGATTCAAACGGTTGAAGGGGAGAATCTAGTGAGAGAAAGGAGAAAAGGTCGGTTAGAGAGAGAAAGGGGCAGACTTGTCTGTGGTCAGCCTTCGCTACTTTGAATATAACAACTTGCATACTTTTATAATTTTATTCACTTTTCTCTGCTTATTTTTTGTGTTATGTTTATTAATTAAAATTATCGTTAATTATTAAGGGGCTGTTTGGATTGTAAATTATGGTAACAGTTGTTCAATTGAAAGCTTTGGGAAAAGTAGTTAGCATTGGATTAGTTGTACACCCACCCTACCTTGTCTCTTATTGTTTAAAACATTAAGCCTCGTTTGGTTGCCATAATAAAATTCTAATTATTTTATCGGAGTACAGCGTGTCCAACGAAAAAGCTCTCTAAAAGACAAGATAACCCTTAATAACATAATATCTACATATCGATCCGATTAGTTATTGTGATACCGAACGAGATCTAATATAAAACTGGGTCGTTATAAATTAATAAAATCAATTACATGTATTTTGCTAATGTCTTTTGCAAGAAATGAAATGTCCAAAATTAATCATTAGCAAAGCAAAATACATTTCTAAGCAGAGGGCTAAAATAAAATAACGAACTCCAACAATTTGAAGACACAAAATCAACGACCGGTTTCGTTTACGTACCTAATAATTGTGTGTCACAACTAAGGACAACCTTCTAGAATTGTCAACAAATTGGACTAAAAATGGTCAAAAAATAAAGGTGCCAGATCACGAAAAAAATAAAATAATAACGAGTTCATTTCGACATTTGTTCACATTAAAAACTTTACAAACGAAATCCTAGTCAAGAAGAGTCTCGTAGATTCTATAACTGGCGTAAACATATCGAGCACAATATCCTATTGAAAGCACAATATCCTAGTTCACTTTTTCAAACACAGTACCCCGAGTACTGCGTGTATTTTCTTTTTAACCTACCTAAGAAACTGAATTTCGCTAAACCTTGGAAAAATTACGTTTGTTGTTACGTCTAAGCTTGCGTTTTCGGGTTAAAGGAAACGGGTCGACCCATTTCTTGTCCTCGTCTACGGCCCGTTCCCATCGCTCCTTAAACTTTTGAAGCTCTATTGTAGATTGCCTTCTGATCTGCACCATCCAAAGATTAGTTTGGTTATCAAATTGAAACTGTTGAAAACTGAAATTGAAATTCACAAGATTTGATGGAAACACACCTCTGATCTGACATCCACAGTATGCCTCTATGTAAACGAGAAGAATGAAGAATAAGTATTTGCAAAACTGTAGTTGTTATATAATAGAAAAATCGAAGAAACATGATTTTAACTTGTGGAAAAAATCTAAGTTATTTATACCTTAACTTTCGTATCTTCGAGCTTCGAGACCTGCATGGATGTAAAATATAAGAATTCATGAGAATCGAAAAGGGCTGCAAAGTACAAGAATCTCAAATATATATATGTATATTCCCAATTGTTTTAGATGAGGATATGATCAAGTGTGAATGTTATAGGAAGATTAATTAAAAAAAATAAAAAAAAAAGGTAGATTAGAAGGAAGTGTTGTTGATCACCTTCGTTGCAGATGGGCCACCCAAAGTTTGTATACTCTGATGAAGTACATATTCACTATCGACTACTCCCACTTTTTTTGTGGGATCTCCCTATAAAGGCCCAAGTTAATTCATCAAAACAAAACAATTTAATTTAAAAAAAATTTAAAAGAAATTGAATTTTCCCTGAGAATCTTTCTTACCTGTGCACAATACCCGAGTTTGATGTCCATTCCCCATCCATGAACAAGATCATTCTGACAATTAAAAGAAAGCTATGTGCGTAAGGTTTTACAGCGACGAGGCAGCAATATCAAACGATGTCTATGTTTCAGAGTCGAATAATATAAGTTACTAATGCAATAAAACGAAAAAATTGGAGACAGAAGTTTATTGTTAGCTCGAATACATAAGAGATGAACGATTTCTGACACTCAGGCTAATATGGCTGCATTCAAGATTTTTTATTTTATTCCCTTTTTAACTTTGTCTCCATTATACAATGTTGAACAATAAATGAATAGAGAGTACTCTGTAAAACTTCCGATTTATAAACTGCTAGCGAGATATTTGTTCAGAGACAAAAAATTACCTGTATCAAATGCCAGGCACATTGCCAGGCTGATTTTGAAAATACTGGAGCCATTCCCTCTACAAATCTGCAAGAAAAAAAAAAACAATCAACATTTTTCTCTATGTTGAAAAACAAAATGATCCAATAATACGAGGCAAGTTTCTTTAACCGGACCTTACATGAAATTAATAGATTTAAAAAAAATATATAGTAGAGTAATGAGAAAAAAAAATTCGAAAGATAATAACTTACCCAGTGCATGAGGGACCCTCACTATCATCTAAACACTTGGTACTACCTCTGTAATCATAGACTCTTCTGCTTAAAATAGAATGAATAAGATTATAAGAACCAAATGCACCGTATAGATGAAAGTAAGAACTCGGATTTTGCTCACAACTCACCTATGGAAAATCTTTGTTCTTTTTCTTACAGTGATCCTATGATGTATCCCAGTGGAATTCGGGTCCAATGCTGGCTGAGATATTTCAAGCCCTTCTGATTTTACAATTTCAAGATACCTGAAATACAGAATAAATTGACAGTAATTTAGTACTGTGTTCGAACAGGAAAAATATGTTTGGAATAAAAAGTTTTTTTTTTATAAGCAATTATACCTTCCAGGGTGGAAATTATTGACTCCTAAATCTTCATCCCAGAGGAATATGTAATCATAAATAGATACAACAGCTGGATGCAAAAACCGTTTTGCAAACCACCTGAACATGAAAAAACAGAGGTAATATTTTTTAGCCTTAAAACCTAAATAATAACATACATATGAATTTAGGAAGATTAAGACGAGAAAAAATGATCAGCAGCGATAAATAAGCCTTACCATTTTGTTTGGTTATGAGCTACTATATGTACAGCTTCTCTACTCCATTCCAGATCCGACCAACCGTTCACATTTCCGTCATAGTGGAATAAAATAATCGTAAAATTCTCTGGAAGAAACTGAAAATATAAAAATATAAAAAAGAACGAGAAAAAAAAGGGTTATGGTTCACGTAGTATGATCATAAATATTTAGTGTTTAAAAAAATAGACTGGTTTACCTTTTGAACAATAGTGTCAACATTCTGCTTTTGCTTGATTCCAACGGGCATTGCTAACAAGTTACTGGAACTCCGTACATTTATCTGAAAATTAAAAAAACTAAATATGAAATAGAGTTCGATTATTCAACCATGACATTTCATCACAACACAATATTAATTAATAACCTGTGACTTAGAACTGCTTGTTGTCCATAAAGGCTTTAAATCCAGGTCTGACTTTGCTTCGATGATGCCACGTGGCAGGCTATTCAAGCCTGTAGTATCTTCACCTATGTACTGGATCGAAAACATCATCAATGGCAGAAAATAAATTAAAAAAAAATAAAAAAAACTGTGACAAAAGTAGATGCAATACTAAGATAATTTACCTTCGACGTGTAGAAAGGATTAGACCTCGAGTCCATCTGAACACGGCTCAAACGAAAAACGATTTCGTAATTAGAAGATCAAAGGGCCATAATTAGTCTTTTAAAGACGGGAAAAAATAAATAAAATAATCCTAATTATTCAACTGAGTATTAAAAATACCTCTGTCTGTTGATGCTGGTAATTTGTGGTCCTATATATAATGAACAACATCACTGTACAGACAACTCCCATAAACGGCAACTGTTTCATCTTTGCTCCACATACTATCTGCAGTTTCACTTACAAATTACAAAATCGAATATTAAAATATAAATATTGAAGAAATTCAATTATAAGAAACCCCGATTGTAAGCACACCCCATCAAATAAGAAATATTGCTTCTTCAACAGCCACCTCCATGAAGTCGACCCTTTCATAGGCAGCTACTGCTTTCGATTGTCACTTATAACAGACTACAATAAACACATGTAAATCCAATGTTATTATTGACCTAGATAAGAATACGAAATTGCAATTGCCCCTTCATTCTAGCTAACACGTGGTTTTATTTCGAGAGTGTAATAACTACTGTTCTTACCTACTGTATATCTTCAGTCAAACTCATGATAAATAGCTGAAAGAAGTTGAAATAAAAAGGACACATAAACACAAAATTATCATTGCAACATGTGAAAACTTCTGTATCCATGACCATCTACTCTGCATCTTCAGAAATAAAATTAATTACTTAATTGTTCCTGGAAATTGAAACTGAGACATGCAATTATAAATTCATAATGCATAGAATTAAAGGCTCAGTAACTAATTTTCAACATTTATTTGATAAAACAGATACCTAATTTACAAGCACGAAAGTTCAATTTTATTTTATTTTTAATCTTCCATTTCTTCATGTGATTTGAGGTTTGATATGATTTATGATAATTACTCAGTGAAACACCAAAAAAAAAAACCACAAACTCAAGCTCAAAATCACCGAAATGGAAAATAATAATAAATAATAAATAATTTAAAAAAAAAAATTCAGGAACAGAATACACATAAGCACACCTTTCTACACACCGATTCGACGAATTCGAGGCAAATACCATCACCAAATAATTGAATTTCACAGCTGAAATTGAAGCTTCACCTAGGTTTATATACCAAATACTGTTTGTTTTACACTATGTAAGTACACAAAAAATTCAAAAAAGGATAATAGATACAATTGTATATACACGTAGAACGACGTGTTTGTGTTTGTGTGTGTGTGTGTGTGAGAGAGAGAGAGAGAGAGAGAGAGAGAGAGAGAAGTGGGAGAAGAGAGAAGTTGACAGGGGGGGAAAGGAAGAAGAAGAAGACACACGTATTACGAAGCGGTGAAGAGAAACAAGTGAGAAATTAAAATAAAAAGAGTTTTTATTCGTTGGAGTGCACACTGTGCAATGAATTTTCGCAGCTACGCCAAATTTTATACGGCAAAAAATTAGCATCGATAATCGCAACAATTAATACTAATCATCGTATTATTTTAATTAAGTACTCCCTCTGTACCATATTATATGTCTTTTTAGAGAGTTTTTTTTGTCCCAAATTATTTGTCATTTTAGATTTTCAATGAAGCATTAATTGCATTATTTTCAATTTTACCCTTAATCACTCCTAATTAATTAGTTGACAATCAATTAATATTGAGGATATTTTAGTAATTTTATCTGTTTTTTACTATAATCTATGCACATTTATTGATTTTCTTAATATGTGCAAAATAAGCCAAAACGACATTTAAATTGGGACGGAGGGAGTATTAATTAGTATCAATTAATTCACCTGACTAGGTCAAAACCACTACAATTACAACAGAGATTCGGACCACCTAAGATTCTCCAATAAAGGCAAAAGCATGAATTTTAATTTGTTCGATTTTGAGTGAGATATCTTACATTACATGAATTGGTGAAATTAATGAGTATTTGATTGTGTCAATTAACATTAATTTCAGATTAAGTGTACTTTAATTTGTTATGTGAGTAAGATTAGGTGTATTGAAATTGGATTAGTCAATGTAAGATTATAAAATCGGATTAATCGGTGTAAGATTATAAAATCTTGTGATAATTCAATTGTGTAGTAAGTAATTGAATTAGAGCAAGTTCAATATACTTCCTTTTTTTCCTATTAATCAATTGTGGGTCGGTTTAAAAATTAATTGCAGAACCCAAGGGTATAAAATGTAAATCCGACGAATGAGATCAGAATTACATTTTTTTGGAAAAAAAATGGTTCTTTTTTTGGAAGTGAGGTTCAACTTTCGTCCCAACAAAATCATAGATTGAAACGAAAAAACTTTTTCCGAAACCGGAATGTTTATATCGAAATCGGCGAAATTCAAAAATACGTAATAATTTTGGTATAATTATAAGTGTAATATTCCGAAGAGAAAAAATCAGGATTTTTGAAATTATTGTTGGAACATAAATTGGATCGAAAATCGGAATCTCATAGATATTCCAATTCCGATCCAAATAATTTTGAAAAGAAAATTCAGATCGGAATCAACATAAATCGGAAAATTCATTCCTATTTCTACCCCTAGTGACGAGTCATTGATGAATTAAGAGAGATTAGTGCTAATTATTTATTTTTCTATTAACATGAAAAATAGGTTAAATAGTAAATACAGCTAGATAATAAGATAGTTTTGGGCACTTTTGCCATTTCAGTGTGCCCTCTCAGTCACGTTGCTTTTCTAAACTAATCAAGTTTTGTGGTCTCAATAAGAATTGAAAATCACAATGTAATTATCTAATTGACTAAAGTCGTCTCCTGACAAAACTCGTTATTTGATGAAGCAAATTTTCATTTAACATACTAATAATACAATTTCTAATAACAATTAAAATTTGATTTGAACAAAAGATACACAAATATTTTAATTTATTCTCAAGTAAATCCAATAATAATCTTATTAGAATATCGATATTAGCCTAAAATTAGATTAGGTCGAGTCACCAATTGCTTTGGTGGTGGAGATTCAGAAGTTGATCGAGCATCGTATCCACTTATTATTACTTTATTAGTGGTTGAGTTGAGTCTTTTTTTTTTGATGAATTAGTGGTTGAGTTGAGTCACCAAACAATATTTTTTTCCAATTAATAAACATTATATGAATTATTGAGTAATTAAAATAAAATAAAGTTTCAAAAGTTATATTGTGGATAAAATTTGTTGAAACAATTACGTATATAAAGGCGGCCGGCCATCAAAACTTTTGCACAAGGGTATTGAAACTTGTGACTTGTTTGGCTTGTTGCTCTTTTGGTGCTAGATCTTGGCTTTAATCATATTGCACCATCATTATTTTTTTAGGTGAACCACCTTCCCACAACAAACACAAAATTTGATTAAGCATAATATTCTTTAATAAATATATCCAAATGCAATTATAATTTATAGGGATGGATTAAGTGGCAAGCCCAGGAATTCATTACATGATGGACTGAATTTTTCGGGGTTCAGCGCAACGTCCCGAATTTTTTTAGGACTTTTTTTTTTCATAAAGTATGATTTTTTCTTTGCATGAAGTAGAAAAACCAGCAAATAGGAAAAGAAGAAAAATAATAATTTAGAAGTCCTTTTGCATTGACTTGATAGATAAGGTAAATAATAAAGATTGAGTGGGACTAAAAAAATATAAAGGACTAAAAAAATTAAATATAAAAACTATGTACTATAATAATAATAATCGGTTTAATTTAAATAATTATTAATTACATGTATGGTGGAGCTGGGGAAGGTAGGTTTGAGGTAGTTTCAGCGCCTGCTAAAGGTCAACTGACGCAGTGCAGTCTAATTTAATGCTAATTTTATTTAGGTAGTATCCAAAATGTAGTTTAATTTATTTTTATTCTTTTTTTTTTCTTTTTAATTTTAGTTTACGAGGTAAGTATTTTCTATTCCGGTGGACCAGGGTCTTGTTTGTACACGTGCCGTCCATGCAGTATGGTAGCTTACCTGTCGTTGTCGGAGCACGTGTCTTCCATGCAAGGTGGTAGCCTAACCTATCTGTTGTGTTTTTGTTTCCTCCTTCATTAATATTTATTGCCAAATAAATAAGTATTCCGGAAAAGAATTTTTTTTTTCTTTCAGTATTTGTGGAAAAAAGATGACAGAAAACTGAATCGCGTGAAAGTAAAGCTTTGTTTTACCTCAATTTGTTCTTATTTTATATAAAAATATAACAATATATTTATAGAAATTAAAATTCTGGCTTCACAACTATTTGGGCCCAACTGTTTTTACAACGGCCTTATGGTGGGCCAACATATATAACATAACCAATCTGAAAATTCAATTTGAACCAATTTCACATTTCAACCTCCATGTTACAAAAAATTATATTTGGTCTCTCGTATTTCATAAAATTCAACACTTTTAGTTTTTTCCGCCAATTTCATGTTAAAACTTAACTGACGGACTAAGGTAAATTGACGAAAAGGACCAAAAGTACCAAATTATTGAAACGTGAGGGACCAAATATAAAATCGTTGCAAATTTGAGTGGTGAAACTGTAAATTTCCTATCTGGAAATTAACTCAACAAATCATTTCACATCCAGAAAAATAATACTGTACATAAATAAAATAGAAAAAAGGAAATTGTGCATAGGAAAACATCTTTCTTTTTTTTTTCACTCTTTTAATATTATACATAGTTTATACATATACATACATAGGAAACATCATAAATCAAATTTGGCTAGCTGCACCAATAAAATGCGCGCCAACTGATTTAATGATTGTTCAACTACTATTTAAAAACAAATCTGTACAAAAAAATGGTGATTAAAAAAAAAACGGAATCACCTTCGAACTCGTTTCCTTGGTTTTACGGAAGTAGCCTTACTCGGTCGATTATCTAATTCAGGTTTCACCTTCATCGGTCGCTTAATTCCTTTCTTACCCTTCAACAAAGAATCATGATTCAAAACTTTAGAATGATCAACATCACATTGTTTTCTCAATCCCTCTTCATTAGCAGCAACAAGGGCATTTTCGTCATCCTTAATTTTCTCCAAGGCCTTATCTTTGCATGGCCGAGGTCTAACAGTCCGAGGCTTCACCGGAGGGTTACACGGGATAAAAGCTGACGTGGCCTCGTGGCAGTAGTACCCCGTGCAGTAAAGCTTGTACTCTCTCATGACTATATTCCTCAGAGAGAGAGCCGATTTATACTCTCGAGTTCTTCTCGAGTAGAACACAAGTGCATTGTTTGCTAATAGAAGCAAGTCTCGAAACAGCTCCTTAGCAGACTTTATCGATTGGCCCACAATTCTGGATTTTATTGTACCTATGTCCATGTGTTGCTTGATCACTCTCCTGTATCTTGCTCGTTTCTGTTTATTGAAAAAATGTAAAAAAATGTTTTTTTTATTTATTTTTTATTTTTTATTTTTTCGTTGATTTTTGGAAGCTATTTTTCGTTTTTTTCTTACCTGACTGTCCATTCGATGTCTGAAAACTGCAGCTGGTTCACTCTGAGCCACGGATTTGAATATTTCAATCAAACTGTCTTCTCTTTTAATGGTGCAAGAATCTTTATAAGATTCTCTAACAATCGGACCACAATTATCATTCGTCGAAGTTTCCTTCTGTGGAGTAGAAACAACGTTGGAAGAAGAACCTAAGTTGTTGTCACTTTCGCACACGCTTCGTTCTATAATAGCCCGATTACTATTATTATAATTATTATTACAGTCCTTTCTCTTTCTCTGTCCTCTTCTCTTCTTCATAATCACACCATGCCCATAATTAGCATCTCCCAAATTCTTGATGCTCGAATCTTTATCCGAAACAGAAGTGGTGGGCCCCACTGTTTGAATATTCTGAGGTTCGCATAACCAATTTCCCCTCGTACTCGTGTCCTTAGTGAAACTGCCAGCAGAGTTTTGATCATTTGATGTCTCTCTTACAAAAGATTCCGTGGCTTCGGAATCTAAAGCAGGTAGAGGCGACTCAGTCTCGCTCGAACCATAGTCAACCTGATTGGAGTGTTGCTTTTCGCCCTCCAGAGATTTGATTTTTGACTCGAGAGACCTGTGAAAGTGGTTAACGTTAGAGAGAATTGCATTTAAAACAACCAATCAGAATACCATTGTTTATATTACACGAGGCATTTAAAGAGCATCTAGAAAGCGGATATATATATATATATATATATATATATATATATATATATATATATATATATATATATATATATATATATATATATATATATATATATATATATATATATATATATATATATATATATATATATATATATATATATATATATATATATATATATATGTGCTAATTACCCTATTGAATCTTCAGATTTTGCCAGTTCTTGCTTCAACTGTGCCACTCGCCGTTTTTTCAGCTCTTCAAACCAAGCCCTGAGGAAAATATGCATGCATAAACATTAGTTTCTACTTCGATTATCTTCTCATGCCCGACAAGTGATATACTTAGTCTAACTTGCAAAACGGGTTCATACTAAAAACGTTCTCATAGAGAGATTATGAGTGATAATTGTAATTAAGGGATGAAGGATTGGATAAGCATGAAACATTGGGCCTCTCAAGTATATATAGACAAAGAAAACTTCAATTCGACACATTGACATTAACACGCCAAGGGCAGATCAGTAATTTCAACAGAGCCGTGTTTAACGCCAGATTGGATTCTTAAATCACACAAAACCACATGTGGTTAGCAAAATTAATATAACTCACTTGGAGCCAGAGTAACGCTTTTTTAGGTCCTCGTACCTTGCTTTACAAGCCTGCAATTATGGTAGGTTAATTTTGTCATTTGCTGAAGTAGTAGAAGATACAAGAGAAACAACAGAAAACACGACTTTAACATTCTTTCGCCTTTTTGTAGAATTTAAGATAATATTAATGGTTCACAGTCGAATATCGCCGGATAATCTCTAAGCAGATTACAGTGTATATAAGCCTTTTAGGCGGTAGGATTTAACATGGTAGAGGGTCGTAAAATCGTAAAATAGTATGATATTACAATATATTAATATTAGCATAACCACAGAATACTTAGGAGCCAATTGTGCATATAACAAGAATGTTTTTGACAAATACAGATAACAACTTTTATAACCAAGTACTTATTAATTTTGTTACTCCAATGCAAGTTACATAGGACCAATTAAGACTTGAAATTATTATTACAATTAAACATCTACAAATTAATAGAGTCGGAACTAACAAAATCCTATTAATTTAGCAAAATATTAAATCAGCGAACTAATAATTTAGTATGTTTTTACGGAGTCGGGACCAAAAAAAATATTAATTAAGCGAGATTATTAATTTATTGAATATTAATTTATCGAGGTTCTACTGTACTCTATTATTATTCACAAAACTAGTGTTTAATTTAGCCCAATAGGCACGTAACTGGTTGCATGCATGAAAAGGCAGAAAGATGATGGAAACTTAATTCTTCTAAAGGCTAATCAAATCAAATAGAATATATTATTTTATATATATATATATAGGAAGGTTAAAATGGGAAAGTTGCAGAATGTGGACCTGTGGAGTAAAGGTGTACGGACAAAGGGTGCGTGTTCGAACCTCCAAAGCGACGACGTTCCAGTCTTTCGTGCCGTGCCGCAAAACAGCGCCACCCAATATTAGCTCCTCCCACGTGCCCCAGCCGCCCTCCTCCGCCATGGCCTCCGCCCCCATCCTTTGCCCTCAACCGTCTACGGCCAAAATTCTTAAAAACTAACGCTCGAAAAAAATAAGCTTTGGGGGAATTTTTTTTTCCCGGCGCAAGTTAGCAATGAGAGAGGCGAAATCGGAATGGAAATTGTGGAAAAAGCCTTGATTTTTTGGGTAGGGTTGGGTGGTGATTCTCTGAATCAAGGATTTTCGGAACCAATTTTTGAGGTCGGTGTTGAATTAGCGGAGAGAGGAGAGAGAAGATTCTGCTAATTTCATGGAGAGAAGAGAGAGAAACTGAGGAGAGAGAGAGAGAGAGAGGATTATCACCATTGTTATTGGTTGGAAAAAATTAATAAAAAATAAAAAAAATAACGGTGTGTAGCCGAAGAAAAACATGGAAGACGAAACTCCGTTTACGCACATACGTGTGGGTGTGTGTGTGTGTGTGTGAGAGAGAGAGAGAGAGAGATTTTGACAAAGAATGTTGTTTGGCTTACCTGAAATCTCTCTATAATTTATTTGGTTGTTTGGACAATTTTAATTTTAGTTTTTATTTTTCTAAATTGCAATTTTCCTAGACAATTGAATAATAGAGTCAATGGTGATGGCCTATATATATATATATGTATTGGACAATTCAAATTCTTGTACGAATAGGAAAAGATAGGCAAACGCTACTTCTAAATCTACTTTAATAGTACTATGCATATATAGCATGTACTATATACAGAATAGGAATACTACATAAAAAGAATATTTAATAATTTCGAAGCTTTAAAAAAAATTAAAATAAAGGCCAATTATTAGGAAATTTAATTTGTGTACACCTGATAACAATGGGAGTAATAAATTAGCTAATTTACTGTACCTTGAAATTTTCTTTACCAAATTAGATGATAAAATATAGTACATAATTACTCATAATTAATATTTCTAATGTGTGACACTAGTTTTCAAAAATATATTACCTATATAGAATATAACGCTCTTAATTTGTATTTCTACCATATATATTTTACACCCAATATATGAATATGTATGATCAAAATACCACACGAAAGCATATACTAAACTCGGTTTTCTTCGAGTTCATGACTAAACAGAATCAATCAGGTACACGATATCTGTCTGCGTTTTACCATGTTTTCCAAGTTTTGAGACACCAACGAAGTCAAATTATGGTCCTCGAATCCGAGCTCTGGCCCGAGCCTGTACCAGAATATCGAATTTATAATACCAATTTAGAAAAACAAAGATAATAACTTACTAGTAATTGGAAAGAATTTATCTAATTATAGTTTTAGTTGGCTTACTTGGGATCAAGAACCAGCTTCTGAACTTCTTTAATGGACGAACTTGCTGCGTATAACGATATTTTTCCGACCTAAATCAAACAGTAGAAATCTAACGTAAGCGCAAATTCTATTACAATTTTATGATATAAGCAGCAGATATCTGACCTCCAATATTTGTAGCTTCAAATCATGGTCATTTGGAAGCCCACGAATTTCTTCGGATAATCTAAAAGCTTCGGCCAAACTTTCAGGAGAAAGAAAATCAAGTCCCAACTGAACTGACGACTGCACAATTAAACATGTGTAAACTTTTTAACATATTATAAAAGTTTAATCGAAAAAAAGGCCTTACCAAATTTTTTGAAAATGGTTAAATTTATTTAGTTGCTCGTGAATTTTGTGCGAGTTGCTCACCTGAAGATGTCGTACTTGGAAAGGGCATCCAGCAGGTACGAATACAGCTTCACCGATATGCTGTTCAAACGACCAAGGCTCGATTCCTGTTAATAATAAAAAAATAATTAAAAAAAAAAGATTTTAGAAAGTTCTAGACAGTTCCAAAAAATCTATCTTACACAGTTGCACTTACCAAATTCATCTTTTAACATGCTTATATGATGCCTATTCAAGTATACTACACCATCATATAGAGGCCGCGATACCTGATATTAAGAATGTAATAGTATATTAGGTACAAATGCATAAATCATGATCTTTAAAATCGAGTATACTTCTAGAATAAAATGAATAACTTACATATTCATCAACGACAGTATCACCCTTCACGAGATATTTCCAGTGCAAGCTTATATACTCCATTAGCTTGGGTACATCCTCTCTACGGAAGACATCCCACAAAGCTCCTGCTTGTGGCTTTTCAAGAATATTCCCACCAGATTTCTCACGGTCGATTGAATATCCATTAGATTCAGAATTATCGGATCCATCCGGGGACAAATCGGGTAATTCACCACTGTCTAGGTGGATTTTCGGAACAGCATCATTTTGTATATCCATTTTTGTCCCCTGCCCACCTTCTAACTTCTTTTCACACATATGCACTAAAAGAAACACCTGATTTGACAAGAGAGAAACTGCTCAATTTTCTTTTTCCAAAAAGAAAAATATAATCAGTTTAATACAATTGAAAAGGAGAATCGGTGCGCTCACCATGTCGCGCATGTTGAGATGAAGATTATCTCTTGAATCGCCTTCGCCAATTTCTTCTACTTTTCCGTACGAAATGAAAATCTTGGGGCCCACATCGTTTTGCAACGAATAATGAGGCAATTTCGCAGCAACGTTTAAAAGACCCCATTTTGAATGGATGAACTCAAGCAAAGGAAGTTTACTAATGAAGTCAGGTCTCTGATACAGCAAAAACTCTTCTGAGGCACTCGGCGAAGGCCAATCCTTCAATTTCAACAGTTGTGACTCGCCATTTTCATTAAATCTACCATCAAAATATCCTTTCAAAAACTCTTCAAGTTCGATATTAATCTGCAATTTAAAAATAAGCCAAAAGGAAAAAAAAAACATTGGTAAATACAGTACTAGCTAACAATAAGGGTTTATAATTTCTAAAAGACTCCCCGCATTATTTATTAGCACCAAAAACCCTATGGCTGATTTTTTTAGCAAACTGCCCCCTAAAAGCTCATTATTTAGGGGGTAATGTACTAAAAAAAGGTGCATTGTAAGGGTTTTTTTGCTAATATTAATAACACGGAGAGTTTTTTAGCAATTCGATATATAACATAAGGGTACTAAATGAAAAAACTCCTAACAGTAATTGGTAAATACCTCAGTCCAGTCAAAGCAGTCAACAGCCTTGACAATTTTGTTTGCGTCTTTCGTTTTCTCATCTGTCGTTTCTTTAATTCCTCTCCAAATAACCATAGGATCCCAGATTGTCATAGCAGAAGCATCACAGACATCCTTAACAATAACAGGTTTCCCTCTGCTCCAGTTTAGTCTGAAATCTTTGATGCCTTCATTTCTAAGATCTTCTGAAGATGGACAATACAAGAAGTTATCGATATCGTTCTCTCTGTGTGCAGCCTGAAAAATCCCGAGACTAACTTCAGTTTCCTCCGAGTTACCAGAATTATCTATCTTACAGCCATTGACCATTTCTTCGACATTTTTCACCAGTTTAGCAACCCAATTCATCTTGAATATACGTTTTAGAGTTAAAAGGGAAGAGCCACAGCCTCCATATTCCTTTGGCGGGCATAGGATACTTCCATCACTATCAGCTTTCAAAGTGGCGAATTTTTCGAATGAATTTAGCTGAAAATCTGATAAATTTAGACGCTCAGACAACATTACTTCGTCTTTATCATCATTTCCACCAGTAAACTGCTTGGATGCTTTTCTAAGATCTTTGCAGCAGCTAAGGCACAAGTCATATGAGCAATTCGTGCAATGGCGGTGATAATCAATGATGGGTATCCTGCAAAAATCACTGAAAGTAGGGGATTGAAAAATTAAATCGTTATACTTTAACATAATTTGAAGCTACAAATATTGGAGGTCGGATATCTGTATAGATTATGCATACAACAGGGAAAACGATAAGTAGAATATGAATCTGGATATAAACTCACCAACACATCTGCTCATCAGCATTTAATTTAGTCCTGGCAAGATCTATTTCATTTCCTGAAATATATCATGATAGATATTACATCACTTGCATAAAATCACCAAATTTTTAGGTTCCAATATGCTAAAATATAAGAACATCGTACCTCGAAGACTTTTTTCCAGCTCCACCTCAGAACACTGTTCAGAATGGATCCGCTTCACAATAGGAAGCACCGCGGATAAAAGAGAGTAGAGGTACTGTAATTTATCTTTTGCCGAAATCTCCCGAATCCTTGCCTTCAAGAGACAATTTTCAAGAAATTCCATCAAAAAAGTGATTAAAATCAATTTACAAATTTAAGGAGATTGAAAATAAATCAACCGAGAGTTAGATCATAGAGACGTGACAGATACCTTAATCAGATTATCCCCTCGCATACACACCCTGCAACTACATATACCACGGCATGCAGGACAAACCCTCTGGATTTCCTCTACAGGGATGTCTGAATACCTGAGAACGATGCATCACAGTATCACTTTTAGCAGCCAGATAAGCAGTAAATAAAAGATATTCTTCGATGACATTTAATCTCACCATAATGAAATGCAGTTCTCACAATATCCTCTTCTTTCACATTTAAGGCACCAGATCACTCCATCCCTACTATTGCTTCGACAGTGATGACAAGGCTGTCCCCCAGTATCGTCAGAAGACTCCGAGCTTTCATCAGACGCCTCCTGTAAGAAAAGAACCCACTCAGTAAAATATGTGAACAGGGCCAGGTGGGATGGTGATTAGTTAACTGTAATAAGCCTAAGTAGTTGAGTCCAGCAGAGCAAACACTTTGAGTTAAAAGGTTTTAGTATAAATTACAAATGGCAATTCCGTTAATACATATTCAAATTAGTTTTAGTTAAATTACAAAAGATAGCCCCCATCCCCACCAAAAAATAATCTCAAAATACAATAGCAGGCTTCCTGAATTTGCTACTTAATGCTGGCAGCACTGATTCCTACACTGTAGAATTATAATGTGCCAAACTAATATCGATAAACACATCACTGAGAATCAAGAATGTAGAGCTCTGAAAATAAAGAATCAATATTTGCTAAACCCACTAGCACAAATATGTGAAACGGAAACTTTTAGGTCGAGGCTGTAAAAGGTGATTAGTGAAAAAAAGTAAAACAATTAAAACTTAAAGCTGGGAAAGGTTATCAGTCTCACCGTCTCAGGACTATTCTCAAACACCTTCTGTGGTCTGCTTCTATCTGAATCAACAGCAGATGTGGTTGGTGTTCTATATGGCCTTCTACTATCTTCATACTCCGATCCATCTCTGTCAAGATCGTCAGTTGACCTTAGAGAACTCCGTTCAGATAAACTCCTAACCGGTCGCATTTCAGGCGAATAATTAGCCTGCGGTTTCGATGATTTCTCCTTCTTCTTCTTACCAGAGGACCCAGAATAATCCCCAAACTGTGAACTGAGTGGTACGTCCATGTCATCGCTCTTACTCTCCAAGTAGATATCACTTTCACCTAAAGGCTTCCTCTTCGCTTTCTTCATGCTAGCACGCATCGCAGAATTTGCCGCCCTCTTCTTTGCCTGGACATAATGCTTTTCACATACTGTCTTATCGGGCATGGACATGGCTGTGCATCTCCATTGTTTTCCGTCGGATCTTTTACACCGCAAATCATCCGGAATCCCGACATTCTCCTCACCTCCCCTAGAAATTGAACGGGCGTGATCCATCACAACAAAATCCCCTATCGGAAATCGAACCTAAACAAGCAAAATTGTGTATTTCTTAACCTGCAAAACATCAATGCAGAGAAATATATTTACATATCAAGATCATAAAGGATGACATATGTAACAGCATCAGAAGTAACAAAAGACGGAGCTTTCTTCATTCTTTAATCTAGTAATAAATTGATTAATAACCAGTAAAATTGACACGATCGTTGAACTGCAAGCAACACAAAAAAAAAAAAAAAAAAAAAAAAAGGAAAACACTATTTTTATTTCCCTAATTGGGGAAGAATCGAAACCCTAATTCAAAGTAAAAATACCCGCCACTTGAAATCACGCAACCAGTAAACTTCCGCAGCAGATAAAAGATGACAGAAATACATTAGCACGATGATTACGACCTTCAATTACGTATTTACATACTACACGAAATACATACACAGTTAAATACACATACGAACGCGTCGAAATCTTGTATACGTATTATATTTGTATATGTGTGCGTGTATCGATAAGCATTGTACCTTCAGAGAATGGCTAGTTTTAAAGCTTTGTTGATGGATTTTGGAGTTTGTATCCCTATTTTACCGAATTTGATTTTTATACTTTTAATTAGCAAAAGGGGAACCCTGGAAGGAAGAATAGCAGAGAGCCACGGTACGCGCAGTAGGGACTGAGGAAGGTGAACCAAAACGACGTCGTCGCTTGTTTGCAATGTTTGTATACCCCTTGTGCTATTTATATTAAGAGTAAAAAGCAGTTTGCCCCCTAAACTAAGGGTCGATTTGCACTTTACCCCCCAAACAAAAAAAATTTGCACGTTTTTACCTGAACTTGTTAATTCGTTGCACGGTGCCCCCTAAACTCAATTTTCCGGCAATTTTAACCGGAATATGAAAACATGTGCTTTGCACGTGAAACTTTTAGGGGTAAATTTGTCCCTTCACTTGCATCTTTAATATTAAATACAAATAAATATTAAAAAAAAAAAAAGAATAAATAAATAAAGGTAAAAAAGCTGTTCTTCAAGCTTTTCTTCCAAACCCGTCAATGGCGGCCGCCAAAGAACAGAAGCACAGCCTGCACCCATACATCGAACTCTCCAAACTCATTGCTCTAAAGGGCCACAAATCTCCTTCATTTCAACCCCAAGAAACATCGACCGCCTCCCCAAACTGCCTTCAATTTTCGCTTCCTCCATTAATTTCGTCAAAATCCCACTCCCGAAACTCGAATAACTCTCCGAAACACAGAGGCAACAATGGACATCAATGGCGGAGAAATGGACTATCTCAAGAAAACCATATATATATTTTACCATATATCGCAGCACATATTAAGCGAGTTAGCAGATGCAAATGTTAATTGCTATAAAACCATATCGATATTTGAGTAAAAAGCAGTTTTCTTGAGGGGGGAAAATCGAAGAGAAGATGAATGCTAAATTGGAAGAAGAGGAGCAAGATAACCACTACCACCAAGAGGAGAAAGAAGAAAAATTGATGAGAGTCGCCATCCTCCGCAACCCCCTCTCCGACCGCCGCATCGCCGCCTTCTCGCCCAATTCCTACCGTCTCCCAGCCTTGCCGTATTCTCACCGCCGCATATCCCTCTCAAAACCCTCAAAATCAATCACCGCTTGCTCCGTCAATCACCCAGAATCGAACCCGTACCCGGTTCGCCGTTCGAGACACGCTATCCGTTCGACCCGGACATTCGCGACAATCGGCGCCGTAGCCCTAGCCGCGTCGAAAGTCATCGCCCCCCACTGCGGAGGGCTGTTCACGCTGGCCGTGGAGGTGAAGGAGTCGGTGGCGAAATCAGCGGGGCCGGCGGTCTTCGCGGCGGTGAGGAGAAGCGAGCTGAACACGCCGCTGACGGTGGTGGCGGCGGGATGGCGAAGTGGCTGGACCTGTACAGCGGGATACTGACGGTGAGGTGCATGCTGAGCTGGTTCCCGAATATTTAGTGGGACAAGCAGCCCCTTTCCGCCATTAGGGATTTGGGGCTGTTTAGGGATGGGTTGGCTTTGTGAGGGTGGTGGTCGACGGGATGACAACTCCTTTTTTCTTTCTTTTTCTTTTTTTTTTTTTTTTTTTTTTTAATGTTTATTTTTTAATGATTAAAATATAGAATGTTAGTGAATGGACAAATTTGCCCCTGAAAATCTCATGTGCAACACACGTGTTGTAATATTCCGGTCAAAATTGTCGGAATATTCCTTTTAGGAGGCACCGTGCAATGAATTAACGAGTTCAGGTAAGAACGTGCAATTTTTTTTTGTTTAGGGGGCAAAGTGCAAAACGGGCCATAGTTTAGGGGGTAAACTGCTTTTTACTCTTATATTAAAGCTAAATTTCATTTTTCCCCTTTACTTTGGCTCAATATCACTTTACCCCATTTTACTCTCAATTGCATCGATTTTTCTCCATGTACTTGGAAAGTTGTCTCAATATGGTCCTCGTTGTGTTTTTAGACTTTTGACCTTAACACCGCTTGATCTAAGTCTGAAAATTACAAAAAAACCACCCATCCATGTTTAAATAATTATTAAAAATATTTAAAAATAAATTGTGGTTGGCGTCGTGGACCATGTTTCTCGTTTTCTTGATTTTTTTATTATTTATTTTGTTGTTTTTTTCTATCTACTTTTTGTTTCTTTACTTATTACGGCGATGGCCACATTGAGACAGTTTTTCAAGTAGAGGGCAAATCGATTCGGGAGTAGAAGGGTAAAGTGATACCGAACCAAAGTACAACCGGAAAAGTGGAATTTATCCTTATATTAAATAAAAAAATTAATTAAATAAAATATCGTCGGCTCCAATTTGTCTAAATTAAATTACAATTGATATTCCTTTTCATTTTATATGTATGAATATGATTAAACATATATATATATATATTTTAACTAGTCTTCTAATTCTACCTACTATCTTTTAAACCAATCAATTTAAATCTCCAATTCCCATTCATTTGAGAGAGAGAGAGAGAGAGAGAGAGACGCAAATCAAAATTTCCTTAATATTGATTCCCAATCAGAAATGGGTTGCTGCAGTAGCACCGACAATAACAAGTCACCACCTCCAAAAACTGCACATTTATCCAACTCCACAAGAGAGTGTGGCAATAGCAAATCCCCTCCGCCACTCCAACAAGAAGAAGAAGAAGTAACGGTCAAAGAAGTCGTCTCCGAAAAAACCCGGTCCGCAAAAACCGGATCTTTACTAACCGCCGACGGGGAACCGGGCCTTCAAAATGGCGCTTTCTTCAGCAAACCCGCAGTAGCCAATCAGAGTGCGGCCTTTTCAATTCCAACACCTGAAAACAATGGCGACGAATTGCGTGGAACCCGGCGGAGATCCGAACAGTCAACGGGTCAAAATAGACCCGAATACGATCGGGGAATGGATAGTGGTGAGAGATCCGGAAGAAGGTCTAGGTTTCCGGTGATGTATTCGGATTCCTGGTCGTGGGAAAGGGGCCCCGACGGCAGCCAGTCGTCGAGGAAAACGGATGGACCTTTGGAACGGGTCGGATCCGGGTTGGGCGAGAGAACCCGGAAAGTGGGTGAAGGGAAAGACAGCGGAGGAGGAAACACGTGGCCACCGACAAGTAATGAATTGCTGGAAAATCCGCTTATGTCCTTGGAGTGTTTCATCTTTCTCTAGTGTTTCTAGATGCTGGTTCGGTTGTAATTATTGCAGCCTATCAGGGTTATTGTTGTAATTTCAAGACATTTTATAAAGATTTGTCGTTGTTGTAAATCTTATATATAAAAGAAAGAAATGTAAGGCAAACCCTAAGAAACCCTAACGTCATATTTCTATATTATCATTATTATTTTTTATTTTTATCTCATAAGTATTATTTTAGATTTTTATCTCCTAATTATTATTTTCGATTTATATCAAAATTTCCTCTGCTAAGTATTATTTTAAATATCATTTTCGAATTTTATCAAATTTATATCTCCTAAATATAATTGTAAATATTATTTTTTATTTTTATCAGATTTTTATCTCAAAAATATTATTTTTCATTTTTATCAGATTTCTATCTCCTAAATATTATTTTATATATTATTTTCAATTTTTATCAATTTTTATCTCCTAAATATTATTTTAAATATTATTTTCGAATTTTATCAAATTATATCTCTTAAATATTATTTTAAATATTGTTTCGAGTTTTATCAGATTTTTATCTCCTAAATATTATTTTCGATTTTTATCAGATTTTTGTCTCCTAAATATTATTTTCATTTTTTATCAATTTTTTATCCCCTAAATATTATTTTCGATTTTTATCAAAAATATTTCTCCTAAATATTATTTTAAATATTATTTTTTGATTTTTATCATATTTTTATCTCCTAAATATTATTTTAATTATGATTTTCGTATTTTATCAACTTTTATCTCATTAACATTATTTTAAATATTATTTTAGATTTTTATCAAATTTTTATCTCCTAAATATTATTTTCGTTTTTTATCAGATTTTTATCTGGTAAATATTATTTTTCGACTTTTTATCAAATTTTTATCTCCTAAATATTATTTTCGATTTTCATCAAATTTTTATCTCCGAAATATTATTTTCGATTTTTAACAATTTTTTATCCCCGAACCAGCCCAATCACTACTTTCCTATTTTCAGCCATGAATATCTCTAATGCACAACCAATTAAATCTCCCAAGTTTTATTTTTTTATGATAAAATACAAATCTTATCTTATATATAAAAGAAAGAAACGCTAGGGCAACCCTAAGAAACCCTAATGTCATATTCGTAATTTTTTTTCAATTTTTATCAAATTTTTTATCTCCTTAATATTATTTTAAATATTATTTTCGAATTTTATCATATTTGTATCCCCTAAATATTATTTTAAATATTATTTTTTATTTTTATCAGATTTTTGTCTCCTAAATATTATTTTTTATTTTTATCAAATTTTTATCTCCTAAATATTATTATAAATAATATTTTTTTAATTTTATCAATTTTATATCTCCTAACTATAATTTTAAATATAATTTTCAACATATTTGTAATTTTTTTTTTCAATTTTTATCAAATTTTTATCTCCTTAATATTATTTTTAATATTATTTTCGAATTTTATCATATTTGTATCCCCTAAATATTATTTTAAATATTATTTTTTATTTTTATCAGATTTTTGTCTCCTAAATATTATTTTTTATTTTTATCAAATTTTTATCTCCTAAATATTATTATAAATAATATTTTTTTTAATTTTATCAATTTTATATCTCCTAACTATAATTTTAAATATAATTTTCAACTTTTAGCAGATTTTTATCTCCTAAATATTATTTTCAAAATTTTTCAAAGTTATATCTCCTAAATAATATTTTAAATATTTTTTTCGAGTTTTACCATGTTTTTATTAGTTTTTTATCTCCTAAATATTAATTTTGTTTTTATCAGATTATTTTCTCCTAAATATTATTTTCTATTTTTATCAAATTTTTATCTCCTAAATATTATTTTAAATAATAATTTTGATTTTAATCATATTTTATCTCCTAAATATTATTCTAATTATTATTTTCATATTTTATCAACTTTTATCTCATTAACATTATTTGAAATGTTATTTTCGATTTTTATCAAAGTTTTATCTTCTAACTATTATTTTAAATTTTATTTTCGATTTTTATCTCCTAAATACTTATTTTTTGATTTTTTTATCAAATTTTTATCTCCTAAATATTATTTTAAATATTATTATCGATTTTCATCAAATTCTCCTAGATAT